TTAATTTAATAAAATCTTATTTATTATTTTTTAACTTAATTAATATTTAACTAAATTAATTTATTATAATTTCCATTTTTTTTTATAGTTTAATTTGTTTTTTTTTTAAATAATAAAATCGTTAAATTAATATTTTTTATTTTTTTTTACAAATTTTTTATAATACGAATAAATTTATTTAACTTTTTAATAACTTAATTATTTTAAATTAAAGTTTTATTTATTTTTATATATATTAATTAAAATTTTTATTTTTATAAAATAAAAAAACTTTTAATTAAATATAATTATTTATTATATATTATATTTAATTTAATTTATTTTATTTTATAATAATATTACATAAATATATAAAAATTTTTTAAACGTTATTATTATTTATTATTTATTATTAATATAATTTTATTAAAAGTTTAAATATATATTAATTATAATTAAAATTAAAAATTAAAAAACTGTTTTTTTATAATTTATAAATATAAATATATAAATTAAAACTTTTATAACGTTTATAACGTTAATAAAAAAAGTAAACATAAATAAAATTTACCGTTTTTTTAATTTTAATTTTAACTTATTAAAATAAAAAATAATATAATTTATTTTTATTTTTTAAATATATATTTATATTAAAAAATTAAAAGTTTATTATAAAACAATTAATAAAATAATTAATAAACGTATAAATTAATAAAATGTATATTATTATAAAAATTATTAATTTATAAAAATTTAATGTATTAAATAAAAAAAACGAATTTTTTAATTAAAATAAATAAATTAATTAATCATCGTTATTTTTTATTAATTATTATATTATTTTAAATTTAAAATAATTTATTAATTTTATATTATATAATTAACGTTATTTTTTATTACGGTTTACGGTTTATGGTTTATAATTTACGTTAATAAATAACACAATTAATTTTATGAAATTATATTTTAAATAATTATTATTTTAACAAGTTTAAACTAGAAATTTGAAAATGGTTTAAGGGGAAGTACCTTCTTTAGCCACACCTTTTCCCAACCAATCACACCCCGGTATACCTTTTTAAAACATTTTTAAATTTTTAATTTAAAAGGATTTTAAACATTTTTTATTTAAATAGCTATACTAATAATTAAATCAATTGAAAATATAATAAGTAAAATCTTTATATAAAATAAGTATTAATTTAATTATTTAAATAAGTTATTATATATAAAACGTATGCGTTTTAAGTCAAGATTTAGCTATAGTATCGGTCGTAACATTAATCGCAACACAATAGCTGCAATAAACGTTAAAGCCTATAATATTACAACGCAATATCCTATAAGCATGCAAAAAAGACAAGAAGGTAACAAAAGTAAAGGACTAGCCCCGAGTGATTAAAATAGAAGGTATTTTAAACGTGGTTATGGGTGGTTATGGGTGGTGGTGGTGGGTGTAGGCGTGTGGGTATAACGTTTTAAAGCTATTTAAATATCGAGGCCTACGATATTACAACGCGATGTTGTATAAGCATGCAAAAAAGATAAGAAGGTAGCAAAAGCAAAGGACTAGCCCTAGATGATTAAAATAGAGGGTGTTTTAAACGTTGTTATTGCCTATTATATTGTCGATATAGTTTTATTAAAAGTTTTATTAAAAATTTAAATAAGTGCCGGTTCGCCTTATATTATACGAAACTATTTAAGATTAGAATTCGAGGAACGCCTCCCCTACAACCCACAGATACAAACACACGGACCAATGGTTTCGTGGCGCTTGTGGCGCCAACAAGGGGGGAGGCGTTCCTCGAATCTCTAGTTTTAACACACTAAGATAAAATAATTATATTTTTTTAAAATATATACATATATTACATATTTGATCGGCATTTTATATTTTATTATACATTAAACTCGTTCATTATTAACCTTTTACTATTGCTTTCTTTTCGTAGTTTGTCAAGGGTTTTCGACATGTTTTGTAAAGCTGATTTAACATCTCGAAGGCATGCGTCTCCATCCTCCTCAAGGCGCTGTAATCGTTTTTCGATTTGTTCATCCGTATGCTCTTCTTGTAAATTCTGCACATCTCCCCTTTCGTCTGTATCTTTGGTTTTGGCTACGCCGAGCATCTTCTCGACCAGCCTAGATATCTCCTCTTCTCTGGCTAGCTTTGCCTTCTCTAATCGTTCCTTTGTTGATCCAATCCGCCACGCTTTGTCGTTATCCTTTTCTTGGTCGGGCTCATTATATATTGCCGGTTCCGACTTAAGTATCGATTTTCCAGGTGTACGGGGTTGGATTCGCCGTGTGATTTCCATAGGATGACCATTTCGGTTTGGCGAGGCGCTGCTAGGTGATGTTGGTGGTGTTGGTACACCTGTTAAAGTTTGACGGCTGAATTTATCTATAGCTAATTTGGCGTGCTCGCCATGGCTGTTTATAACGCTCTTATGAACCATTATTGGCATAGGCTTTTGACGCGGTTGCGATATAATCTTCAGCTTATTGAATGGAGGCCGCGAAGATGGAAGACCATTGTTTGAAGATGGAACTGATGCCGTCGTTGCTGGTTGAGGGTTTAAATTAGCCACGACCATAATTGGCGTCATGGTAATGTCATTGGTAGACATTGGTATAATCAAATTATTAGTAGGGGTTATCTCCGTTGTCATGATACAAGAAAGGTTCCAATTTTTTTCTGGAACCGCTGTCGTTAATGTAGGTGAAACATTTTCCATGGTCCTCCTGGTGGTAATTTGTGCCACCCTGCTTTCTATAGAGATTGATTGATTCTCACGTGTCCGGGATGATGACCTCGATGGTAATCTCCGTGTAGCTGGAGTATCACCAAGGAACCGTCCGAGGATAGGGGAATCTTTTGAATCATCGGTGTTGGGGATCGGTGGTATAGTTGAGTCAAAAATAGTCTCATCATGACTGGTAGAGGTTGACGTTGGCTTGCTTGGAACAGTATTACTGTCTGAACCTTGTTGGAAGTATTTCGGTATTAGATCTCGTGTATTATGATCCTTCTCTTCGTACGGTGATGGTAAAGTAAGACTGATAGTGGGAACCGTATGAGTAAGATGTTGACTAGTTGTTCCTTCCGACGCTGAGAATGATTTATTTATGCCAGATGTAAGATCTCTGGGGCTGCTGATGGCGATCCCTATTGGGAGATCATATGGCTCATTCGTGCTAAGCAACCCCTGGGGAAAACTCGAAACTGCCTTTATATTGTTTTGAAGGAATTGCCTCCCATCGTCATTCATCGCAGCAGTCTGTGAATCGTGACCAACCCGTGTAGCAGATGCAGCAGAGGAAGCCCTGGGTCTGAGGCTACGTATTGCTAGCGGCCTGCCTGTTTCGCCTACGGTTGCCGACCTTGAGCTTCTAGTCATGGTGGTATTTATCACAAGCTTTTCCGGCTTGGAAGAGACATGAGAAGTCTCACCAGGGTCACTACGTCGATGGGGCGGTGGAGTGCGCTGCATTATTAGCTCATCTAGTGAAGCCGTAAGTACTCCGTTGGAGCTCGTTGCACGCTTACTCGATGAACGAGGTCGTACCATCGGCGGAGTGGTAATACTAGACTGATAGCGTGTCATAGAACTAACACATGCATCTGCAGTAGACGGCCTTGAGGTTGTAGGCGGGATGGGGAAGTTCATCGATGCTAACATATTGGGAAATCCTGGTGACTCGGGTAGCGACTGATCTTGCGAGGCAACTAAATTTGGCTGAGTGAGATCCGCCGTATTGATCTCTAAACGCCGCTTCGCACCAGGCAAGGTTCCGTGGCTCATGGTAAATGGGCGTGTCCCAGCTATTCTTGACGAGGCTGTTTCTGATCGCTCAGATTGGCAGCTGGGGGTTTGTTGTAGAGGCGCGCTGGGTGAGGAGTGCGATCTTAGCCGCGGAGAGTGACCATGCTGCGCCGTTTCCCCTGAAAGTAGATGGCGGGGAATATATGAGAGCGGATGTCCCTGTGGCTTTGCTTTCGGCTCATTCCTTGGAGAGCTATCAACAGCTTGGAACATGCTCGAAGTTGATCGGGAGCGAGATAATATTGAAAACTTCAATTCCCTATCCCCTAACATAGTAGATGCGTTCATCTTTATGAGTTTTGTCTGAAGAGAGCCGGTTATGCCGATTAAATCCCACGAGCGATCATCTCGAGAATGCGATTCATAATCTACTAACAAACACGACACCTGCGCCTGTGTGTAGGTAAAAATGAAAGACCTAGGTTAGATACTTGGTACAGGTTTAGAGAAGGCCGTCCCTTAATAAACAAATGACAGAGGTGGCATCGTCCGTCGACGGAGCCAACAAAGTTGGAATATCATCAAAGAGCGGAAGGTGGAAATAAATAAGTCGTCTCGGAACTTCCTACAGGATCCTAGACGCGCATCGGCTTGTACTGATTGGGATACAGATTCTATTTACGGTATACTTAGCTAAGTCATATGTATATTAGATAATCATCCTTGGGTCACACATGTACGGAGGAATGTACCCGATGTACATTGTACTTGCACTTTTACGACAGCGATAACACGAGCATGCATTTAAAAGGTAACATTATAAAAAACGATATGCAAATCTTACAGGGATTAGTGCCCATGCTTTTTCCCCCCTTGGGTCCTGGGATGCAACTTGTCCATATCGAAAGTACCTAAGATAGGTAGGTACCTAGTAATGTACACTACCTATAGAACGACATCAAGATTGGTTTTGGCTCCTACCCCACAGAGCCAGTCTGTCCTTAAGCTTTTGCAGTTGGCATACTAACCTAGAAATATCATCGAATACCATACACCGAACACACACCGCGACTCTAGTGAAGGAAATTCCCTCTTAATCTCGAAGCCCGTCTTGGCTTTGCAAACTGCACTGCGCTTAGGACATCACACATACTGTATACAATCCACTATCAGCAATTGCTGTAGGTGTACAGGTGTATTGATACTCGACGTCCGACAAGCTTGGCGGGCTATCGCGAGCGCATCGACGATATGGATTACGAGGCTTTAAAAGAACAATGGAGCGAGGTGGAAGACCGTGACGGTGTTCGACTGAGTTGGAATGTTTTCCCCAGCTCCCGAATGGTAACTTGGCCCTCAGCTGTTCTGGCTGCATCTTCGTGAGCGCATGTAATCTGAAGCTTTGCATAGGAAGCATCCCGCCTCGTCGTTCCCATCGGTGCTCTCTACACCCCTCTGAAAGAGAAGCCGGATACACCTTTACTACAATTCGAGCCCGTGACGTGTAAACAACCGTGTCGCTCTGTCTTGAATCCCTTCTGGTCAGTGGCCCTCGAAATTCCACCATGATTTTGAATCGCATAGCTAATGATACCCAGTCAAGTCGACGTTAGGGCACGTCTATGGATCTGCCCATTCTGCCTTTCGAGGAACCCTCTTCCTCCTCATTACAAGGACATCACGCCCAATGCCATCCCCCCCGAGCTGCATCCGTCGAACACAACAATCGAGTATCGACTCTCACGACCAGCACCCAGCCCGCCTATTTTTCTCTATGTTGTTGATACGTGTCAAGAGGAGGATAGTCTGTCGGCTTTGAAGGAGTCGCTCATCATGAGTTTGAGCCTCCTCCCCGAGAATGCCTTGGTTGGCCTGATTACGTATGGAACAATGGTGCGCTTATCTCACCCCTAATCTCGGGGCAATTTTTATTGCTAACACCAGAGTTCCCTAGGCCCAAGTTCACGAGATCGGGTATACCGAATGCGCCAAGTCGTACGTTTTTCGTGGTAGTAAAGACTATTCTGCCAAACAAGTTCAGGAGATGTTAGGTCTGCTTGCCCCGAGTCTCCGCCCTGGCATGCCACAACAGCAGCCTGGTCGACCTATGTTGCCCATGGGGCCCGCCACTAGATTCTTGTTACCCGTCCAGCAGTGTGAGTTTCAGCTCACTAAGATCCTCGAACAATTGCAGAAGGATCCTTGGCCGGTCGCTAGTGATAGGAGAAATCTTCGATGCTCTGGTGTTGCCCTTAGCGTTGCTGTTGGCCTACTTGAGTCTTCCTTCCAAAACGCTGGTGGCAGGATCATGCTCTTCGCTGGCGGCCCTGCAACTGAAGGCCCAGGAATGGTCGTTGGTCCTGAATTAAGAGAACCAATTCGCTCACATCACGACATTGATCGTGACAACATCAAATATTATAAGAAAGCACTTAAGGTTGGTTTTATTCTCATTTTGTATACACTTGGGCTCGCTTGGTGGCTAACCCCTTTAGTTCTACGATAATCTTGCGAAGCGGACTGCCCACAACGGCCACATAATAGATATATTCGCCGGCTGCTTAGATCAAGTAGGATTGCTTGAGATGAAAGGCCTGTGTAACTCGACAGGCGGTCATATGATTCTCACCGATAGCTTCACATCATCTATGTTTAAGCAGTCATTTATTCGAGTCTTCGAGAAGGACGGGGATGATAATCTATTAATGGGCTTTAATGCTGTCCTCGAAGTTTTGACAACTAAGGAGTTGAAGGTTACCGGCTTGATTGGACACGCCGTGTCATTGAACAAGAAGTCAACTTCGGTTGGAGAGACCGAGTGTGGTATTGGTAATACGTGCTCGTGGAAGATGTGTGGCATCGACCCCAATGCTAGCTACGGCGTCTATTTCGAAATTGCAAGTCAGGGAGGCCCCACGCAACACCAGCAGGGCCAGCAGAAGGGTATGATGCAGTTCTTGACGTATTACCAGCATTCTTCTGGGCAGTTCCACTTGCGTGTAACTACTATTGCTAGGAACTTGAGCGGCCCAGCCGGAGATCCTGCTATCGCACAGTCCTTCGACCAGGAAGCGGCCGCGGTACTCATGTCAAGAATTGCCGTTTTCAAGGCAGAGGTTGATGATGGTCCCGATGTTCTCCGATGGGTGGATCGGATGCTTATTCGATTATGTTCACGTTTTGCTGACTACAGGAAAGATGATCCTTCCTCGTTTAGGCTGGAGAAGAACTTCACTCTCTACCCCCAGTTTATGTTTCACCTCCGGCGAAGCCAGTTCCTACAGGTCTTCAACAACTCCCCCGATGAGACAGCCTTTTATCGCCATGTGCTGAATCACGAAGATGTGAGCAATTCTCTCATCATGATACAACCAACTCTCGATTCGTATACATTCGACCAGGATGGAGGACAGCCTGTCTTGTTAGACTCGACTTCTATCCAGCCTACACATATTTTATTGTTGGACACCTTCTTCCACATCCTCATCTTTCATGGAGAAACTATTGCAGAATGGAAGAAGGCGGGGTATCAGGATCAAGAAGGTTACGAGAATTTCGCCACGCTTCTGGAACAGCCAAAAGAAGACGCAAGAGTAAGTGCGAAGATGATTGCTTTGATGATGGAGCATGATATCAATACTAATTCCTCGAACAGGATCTTATTGCAGACCGTTTCCCACTCCCTCGGTTTATTGTATGCGATGCTGGTGGCTCGCAAGCGCGGTTTTTACTATCAAAACTTAACCCGTCAACGACACACACCACAGGGGCATACGGCGGTGTTGGTGCACAGACTGCGCAGACAATCTTTACTGATGATGTATCACTGCAAACTTTTATGGACCACTTGATGAAGTTAGTAATCCAATACTCCCAGCCCAACTTTCAACACTAACAATATAACAACAGGCTAGCCGTGAGCGGGACAAATTAATTGTGTAGTAAAACTCACCCCCTTAGACGAGGAGTTTACGATGCTTGTGCTACGTAGCTTTTTGGGCCTAACAGCTACTTCGTCATGATTGTCTCTCCGAACTCCGTTTATGATGAATTTAGGCGATCTCTCTATCTCGAGTGTCAGTCTTATAGTATACTAATTCTTAAAAAATAACGAAGTTGGCTCGGAGTGGCTCATGTACTCAGTATTATTGTAGACAGCAGTCAGTTTATGCGTCAATAAACCGTATGTCCTCGTTGATATAGTATGTGTCGTTTTCCTCTTGACCCTTCTTGTCTTTACAGCTTCCACCTTGGTACCCAGGTAGGCGATTACATGGTCATCCCCGTATCGGCTTAAAGTAACAAGGTAGTAAATGTTTAACCTTATGTAATCGAGATCTTTTCGGAGTTAACTAGGTTAGGTAAGTAAGATTGAATCCATGATTTTCAGCCCCTTGGTTTTGAATCGATGAAGCGAAGGTGCATGCTACACCTTAATTTTTAACCCAATCAATTCTCAATTTGCTCACATCGACCCACTTATTTCATCTAGGGCTGTTGCGTATCTAGCATATCGCGAGTACGAAATACAAACCCCACTGTCTAGGGCTTCTCTAGCCCACAACTGAATTTCCTCAAGACCAATTTTTCAACTTCCACCCTCCTATTTGCAAGCGCTGCTCACGAGGCTCACAACATCTTACGCAAAAAGTCTCCCCAAGGTTTTTATTGGCAAACTCGTGAGACTTTATATTTGAGCGAAGATGCGTATGTCAATGAATCCCCGATCCCGTTTAGTTTTTCAACGCAAGCTAACTTACAGAATAAAGCTCCCAAGATTGATCCCAATGAGGTGAAGGTCATGTACGTTAAAAAAAAAAACATCAATCCGATTTCAATCTTGCTAGGGACGGGAAATTGTGATTGCTCCGAATTCGAGGCTGACAGATAGCTTTATAGCCACCTTCGAGCGACCGGTGGAGAGGTCGGTGCCTCATCGGCGCTTGCCCCCAAGATTGGTCCCCTTGGTCTGTCGCCCAAGAAGGTCGGAGAAGACATCGCAAAGGCTACTGGCGACTGGGTATGTGTTTAATTAATATGGCGCGAAATCTATGTGCCAGGCTGACAGTGTTTTGATTAATAGAAAGGCCTACGAGTCACCGTTAAGCTCACAATCCAGAACCGTCAAGCCGCCGTCTCCGTCGTTCCCACAGCATCCTCCCTCATCATCAAGGCATTGAAGGAGCCGCCCCGTGACAGGAAGAAGGAAAAGAATATCAAGCACTCGAAGAGCGTACCTCTCGACGACATCATCGAGATTGCCCGAACAATGCGATTCAAGTCTTTCTCTAAGGACCTGAAGGGGTCCGTCAAAGAGATCCTAGGAACAGCATTCAGTGTAGGCTGCCAAGTGGATGGACGAAGCCCCAAGGATATCAGCGACGACATCGAGAGTGGCGAGATCGACAGTAAGTTATAACTAGTGCGTTCCCTCTACTATACAAGTTACTGACGCTAGCCGACATAGTTCCGGAAGAATAAATATGGACTGGGTGGGCTGAAAATGGGCTTCTTTTTTTTCGATGCATATTTCGACAGGAGTTCAGGAATGGCTTGCGATAGTCGTCGCCGACACACTCTGAATTGAGAAATGAAACAAACTTCGCTGTTTCCGTGACATGCACTCCACACCCCCCGAATACCCTCGTTACACCCTTGCCTACACTCTGAAATAAACCTAGCTCCCCATGGTTTATTTCTATTTCGTGTCAAGGAATATTGAAATCCGACCAACTACTCACCGCGGCTTTCTTGCTACTAAAGCGTGGAGGCTGAGGTCCATCATGCTCGGTCGACATTTGAATACCCAATTATTTCTTGTATTTGCTGGTCAGGATGCAGCATGGATATGCTTTGTAAAAAAAAAATGTCACTGCGAGCCCACGAGGAATTGTGACTTAGCCTTGTATAATATTGGTATATTATTCGGTAAGTATATTGTATATTGTCGTGATATATTGTTTCTAAGTCCTACCGCCTGCTGGCAGCAGGTCATCCTACTACTGATTAATAGTCTTGCAACTATCTGCCTGCTGATCTAATTTTTGATAGCCTTGTGTAGCCCAATATTCGTATTGCTTATCTTTGCATTTAGTATTGCATCTCTCTTTCAAAGTCTGATGCGGCTTATTAGTGGCACTTTATAATAAGCTACTTTCGGTGTTATGAGTGTTTACTCATTACAGTTAGTTAGGGATGAAGGTAAGAAGAATAATTCTGAGAATATTTGATAAAGCACATACCTATCATATCATGTTACTACAATTTTTAACGAGCCTTATACTTTCTCTTTGCTCTCTTCCATTGCTTCAAGGTGCGGTACGTATATACATTTAGGTACTTTGATTATGCATAAGCACTTAGCATTTAAGTCACAATTTGTAACCTCGCATTTCTAGGACTGAGTGGCTTACTATGTGGCGGTTTCTTATGCATTCTAGAGGTAGCTGATCATCATACCTAAGCGACGTTACGGTGTAAGATGCCAGATTTTGATAATATATATATATATCTTATTGTCTCTTCTGATTTTACTTATTTACTATTGTCTTTTTTCACCAGTTACATATATAGAATTAAAGGCATAACTAACTAGTATGTTTAATGTGTAAATTTTCGATATGTCAGCAGCCTGCATAAGTTTTAATACACGCCTGCGCAGCGTACGTAATGTACGTATGTACCTAATTAACGTGCATGGTACATGGACTTCCTTGATGCTACTTCAAATATACATGTACTTGGGGCGAATACGCCATGGATATTTTCATTGAGGCAGGTACCTAAAACGTCCTTATTCTAAGGCCCCACTAAGCCGAAGAAATGTGACAGGAGCTGATGGAGACCAACGTGAACCAAAAATCGATTTAGACTCAGCCCCCCCACGTACAAGCAAGCGCCGTCCTTTTCAACCCTCATAGCCTTTCCCTCTACTAGGATCTGCATACCTACAACATACCTACCTACATTTAACATAATTCTAACCTAGACATGAACACGGGGAACTTATCAACGACGCCAACTTTTAACGGGACCTTCCTTGTTCCATACCAGCATACCAACCATCTTTCAGGCTGTTTATAGACATCTGCATCTAACTTATACTAAGGTGTTCTATCCATAGGTATTTATTGGAATCCACTTCGCTTCCGCTTTGACCTCGAAAACCGCGTCTCTTGCATCTCGATTATTTCCCCTCCGCATATCTCTCTCTTCCCTGCCTCGCCTCCGTCCTTGCGCCTGGCTGGCTCCGGAGCTTTCGCGTCGTGCGAGGCAGAGCAGAGGGTGAGGGGCTAGTTAACTTTGAACTAGAGATTAGAGATCAGGTAAAAAAGGAAGACTGGACTTGGTCACTAAGGTATACATCGGACGATAGTTTCGGCTCAGTCCCCTTGGCTAAGATATTTCTACTTGGGTTGTCAGCGCTGGAATTGAATACGTACTTCCCAATGCATATCAGTCAGCTTCCTTCAGCCGTGCTCTAACCAGCAGGCTATAATGAGACCTCCCTTCGACCCTAGGCCTCGATACTTCCCTTTCTAGGCCTACACTGTCCTTGAGAGATGTTACCCTCTGTTCAGATGCACCCGATGGTGCATCCATCCCATCACCTCGACGCTTCGTCGCCCTTTCAGCTAGATCGCAAGCAGGATCGCCATTCCTTTCAATATTACACTCGCACTGCTTCGAGGGCGTCTGAACCGTCACTGGGTTTTGGCTTTACCTCTGGGCACAGCGCTTTTCCCATCCGCTCCTCGCAGCCACCACCGCCATCGCTACCGATGCATCCGAGATCGAATGCTTTCAGGATCCCATCTCACATATCCGATCACGACGAACACCAGCTTAGACGCAAAACGCCGAATGGCACGATAGATGCTGGATATGATGGCAACCCTGCCCAGCTAGCCTCGGGCCCCCCGCCTTTAAAGCATATGATCTTGCCCACCGCGGCTTATCCACACCAAGACCATCATACAATGAAACATCATATTAAGCCCTTAGTTGACGACTGGTCACTTCAGCCACCTCCAATTTTCAATATTCCGGATCATGGTGGACTCGCTCTTGACTCTAGCTCATTGGCGTTCGCAGGCGGTTGGCGACGTGGGCTCATTAACGATTCTCGTACCCCCATGGCCGTCGATGCTACTCCTAATGGACTACCAACGGCTGCTTATCCTTATAATAATGGTGTCAATATACCAACAGCTCTACAGCCTATATACCAGCACTCTCCATGCCCCGCTATATTTGATAATGGAGGATTGCTCCCGCCTTCGGCTTGGCCTGAGACGAACGTCCCTAGTTATCACCCCAGTGCACACCCGGGTAGTTTGAACTATCACACTTTAAATTATGCGCCAATGCCCCATATTCGTTCACCCAGTACCTTCATACCAGCTAAGACACCGTATAATACCATGGCCCATTATGGGGACAGTCCAATAGGTCTACATACGCAGTCCCAAGGGTTAGAGTCTCTTACACTTGAATCTACTCAATATGGTAGACTTAGATCTGAGCTGAATGAGAATTCTGCACCTGCGATGTTCAGGGAAAAGGCTCTTGCAAACGCTCATCGATCATATATTGAGCTTCTAGCGTACTTGCATTACAGCAAGAAGTCCCAAGGTCGTTCTGCTCAGGATGCTAGGTCTTCTAAAATGGTTATATTCCCAAAGCTACCAAGGCCTCCAAATCATCCCAGTTGTGTCCTCACCCCACGGCGTTCCCGAGACACACATAGCTATGGAGACTTGAATAATGGTAGCAATCATATACTTAGTCCTCAACTTGACGGGTCGTCGAGCTTGTACGGACAGCATGCTATTAAATATCAATTACGAGACGATGAAGCCTCCCGCTCAGCCTTCTATTACCCATTCAATGGTGATAATTTAGGATACCCTGCTACAGACTCTGAACGAGGGAGATTACCGGTCAAGCCCCTCTCCAGTGCTAAGGCCGCTGTTGAGATGCTAACTCATTTGTGCGAACAAAGTGGTTGGAAATGGGTTGATGGTATGGTACTCGGCGGCTGTTTACATTACGGCCTTGAACGTTACGAGCAATCATTGGAGTGGTTTCAGAGGATCATATCTCTAGATGAGACGTAGGTTCTTGTTCTAAGCCTATCTCCTTCCTATTGTTGATTTTACTAAGCTAACCGTGCTTAAAGCCATGTTGAGGCGATTTCAAATGTTGCGGCAACTCTTTATTGCCTAAATAGACATGAAGAGGCCGAGCAGCATTGGCTGCGGGCTGTTCACTTGCGACCCAGTTATCTAGAAGCTGTCGAGCATCTCGTTGGGCTTTTATGTTCCAGTCATAGAAGTAAGGAAGCTGTTGATATAATTAATTTTGTTCAACAATCTCTTCGTCTCCCCGATCGGTCTAGCTGCGATATCAGTTCCGATAGAAGTAGAGAAATCAGCAGCTCTGGGTACAGTAAAGCCAAGCTGCACCTGCATCAACGTTGCGGGCCAATACACAATAGCGATAGCGTTGAAGGGTCAAGATTACCTGGCTTTGGTTCAAGTGGTTATTGCGTCAGTGGCAACGAGAATGGCCGCATTATAGCTCTGATTCACGCTAAAGGGAACATGCTATATGCGTTGAAAGATATCGACCAGGCTTCTGAAGCCTTCGAAGAAGCCGTGCTTATCAGTGCCGGGAAGAGGCTTAAATGCATCAATTCATTGATACGCAGAATACAGTCAGTCCTATCTCCCACGGATATATGCGGACCCTCGAGACGGGGTAGCCTTCGTACTCCATCTACTGGACCACTGCTGCTCCCCCCTGAGAAGGCAAGGCATACTGCCCAATTAGTTTTTGCGGCCCATGGCGAGCTTCCTGGATTGCGTTTCGTGCCGGACGGTGCGCCGAAAAGGTCGGCAATCTCTACCACTAGCAACTCGTTGTTATCATTAGCAAAGATATTCCAAGATGCCATGTCGAATGGTGGTTCCTTTCCAAGGCTATTACGCCAGCCCTCTGGAATTGGCGACATTTTAGCGCTCTACTATTTATCCCTATCGCTCTCCGAGAGCCCTTCGACGGCCAACAATGTAGGGATTCTATTAGCCAGCGTTCAGCACACCAGTCCTGCCTCGCAGCTACAGATCCTAGAAAGCCCAAACATACCACCGATACCCGGAATTGCTCCCGGCAGTGGTCTCGCCCTGGCTCTTGCCTATTATAACTATGGCTTAAGCTTAGACTCCAAGCACGTTCATCTCCATACGAACCTCGGAAGCCTACTAAAAGATATTGGCCAACTTGATCTAGCAATACAAATGTATGAGCAGGCCGTTGCTTGTGATGGCAACTTTGATATCGCCCTTACGAACCTTGCCAATGCTGTCAAGGACCGTGGCCGCATTAATGATGCTATCATGTATTATAGGCGTGCTGTCAACTCTAACCCTGACTTCGCGGAAGCGGTCTGTGGTCTTTCTACAGCTCTTAACTCCGTCTGTGATTGGAGTGGTCGAGGTGGTGTACTGCTATATGGTGGAACATACGACCGCTGGCATGTTGATGATAAGGGGATGCTTCGGGACGCTAAAATGGAAAAGACTGGCAGTGGCTTGATAAAGAAAGTCGTTGATATTGTCTCAAAGCAGCTTGCAGAGTCTTGCCATTGGGGCGCAGGCATTTTGCGAAATGGAACCCTCGAACTCCTAATTTCGCAGGTCAATTTCCTAGCGGCGGAGGGGACACGAAAAGGGGTGAATATTGAGGATGCTCTGCGTAGGTGGGCAGGCCAACCGTGGGAAGGCTCGAAGATCCTTCGTCTCGTGGAGCGTTCAATGAAAGTGACGATGCGCCGTTGGTATTTAGATAAATATGTTCACAACCGCGGATCGCAGTCGGGATACCCACGACTCAAGCTGCCAGCCTCTCTGGCTGTGCCAGCAGCACCAACTGTTCTTCCTTTCCATACCTTCACCTGTCCATTGACGGCTAAGGATATACGTATGATTTCTCAGCGGAACGCCGCGAGGATATCATGCTCAACTCTCAAGTCGCCGTGGCTTCCCAATTCCGTGTATGCGCCGCCCCCTCCGCCCAGCCCACACCTCAATATTGGATATGTATCATCGGACTTCAATAATCATCCGCTCGCGCATCTGTAAGTTCTATGCCCATCCATAACGCGTCAATGGTTCTTGTTTCGCTAATAAACCACATACAGAATGCAATCCGTATTCGGATTTCACGACCCATCACGAGCAAAAGCTTTCTGCTACGCTACTACGGCGAGCGATAAATCGGTTCATCGGTTGCAAATAGAGCGTGAAGCTCCCGTATTTCGCGACGTGAGCAATTGGCCTTCAGAGAAGCTCGTGGAACAGATAGTCGAAGATGGGATTCATATTCTTGTTAACCTCAACGGTTATACCCGAGGCGCTAGGAACGAGATATTCGCAGCCCGACCGGCGCCAATCCAAATGTCTTTCATGGGATTCGCAGGTACCCTCGGTGCTGAATGGTGTGATTACATCTTAGCCGATAGAACCGCCATTCCTCCATCCACACTACGACCTATGAGAAGCAACACAGACTTGGAGGATGTTTTTCGAGATGACGAGTTTAGCGAAGAGGGTGAATGGATGTATTCCGAAAATATCGTCTTCTGTCGTGATACGTTCTTTTGCTGCGACCATGCGCAATCGTGTGATCCGGCCGAAAGGCGTTTAACTTGGGTAGACGAACAACGACGACGATGGAAGATGCGCAAGGAGCTTTTTCCGAATTTTCCAGACGACACTATTATACTTGGCAATTTTAACCAGTTATACAAGGTATTTTCTTAATGCTAAAGGCGTATGTTAGCCACGACTAACTGTACCATTCAGATTGACCCTTCCACGTTTCGCACGTGGTTGCGTATCCTCTCCAACGTCCCCAAAGCCATACTGTGGCTTCTCAGATTCCCTGAGCTCGGCGAAAACAACCTGAAGAAAACAGCTAGGGCCTGGGCGGGTGAAGAGGTGGCAAGTCGGATCGTCTTTACAGACGTGGCGCCGAAGCAGCAGCACATTTCGCGGGCGCGTATCTGTGACCTCTTTCTGGACACACCAGAGTGCAACGCACACACAACAGCTGCAGATGTCTTGTGGTCAAGCACTCCATTACTAACACTACCGAGATATCCATATAAGATGTGCTCTCGCATGGCAGCGTCGATTCTCAAAGGAGCATTACCAAAGACACCTGCTGGGGATGAAGTTGCCCGGGAGCTTATCGCTTCCGGTGACTCTGACTACGAAGCGCTCGCAACTAGACTTGCGGGAAGCTTGACTTATCGGTACGTGGATGGAGAGTATTGCGAGGGGAACGGACGACTGGCCGAGATGCGAAAGATTTTTTTCGAAGCGAAGTGGAAATGCGCACTCTTCAACACACGAAGATGGGTGTCTGATTTAGAGTGGGCATACGAAGAAGCATGGCGGCGTTGGGTGGCCGGGCAAGGCGGTGACATCTATCTACCTATAGAAGAATAGTGAGATATTTCCGGGTTGGGGGTTGGTTATAATACCCTCGTGTCTCGTATTTGACGTGGGCAGGAAATGAGCTCGGAGGTATTCGGTACCGGCCAAGGAATATTCATGGCTTTGGATGTGGCACATGACATTCATATGTGGCCTATCTATGAGGGAGCAATGGGAGTTCCGGTTAACATGAGAGGGAAACCTGAATGGACTATGAATCATGTTAGGATTTCAAAAAGCTTCTGATTGCACTTTGAACCTGATTAGGCTGGCTTTGGACGAAGAACTCGAAGTTTCTATGATAGAGCAGGTAGCGGACTCGGACCAAGTGCTGGTAGGGTTACATTACCTTTGGGACAGACATATGTAGTCGTTTCAGCAGCGACGGGCAGGGGCGTTTGGTATTATGGCAGCGTGAATTTATTAGGCTATGCTGTCGATGGAATCATGTAAATATACCCAGAGCTGATGCCCTACGGATGGGTAAAGCCAATTATGTTGCTCGGTTATGAGTTTCTTTTATTTTTATTTATTTTTTCTTCATCTCTCATATTATTTTATCTTCTCCCTTCTTATCATTCATCATGACCAACAGAAACAGAACAAAAAACTATAATTTTCGCTCTTCATACGTAGAATACCCCTAGACTAGCCGCAACCCTCTCAAAAATCGTAGACTGTTGTTATACTCATTGTTAAGACAGCAAGTGCATTAAAGTCCGCGACAGGTGGCTTGATAAATCAAGGTTGAGGTTACGCAAGAGTAAGTCAAATGTACGCTTAGGTAGGCTAGTTGGATATTTGGGATACGATACCTACATAATACATAAACTATATATGTATATACATGTTAGGTTAGGTAGTCTCCGCAGTATACTAGACATGTACTACTGTACTAATGAATGGAAATGTGCCGACTCGTCCTAGCTCATTACCTTTTTTCTTCCTTTGGTCTTGTGGTGGGGGTGGATGGTTTCAGCCGGCGAAGAAAGAAGACGAGGTGCGGCTGAGGTATCTGTGGGTAAGTTCTTTTTTCAACGGTCACGACGTCTTTAGCACTATCGACCAAATAGTCAAGGGAGGTCCCCGTAAGCTAGGTAGAGATGCTAGGTTCGCTTGGCTTTACCGTTTTAAGGTGACGAATAGGTCCTAGAGAATACTTTAGATATATAAATAAATAAAATATTATAACTAAATAAAACATTATAGTTATATTCGTAGTGTTAGAGAATTATTAAGAACTGACAATTAAAAAAAACTTACACACACTTACACACAATAAGCCTGTCAAGAACCCCTAACAGGCTGAAGAATCCTAGTAAATGTCTAACCGTAAGTAAATATAACTATATATTTTTTTAAGTTTCAGCCGGTGAAGATAAGATCCCAAGTCAATGGGTCGCTAGAGAAATAAAAAAGCCACATGTGCAGATCGTCACCCTAACGAACTTTAAACGGCTGGGTCATGTTGATCGTTTGATTAAGTACCTATACTCGAGCTATATACAAATAATTTATATACTACTTACGTGTATAAGTATGGTACCAAGCAGGGGGTAGAATACATAGGAGAGGCCTGTCCGGGACCCCTTGTCGGATCTGGGGTTCGCACATACCTACATGCAACATACACACATGCATACATACAGGACATCTAGCACATCATACAAAGTACACGAAGATTATACGTATGTATACGTATAGTATATAGTATATAGTATACATACATGTACATACCTATAATAATTGAGTCGTGTGGATTAGTCGTTCGAATATACTACGGACGATTCTTCGCGAAACAAATCATCTTGAGTCTAAACCACACTTGGTAGCTGCCATCTCAAATCGGAAATACCTAAGCCTCGTGGTTCTCCACTAGCCAGGAACTAAGTTGTCTATCTAACTTGAAGCTTCGTCTAGCCTGAACCTACAAACCGGCACGGCCCAAGCCTAAACTTATTTATCGAATGATACGCGGGTATCTTTAATGACAACTTCTACTGCTAATAGCATCGGTCTATACAGATACAGCGAAGTGTAGTGAGATGAATAAAGTGGAAGAGGGAAGATGAGATTACAAAATAAGGAGAACAAGAAAAAAATACATCACAAGTATAAAAGCAAAAGGGGAGGAAGGAAGCGAAGGCGTTGAACTTGTATGCAATTCCCCCCATCCCCCACTACGTTGGCCGCGGATATGGGGCAACCCCTTATCCACATAGGTATTGCGCTTATTTTTCTGGCCTTGCCTGCCTTACCTACCTACCTTACCTGACGCCAGAGGCGGTGGCTGGACGTTTTCCTTTTTTTTTTTTTGGGAAGTCTTTCCAGACTTGCTTTTTTCCCTCATCCTATCTCCTATGCTTAAGTTAGAAAAAAAAAAAAAAAGGCTAGGAGCTAAAGAATACAGGTGGTACGAACCTTGATCCATGGAAAGCACCTGTTTAGAACGAATCAGCTAGATTAGCAACTATGGTACACATACACATAAACCTACATGTATGTAGGTGGGCCATATACTTACCTCCTAGGTAGGTATATTGGTAATCACTATGTATCTATCTTAGAGAAGGGTTAGACGGGGGGAAACTTGGGGGGAGGAACATTGCTACGTACCTGATGAACACTTAGCTGATGAGAGGGCTGCTGAGAAGATAGGAAGGATGTGGGTCTCTTAGAACTTACAGATCTACACCCGCCTGCAGCATGCTACTACCGTTTATTAGGTATACTGCTCCTTCTCCTGCTGCTATTTGCTATTATTGGTGTTGCTACTACCTAAACTATGTATTATTTTTACAATTACCAACGCTCATACTCGTACTCATTCATGCTTACCTTCTCTTCTCAACGTAACTTGATCTTTTGCCATCTTCGTCCCATCTTCGTCCCATCTTCGTCCCATCTTCGTCCCCATCCCGCCCCTTCATTCGTTCAACTTTACCCCCAATCTATATCTAAACCTACAACCAATACACATGCACCATTCTATGTTCTGTGCTCTTATACTTTTTCTACCTTTTCTATACCTAACATATATGCTTTATCTTGGTCTACGTCAGTTCCCTGCCCGGTCTTACTCTATGTTACCATTCGCCGTAGTCTAAACGAGCTTCTCAACAACTCAAAACTACTTCGATAATTCGACCATGTAAGCTGCCTATACGAGTAGACGGAACCTAAATATCCACGGAATCTATGACTATAAATAAAGAACTAGAGTTTGAAGCTCTCAGGCCGCTTGGACGGCCAAAACCATTGAAAAAGGTTGACCGGGCTTAACTATCACATTAGTTCTGTCGTAAACTTGACTATATATAGCTGAGATCGATGGCAAATCCCCTTGCAACTTGGTTATCACTTTTACTTGGATATCCTCGCTCTATATCGTACATATATTTATCTGGACCTGGTCTGTCACATCACGACCTTGTTCTTCCTATCCCTCGCTCTGATATTGCTTTTATTATTATTACACATATCTATCGCTAAACAATACCTTCACGATGTCGAGACGTGGCCCTTGGACTAATCGCGAAGATGAGATACTGAAGGAGATCGTCGAGCAACAAGGTGCCTTGAACTGGGTTAAAATTGCACAGCGCGTTCAAACAAGGTCGCCAAAGCAATGTAGGGAGCGCTATCATCAGAACCTGAAACCCGGTCTCAACCACAGCCCTATCACACCTGAAGAGGGGATTTTAATAGAGGATTTGGTCCGCTCCAAGGGGAAACGTTGGGCTGAGATTGCCAGAGCTCTCAACAACCGAAGCGACAATGCGGTCAAGAATTGGTGGAATGGCAGTATGAACCGTCGACAGCGTCTGATGCGTAGAGCAACTGAAAGCCACTACGCCAAGGTTCAGGGCCAAAATACTCACGACGGGTCTACGCCGGAAGCACCGCAGGCTCCAGCATCATACCAATACCATGACCCACGTCACCTCCGCTCACACTCCGGCTGCTCACTCTACGGGCACCATATGCATAATAGGCACCATGACTATGGACAACATGGACTTATAAATGAAGCCACTAGCCTATCGCGTCCAGTCTCTACTTCTCCCTATCCTCCTGCTTATCGTTCTGTCGATCCATCTATATACGGTTCAACTTCACCATATAACTACCAAAGTCGCCGTGCTAGTTCGTGGGGAAACTACTCGGAGTTCTCGGGGCTCCCATCGCCTTCTGCGTCTCCAATATCCCCTATTGAGGTTTCAGAGTCACCTGCTCCTTTTCCGTGGAAGCCGGATCATAGCTTGCCGTATCGCGATACACACGCTTATAGCCACTCCCAAGAGCCTCCCCATGTGCTGCCTCCATTACAGGTTCGGGGTTCGTCCTCACCGTCGCATGACATTCAAGCACTGAATCCCAGTCACGGTCCACAGCTAGCAAGGGAGGTTGTTCGTCTAAGCCGGGTACAGCTACCGCATATTAATGAATGCTTCCCGGGAAGTTATGACTTACATCGTCGACCGCGCACGGCACCTGATACACCGCCACGTCATCCGGCGCGATGCCCGGAACGACGTAATTCGGGATCGGGATCTCCATCCTCACAGCACGTATCACCATACCTACAGCGCCGATCTCCATTATTACAACGCAGGTCTCCACACTTAGGGCGTCGATCCCCGTCATCACGGTTAGGAGACAAGCGCTGCGCTGTGGACCCTAGGATGGATTTAAAATTCCTGACTCATTAAGTACCTATATAAGGATCTATCAAAGGGTCGTTGGATTTAAGAACTACGAAGAAAAGCCCCCCAAAGGGAATAATCAAGAAACTGTTGCATTGGAAAACAAGAAAAATAAACTGCTTGGTGTTTATTTCGTGTTGGTATTTAAGGATATATAGTTGCCGATGCAAATCGACGAAGACCCCCCGTTACCAAAATAGTTGGCATATTTGTAGTTGGGAGGCGATGGGATTCAAATATGTTTTCTTGTATATTGTAATTTATTTCGAGAGCTGAGTATCTACCCGATTGATGGAGTAGGGAATGCTGGAGACTACTTGGAATGTGTTGGCGCTCGATGTATGAGCTTGACATACGAATGAAGAAACAGGAGAACGCTTCATGCTTTCTCTCAATTCAAATCCTTTGATAAATCTAGCTTAGAACTAATACAGGATAAACGAATGCAACTTAGAGTTGTGTGAATAAGACTAACAGGGTACCGACGGCTGGATATGATGGACTAAGTGGAACGTCCCCCCTTTGCGAGAAGCAAGATTATTCTTCAACGGCGACCGAATATGGCGTGGTCTCTAATCTTCTTGGTCAGCAAGTAGAAAGAGGCCGACAGGACTCAAAGATGTTGTGGGACGCACCAAGTCTAGAAAATAAGAGGCCGCTGTGGTTCCAACAATGGAAGTTATTGTTCCATCTTGATGTCTCTCCGAGATCAACAGCGAAGTGGACGTTATAGAACGGTTTCAGGGTTTACCCCTATTCAAGAGTACCCGCTGGGGAAAGTGTTACAAGGAAAGAGTAGATATTGGTAGACCAAGGATGATAATATGAACGTTGCCGAACGAGCCGGTATAGAAAGGAAGGGAGGGAACACACACACACACACACACACACACACACACATACACACACACCCTTGTCTAGTCCGGGTGGTGCAGATCTCTGATCCTGCTGCATACGCTGCAGCGCTTTGCTACGTTATCTATTGTTGGCTTTTGGTGTAGCATGAGCAGGATTTGAACGCAGAGGTTGGGATGGGATGGGGCTGGTATCAAGCGTTGTAATGATGGGAAAAAGAAAAGAATGGAAAAGCTACGATCAGGATTCGGGATGCGGTAGGTATGTATGTCTACACGTATATTGAGCGTGGTATACTCGCGGGTGTCTTATTCAGCCACATACATGTTCCGAGTATTCACGAAATGCCCTTGCATTATCAAACACAAGCACACTTTACCAACACCTTATACAACAATATCGTTCGCCAATACATTGTTGTTTCTGTACCTTACCCACGCGTCCATTACCACCCCATTGAACACTCGTCGTTAGCGTTTGTCGGCACATCATCTACTTGGCGGGCAACGGCCGCCACACGCCCCTGGGGGGGGGGCCGTGAGAGAAATATATTTATATTTATTAAGGGGCTTTTTTTTTTAACGGCGGAAGAATATATATGTACGCCCCTGATCCTGCTTCTGGTCGATTCTTGTGCGATAAATTGAATATGGGCACGGACAATAAGGACCTACATGTTTTCCTGCGCACATATAAGGCTATATCTACGTGTACGTGTGTATATATGTATGCACCTAAGATATGTATATGCGTGGTGTATTATACACGTATGATATGATAAGCTCCATGCGGCCAACCGCTCCCTTGCAGACCGCTCCAGCTTTAGTTCCAGAGCGGGAAGATCGAGGGTCAAGTTCATCTCTCTCTCTCTTTTTTTTTTTTTTTTTCTTAATAAATCTTCTCAAAGGCAAGAGAAGGCGAGGCAAGTTTAAACTCACATACCCGGGATGAGCTCCGTGTCACGGGGTGCTGGACAATCGAATAGACAATGTATGTACACCGCAAATTAACCGCGCGACAAGGACATGGGGATGAAATAGGTGGCACTATCTATTCAATAATAGGGATTATGGATTATGGATTGCGGATTGCGGAAAGATCCTTTGTGTTTGTGCATCTTTCTTCGGTTACCTCCCGGCTCAGTGGAATCCCGACCGTTTGACTGTTGAAAGGGAGTGTTACCGGCAGCCTGGTACTGGCGAGTTGGCGCAGGGATCTTTTCTTATTTAATATTTAATATTCTTAATTTTTATTATTATTATAAATTCGGTTTACTGCATGCATACATGACCTCGTACAGATCATCTATCGTACGTACGTGACGAGACAACCATGCGTGCGTGGTTTAGATAAATTAGCAACTGGGCATGATCCGCGGTGCTGCTATCGGTACTTAGGTATATATATATATATACCATATATTATATTTATGTTATTATTATATTATTATTGCTACTATCTATAAATTATATATACTTAACTCTATAGGTACATATAGTCAAATATACATGTATATGTATATGCACCTTACCATAAATACTCCTAGGTCGCCGATGAGATGCAAGATCCGCACGCTAGAGATTGTCCTACGTATCATGCCACCGGGGGTGCGATGTACATATTAGATTTGTGATATTACGGCCTGACCTACAGGTTACCGCTCGCTCGCTCTCTCTTGCCCAAGAAGCACGTTAACCTAGCTCCGTACGGACATACCGTTCCGAGACAAGAGAGAATCCGCTGAAGAGACTAATTACTAAACCATGATAATAAGAATAACAAACAATAATACGCAAATTGGAGGGACTACCTAGATGACATCTAAAAATTAGAATAAAATAATGGAAATAATAAATAGGTACTCGCTTTCTCCGATCTCCGCAGGGTACACAGGCCCGGAGATCTGGGTCAGCATGCTCGGTTATCGAGAACCGAACCCCAAGTTTACGTATCCCCGTCTAACGCATATCCATACATACCCATGCCCCCCATGTCCATGCTTACTTTTACATCCGTAACCTAAACCAATCCTTGGCACATTTCACCGGGAACGCCTACAGGCATCGTCATCATTTATCATCATCATAGTTAGTTTTCCAAACGACCGGGGAAACGTGAGGCGTTTGAGTACGGACACATACTCGAATTTGAACCCCGAAAAAAGCAAAAAAAAAAAATTAAAAAAAAAAATATTTGTTAGCTTGTTATTAGTGATATTAAAGTTCAATTTGTATCTATGGAAGGACTAAAAAAAACTTTATAAGTCATTAGTTAAATCTTTATAATAAACTCCAACGCTTAAAAATAAGCTTAAACCCGTACATACATACAGCATAACACAAATCAAACACTAACAACCATACTAAAGCACAAAGTTCGGGAAAAACCGGTCGACGTTGACAATCTTTGCATCGTTCAAAGTCTGTATCTCTATATCTGTGCCGTCCCTGTCCCTGCACATACAACACATCATCTTCGGAAGCTACTCCGTCCAATAATACACGTGCTCGGATCCCTTTTGACCCTGAAGATCTAAGATCTACTTTCCACATGTCCCCATACTCCCCCATGACCTCCATACTGATGATATACATACAGTGCATTATCATTCCTTCTTGCTCGTCGGCTCTCTAGCTTTTCGGCCGAAATCTTGTACAGAGACTTCAAACCTGACACACATAAGAAGCCCATGTAGTTTATGCTAGTGATTAGTCATGGAAGGCATCTAATAAGGTACACACTGTAGGATTGCGGGAGGGCCTGTATGAAATTACATGTGTAAAACACCTGGACTACTTATAGATCGAGCCTTTTCTTCGCTTGTATAGGATCAGCCTAGAATCTTGTGAGCACAAGCTCGATAGCTATCGTGAACAGATGGATCCCTCAAAAACTAAATCCATCGTCCAAGAACCACTGCATAAACGTTACCTACTCCATCCTTTCTACATGTATTCGTGATACACTACTCAACGCCTCATACATTATTATCATATTGATTCCCGGTCTTGTCCGCGCCCTTAGTCAGTGTGCCTGTTGCCTTGCTATACTCACTGTCTTCACCCCCCGGCGTTGGCGAGAGGTTTGTATGCCTACTGGTTAACTCAAATGCTGAGCTAGGACTCCGGACGCTGTCGCTATCGAGTGATGTTGGTAGTGCTATTGGTACCCTTGAAGAATCGAAGTAAGCAGCCACCGACGGGCTCCCTGTAGCTGCTTGAATTACTGTGTCTAGACTGCCCGTACAAGAATCTTGTGAGCAGATATTTCCCGCGGCTGATGACCACCGGTCTTCCCAAGACTCCGGGGGGCTAGACAAGTCACCCACCGGTCCTTCGCTTATGTCCTCGGTCGAGTTCTCTTTCATGTCTTTAAGTCTGGGTTTCCATAGCTCAGTATTTATATCCTGATTTATCATAGGAGGAGCCCCTGCTAGATGTTTATTGCCAGAGCCGCCGCTTGTGAGAACAGGAGATACATCGTCACCAGGCATAAACGAGAACCCGGATAGGCATCGTAGGCGTCTTTCGTTCAGGTGGAAGCCTATGTCTTTTGGCGCCTCATCGAGCCTACAGCCACTTAGATGCCGGCGAACGTTCTCCAGGCGTAAAGAGGCGTCATCGCTGCTGCTAATAAGAGGTTCCTCACAGTCTAGTAAGTTTTCCAATATCTGCCGCCTGGCCTGCTTTCTACGCCACCCAGACGGTTTTATCCCTGTTCCTGTTCTGCTGTCTATCTCAGACGCATCGGATACATCATCCGAGAACAGTGGCTTTGGTATTATTTGACCGGTAGAAACTATGGGTTCCACTGGTTTTTTCTCTGGCCCAGACGAATCTTCGCTCGCTCCTGGGGTCACTGCTGTCTCATAGAGTCGACGCCTACCTTTAGGGTGAGTCATACTGGCATTTATGACAGTATCATGTCGCCGTATCCTCTCGCTCATGAGGAAGTCGCTATTACTGTCGAGTACTTTGGGTACAGGCTTGGTTCCGTATTTGTCCATGTCTCCAGGTACGTCAAGAGACGCATCTGCAAATGTATATGTAAGATACCCTTGTCGAGAAGAAAGGTGCTAGGTGGATAGCAGGTGGGTGTACTTACCTTCCATGGTTTGCGTGCTGAGGCGTTTCAATTTAGAGACGAATTGCTTAGCCTGAGGACCATTCCTATCAACGACACTATTCGTCCTAGCCAGCGTCACTGCCTCTAGACCATCGCTCGACGTTCTCGACAGTAGTACTTCAAGCCGTTTGATCTCGGCTTTATACTGACTCTCGCGTTCTAGCCATTCGTCGGCTACAGACTTGAAATGCTCTAGGTGATGCTCGAGCGAGTGCCTAGATTCAGTGTAAGCAGCATCGATGGTCTGAATCCTCTCCTGGGCATTGGCGAATCCTTCGATTAGGTGTAGGATATACGAGTTGTACTCGATAGGGATGGGTCGTAGTGCCCTCTGGGTCATGAGAACGACCTGGAGCGCCTCGACCATCTGGTCCAGAGAGGGGTTATACCATATCTTATCTTGTTCACGGATAAACAAACTAGCACTACTGCTACCGGTCAATAACTCGCGAGAAGAGTGGCTGGTTAGACTCAAGTTGCTGGCGGCCCGTCTCGGTGCTCGTTCAGGGGATGTTGGCGTCCGGGGGATGCTAGGAGTACGAGAACGCTGCCCGAGCCGAAGCCAGCTGAAGTCGGCCATGTTGCAAAAGTGGTTCTAGGTTCAATATGACATATGAAACCTAAAGGATAAGGATTGACTAAGGGGTACTGAATTAATTTATATGTTATGATACGATGAGTTGGGTGTAGCTCTGGGGTAAACAGGAATATATAGAGAACAACATGCGGGTGCTCGGGAACGATGCAAAAGGGATAAAGTGAATTGGCTAGAAAGGGAACAAACTTTTGACGCTTTGGTTGGCTAGACTTGTTAGATTTGTTTCTTCAATTGGAGGAAGTCACAGTTGACAGTGACAATCAACCATTCCTAGCAACTACGTGACTTCCCATCATATATGTAGGTATGTACTTATGACGCGCCGGAAGGGCAAGTACATATTAACATATACGTGTATCCATGTATATGAGGTATATGAGGTATCCGAGGTATCTATGCATGCATACCATTAAAGGAGGCAACATATGCGGATTCTAAAATATCAGACTACTATCCTCTTAATGCATTCGCCGAATGATACTATGTAACCATATTACATGTTCAACGCTTTTCTCATATACGCCCATCACCATAGTGCCCATCCTTAAATCTATATCACATACGTGCGTCTATCAGTCAAATAAGTCTCCTGCTCTCTGCCGCTGTCTTGATCTTCCTTCAAGTCTATCAGTGAAGAGTTCTTTTCCGGAATTGGCCCCTAGTTTTTCGGGGAATAGCTCCTTCGCTGACTTGCCCGCACTGCCCTTAATTGCAAACCCCTGGTTGGCGCTCCTCTGGCTTGCTGTTCCACGAATATTGAACCCAGAGTCCCTAACCTCCTCTACAGTTGTAATCCTGTCTGCCAGTTTACTCTTCCCCGGAACGGTAATCCTATCCTCGAGCCTACGCCCTGACGTTGTTCGTGTATCGTTTCTCTCGTCCATCAGAGGTAGCATGATCCCCTTGGCTAGTAAAGTAGTCGTATCTTCTATTTCATCCCCGAGTCGCCCGGATCCCTCCCCTGACTTGCCCGGGAAAAGCTCTCTAGCCCTATTGCTACGCGACATGCGGCTCTTGATTGCACGTGCTTTGTCCCGATTTCGCGCTGCCAACCCGTCACTCGCAATGTCGTCCATTGCCTGGTCGCTATCTCGACCGCGGGGTGAAGCTGACCGCCTCCGTCGAGACTCGTTCTGACCGCTTGAGCTGCCAGGAAATAGCTCTTTGCCGCGATTGTCAGGACGATACGAATCCCTCCCATATCCCTCTTCGCTCGTGTTTGGTGTATATGACCGCCTGCGCTGAGGTCGTGAGTACGACGCGCGACGAGATAAGGCGGCTTCATCATCGTCATATAGGTTTACGTCGAATTGTTCCTCAGACTCCCGGTTTCGGGCTTCCCTTGTTCGCCTACGGTTATATCCATCACCATCCCGGTCGCGATACCTCCGGGCCTCATTGCGCCGCCGCCGTTCTTCTGGGTCATATTCGGGGTTTAGGAGATAGAAGCGGCTCCTTGAAGCAGCGCCAACTTGCTTCTTATCGGATGCGACAGCTAACCGGACTTGTAACATAACCTCTGGCCTCTTTGAGAAGGGCTTGGCGGATAAGAGTTGTCGTAAAGGAAGTTGAGAAACATCATATATGTCTTGGGCTGCTAAGGAGCCGAGCGCGCTCGAGGCAGCTGATTCGGAACTAAATAACAGGTTGGCCGAGGAATCATCTATCCACTCTATTCTCTCTATTGGTTCCTCTGGGAAGTATTCGGCTACATAAGTCTTGACCTCTTCGGGATTCATGACATCGAGGCCTCTGATATAGACTTTGGCAGGTATAGGAGTATCGTCGTCTACTATTTCCCCGGGTGAGCGATTGCCCTAGAAAGACATTTGTTAGCATCTTATCTCGTCTCGCCTAGCGTAGGTTGTGGTAGTTGAGCATACAGGCGCGTCTTCAAACTCTGGTTCGGGAATTATAGGCTCGTCAGGAACGAGGTCAACATCCACATCCATCTCCATGTCGAGATCCATAGTGTCCATCGTGTCTAGTATCTACCTGCCAAGGCGCGTTTTTGATAGCAGGGGCTGAGTTGTAAGGAAACTGATCAAGTGGAATCGTTGAATCCAAATGTGTAAGGCGCGCCGAAAAGAAGGAGTGATCAAAACAAGCTGAGGAAACACCTAGGAACTTCTAACTATAATTTTTTTTATATTAGCTGGTGGGTATATTGGTGTGATGCGATCGTGACTAATGGATACTGGATATTGCATGCAATTAAGTGACTATTGCGGACTAAAGCTTCGAATTGTTGAATGAAATAGATATAATATGGAGAGGGAGATAAGAAGGAGGTATGTTGATGCGTAGCATATGCAAAGGGAAATACCTGTTCAAGTATCTAATATAATAAGGTTGTGATGAAGTTGAATTGAAGCTTTGAAGAAGGTAGCTTAGTACTTACATGTAGGTACCTTAACCAGTTTAGACACTGACTAACCCCCACATTCAGGTGGGTCTTTTCTCTATTACCCCTGGTACCTTTGTATTTGCTCTTTGTCTTCTTGTCTGCTTGTCGCACATCCATGTCTCATGTGTCTCATTTATAAGGTTAGGCACATTGGTTTATACATAGGTAGTAATTATGTGTTTAGCTGGATCACCGCCTACACGTAACATTTCGGATTTCAGATATATGAAGTATATGAGATGAGTTGGAGAAACTGAAATTTAATAATATAACGAATGATGAGTATTACCTCCCCTCACTTTCTTCTTCAACTCCAAATAAATCTCCAAGACTCGCTTATACATTCCAAATTATTGAATACATATCTGTGCATACAACGTGTTGACTAGCACTGTATATGTAAGCCGGTGTAAGACTAAGCAGGCTGTCCGGTTTTGTGTGGCTTGGGCCATACCGGTTGAGCCACTGGACTTTTCTTTCACTTTCTTCTTTCCCCTTCCTGTCGACAATCTTGACCGCTGCTTGTTGACATCCCGCTCTGTCCGGTTGTATAAATCGTACCTCTGTCTTACACTTACTATTTAAAAAATTGTAGATAGTTGAGACTCCCAATTTGCTGTTGCTTGAAACTTTCTACTAGACCATGATGTCCTCTGTCTGTCTCATAAAATATTCATCGTCATCATCATCACCATTCTCTTTCATATCCGTCTTGTGGATATACAAACTATCCCATCAGAATGATAGAGGACATTCATCAGCCTAGACCATATATGCTTCCTTCAGTTGCTTGTAGGCGAATAGGCGAATAGGGGCGAAGTATGTGAGAATAATCAAACTTGTAGGAATCCATTAGTATCCCTTTCCTGTCGTCTGTTTGCGCCCCGTATCCTAGGGAAAGGGGAAAAAGAGAAACGCCCTCCCATGTCTATATGCACATCGTCGTGCTTCTATATGGTATATCCAACCCTCAAGTCTAAACCGTCTCCACACCCTGTCTACGAACTTCCATAGGTGTTTGCATACACGTTCGTGGCAATTTTTGCCGCGAACTGTCGTTTACTTCATTTGCCGACATTGAGCCCATGCTCGGTGTCCGAGACATCTCTGATGCTGTCCTTTTTAAAGATGGTAGAGGTGGTACAATCTCCCCTGCCGACCTCCCATCTTCCACCTCGCCGTTGAAATCTTCGAAGTTATCGTTTGGGTCAAGTAGCGGATCGTAGGCCCAGCATTCTTCAAGACCATCTAGATAGCACGGCGATCGCCTTAGGAAATGCCACGAGAAGGTATCCGACTGCATTGCAATATACATGGACTCTACCTTACCATTTGGCAAGCAAACGGCGCAATATTTGCGTAGAAAATCGAGATCATAGCTCCCACCAATTAAATCTGGGTCTAGGGGCTTGAGCATCGGAAGTCCCTGTAATGTCGCAGCGTCACAGAGCCGGGCCTGCAGCGGAACCCACTCTCTACCTCGGAGGAGTCGTCCAAACGCCTTGGACACGGCTTTAGCGAAGGACTCGCCATCTGTCCCTCCGACTGCGATCATTTGGTGAAGTCCACGAGATAGACACCGCTTGTACGCATTTGTGTCCTTCTCAAAAGGGAACGGCTGTGAGGCTGTCGGGAGAAGCGATATGTGCACGGTCCAGGAGCCTGTCACCTCTACTGGGCTATCGGCAGACCCGCGGCGAGAGCCTGAGACTGAAGTTGAGGTGGATCGCGCTATATCACGGTTATCCAACGGGCGGGTCCGGCGTGCTACTTTGAAGTCCACTGAGTCTTCCGAGCCTGATGTAGATCTTCGTCGACGCCTACGGAATGGGATTCGTTGGCAGTCCTGTTCCTCTAATGCATCTACGCGGTCTTCAAGGACCATGGATGCTTCGTCAAACTCCATCAGCCTATCGCCTAAGCCATGTAGAGTGTCATCATGGCCGTCCAACCGTTCGTCAAACATAAGGAGACGGTCTTCGTATCCTGTTTGCCGCTTTTCGAGCTGGGTGACTGATTGCCACATACGGTCAACGTTTTTATAGCAGCCTTTCATCTCTTGACTGGTCTCATCTCTGTTCTTCTCAACCTGTTCCTCCAAGTCCCCTAGACGCCGAACCACACTGCCTAACGCACCGCCAAGCCCTCCCTCGTTCTCTCGGTCAAGCTGGTCCTCAAGTAATTTGATACGCCGGCGAAGTATGTCAACTTCATTTTTATTCTGGGGTGGTTCGGCAGACTGGATGTGGTAACACGAGAGGTGACCACAGTCGCAGGTGACGCCGGGGAGAGTCCGGTTAATGGTGAAGCCGACACAGGCACAACGCTGCCCCTTGATTTCCGGGTTCAATAGAATATACCGGCACTGTCCGCTGGGAAGTTTGTTCTCATCGATAAGTTGATTAGAAGCCACAGGTTCCACCCGCGGTGATTGCGAAGAAGGTTCAGACATGGTCCTTTATTTCAGCTACAAAGCAACAAATCCAATCCTGGACCGGAGGACGCCTTCAGAATACGAGGCCTCGCCTTGAGGCCACCCAAGTACGGGTACCCAGCGTTATGTTGTGCACGAACGAAAGAGCACACACCCCGAGGTTAGTTAATGTTATCGGACGCAACACGCGAAGTACAGGAGCGAGACGGCGGGGTTTACTTGGTCCATGGAACGACTTGAAATATCCATACACCAGATTCCCGGCTGGTAGGAATGGGTTTGCTCACGACCGTGGGAAACCCGTGTTTTTGCTTTCCTAAATCGGAAGATAATGGGGTGTTGAGAAGGGAAGTAGGAGGAATCCTAAGGTGATATAATAAGGATATGACTTGGTGGTATGCTGATGAATGAGACCGGGTCCCACAGTCCGTTATCAAACTACCCACGGCGCTCGAGGCCAGGAACCGGCCAGTGACTAGTGGAGGCCGATGTAGGTATGTTCCTAGGGTGTAACAAAAAGACGAAAGACGCCGCAGCAAAACACAGACGTACTGGCTGACAGCAGATAACAAGTACAAGATATGTATTGGATCACCAGGGAAGATGATGTGCCTAATGGATAAAAAGACGTTGACGCAAGAAAGAGACAGAAAGAGTACTTTTGGGGACGAGTGTACAAAATGCGTGGACGGATGTGTTCGAGTGGGATCCGCTGCAGATAAACCGATAGGCTAGAAGGGGTCCGAGTTATCAGATACCGCGCAAGGATTGCGAGAACCCGGCACAGTTCGGATCGCCAGTCCTGATTCTTTTTTCCACCACTTGTTATAATAATAATTATTGCTAGTATATCAGATGGACGATGGATGGGGGTGGTGGCCCAACCGCGGGCAGTTGTTATTAGGAGTCTGTCATGAATACAGAATTGCTCACGATGATCAGGTCTTTGCCAACTTGCGAAGTTTTGAATAGGCCCGAATCGGAAGATGTAAGTAGTGTATTGAGTATTTTTTGCGGGAGAAGATCTGGGGGAGCATATGTATGTAGTAGGTTAGGCTTAGGAGTGGGCTAGGGAGAGAGTCTGGGATAATGTGGGTAGAGTGACTAGGTTAGATAGGTTAGAGAGGAACGAGAGAAGAGAGCGAGGGATTGGAAGGAGGGAGGAGAATGCATTACTCTATTGCGACCGGGAAGGCGACACCACATCCTAGGTAGGTACAATGGCCTACCCGCCTACCGCCTACCTTTCCAACCTATATAGGGTAGGTGTATGTAAGTATACTAACCTACTATGTATGTAGTACTTAGGTACGGAGACGTTGTGAGATTTGACATGTGCAGCGAAAGGGGGGGGGGAGGGGGGGATTCCGCCTTTAGACAGCATTCAAGATATAAAATATAAAGTAAAATATAAAATGGCCCGCAGTTCCTTACTGCAACTTTAATCAATTATCAGAGATTTTTCTGATTATTATCCCTGCCGGCCAAGTTCGTTGGTGCTTCAGCGTTTTACTGCAGGTGGAAGGGTAGAAGGGTGGAAAAGGAAGCATGTAAAAGCCACAATGCCACATGGATTTGCCGCAGGGCCTTGTTTAGGTTTAGAGAGAGAACGGGGCCAGTGGAGACTATCTCTTGTGACATCTCGTGTGTGGGGGTTCCTTCTCTAAACCGATAAGGAGAAGACGGGAGGGCGAGAACGTCTTGGATATCGGCTATTGGTCCGGTTGTTCCCACTGTTCCCACTCAGGGCTGTCCCCCCACACTCTTTTTCTAGATACTTACATGTATGTATATATGTATATACATACACTACATACTACTATGTAGGTGGTACCATAGTATATCCAAATGCAACCGCAACCCATGTCTACAACGTCTTGATGCTGTCTTACTAGTGTATAGTACGTATAAGTGGCCTCGGCCGTCACAGGCCAGCGTATACTTTAGGCATAGTGCTTGACTATCTAACCATATAAGTGAAAAATGATGAAACTGACCGGTGAGTACGTAATCAGGCTAGTCCTTCTACCGACTTATAAGACGTGTCTATTATACCCTTCGTCGTGTGTATACTATATGTCCACATGCTACCATTTAAACTACCATGTAGGCCACCATGTAAGGGTTTTATCTTCACTTTGGGTCGATCTACAGATTGAAATGCCTATGGGTGCAGACGTGTAGATACAAAAGGACCGGTCCAATACGGAATGCCCCGTCCGCCTAGTCTTGTGTTGCTTGCGTTTATGGCGTGCATCAGATGCATCAAATCTGCGCAACAGACGGACTCGATGACCAAAACTAGCGGGTATCTTACCCAAGCGACCGTCACCCTGCGAGCCTCCAAGTAAGAGGGTGAGCGAGATTCGGGAGATATACCAAGACCGCAATAAACTGCAATACTGCAATACCACAAGACGATGTCAGCAAGCAGCATGTAGCAAGCAACAAAATATTAAAGGTCGGTTATCAACGTTGGGGCCCACGTTGTACAAGTGGTAATACATACATTACGTGCTTAAGGTGATTAAACGAGGGTTATAAGTGGTTATGATTGGATAATAATTGTATTATGAGAATGTACGGAGTTACAGACTTCGTACTAAAGGCTTCGTACTATCGGAGCCCCACAAAGGCCATGGAATCTCGGTACAATGAGGGATGACGGGATGGTGCAATAAATAGACTAATCCGTCGAATCTGTTGCGTAATAATGTCTCAATCCGTTGATTGTATGTATGCGGGCGGTAGATCAAGTTTAAAATTGGAATACGGTACTTGAGCCATGGATATTTGTAGACCGAACAAGTAAGTAGATATGATACGTGAGTGCTATACTATACCTATAGGTACCTACCATAGTAGGTTATATATAAAAGGGGGATGAAAGGGGTGAACGGGGGGCCAACAAGGTAGGCATATCATAATCGAACGTACATATGAAGATACATATATGTGTGTATTATTGCGCATATCTGGATATCTGGATTCTTGGATGCTTCAATGCTTGGATGCATCGAGCTGTAAGCAACCTTACAATCTGCGCATACATACCGTACATACAATGATACGCGCTCCCCCCACGCCGTAGATATTCCCGCTCGACAAGGGTTACCCTCCAGCGTTTCGTCTTTCTTGGGTATATTTATTTATCTTGCTCACCTCACCTCGAGCAGACAAACCTCTGATACCAACAGGGCCCAATGGGGAATGAATGAAGTGTTGGACAAACTCTCAGCTCTCCTGGATACCTTTGATAAGCTACCATTTCACCTTCCAATCCCAATCCTCAAACCAGCTCGGAGTCGCGTGCCGCAGATATTTGTGAGATCTACTCCTCGGATTGCATCACTGTGGTTCCTATCTGCACGAAGGTGACAATACGATTGCGTATCCCAGTGCCCATGCGCTACTTTTGAGTTGACCGCCCTGTCTCATTGCGGCATCGAAGAGAGGATGACATCGTCGTCATCTACTATGAGGAAAAGAGTCAATATTCGCTTAGTCGGATTTTGAAGCCTTGTGCTGCCGCCTGATACCACTACGTCCATAAGTTCGAAATAAGATCAGTGGAACATTCGTCTCAACGGCCGCTTGAAGCGATCCATAACTCATCGCCATCATCGGCATTAGAGCTAGGGCAAACAGAGGCCTAGTAAGTCAAGTTACAACCAATTGCAAGGTAATACGTCCGCATGCATGAGCTGTTTTCAAAAAATTTATGTGGGTGAAGATTATAAAAGGTAAAGAGAAATTATATCTATGCCTCATTTAGGCGTGTTTCTTAGAGCGAGACGAGAGTTGCACATCATACAACTAGTAGGTAGGCATGTTAAAATATCCATATCGTTTATAGCGCTTATGGATACTCGTTAAAAAGGGAAGTCTTGGACATTTACCAAGAAATCGGAAGAGGCCTTGGCTGCTTGGTTTGAAGGTTGAAGGCTTGGAGGTTTTGATAAGTCATTTCTTGATAAGATAAGATAAATACCCTAGCGTGTATATTTTCCATCCCACAAATTATAGTTGAGGCCATGTAAGCTGGACGAAGGAGGAAGTGGGCAGGTTCAATGTTGGGTGAAAAGTACCTAAAGAAGCTACCCAAGTACTCATTCACCAAATTTAACGTATAGAGTACAAGTACCTGTATCTGAGATAGACGCTTGACGTACCCGCGTTTGAACCCCACTGCATATCCAGACTTCAACATATCCAACTACATCCCACTTACATTATACGTATACCGTATACCACAACGTATATCGCTGCGCATAGGTAACAATAGGTAATTATCAATGACTACACACCATTGTAGCTCTTAGATTACCGTTTGCGACCTTATAATCTAGAGGCTTGCTACGGCAGATTCTTCTTTGGCCATGGCGAGTGCCGCTGCTAACCTCACTTCACTCTTGCGGGCCTCGACCATTCAAGACCATGATGAAATCCTGAAAGCCGCCAATGCAGCTATCAAAGCCTCTAAAAAGGATACCGAAGCTCATAAGACCCGTATCATTGCTCTCTTAAAGCTGGATCGCTTCGAAGATGCCCTCCGAGCCATAGCCGAAGGCGGAGACGAATTAGAGAAGGAATATGTTTTTGAGAAGTCGTACGCTCTCTACAAGTCTGGTCAGCTTGATGACGCCGCAAAAACACTTGAAATAGCTTCTTCATCCTCTAAGTCCTCTCGTCCTTTCCGCCATCTCGCCGCTCAGATAGCCTATCGCGCCGAGAAATTCCCCGATGCCGCCGATGCCTACCACCATCTATTAACAGGATCGGGAGGTCTAGCTGGTGAAGAAAACGACTTGAATATTAACCTTCTCGCTACAAACGCTCAGCTGGAGTGGAATGGACTTGGTTATCTATTAAGGGAGCAAGAGAGACAACCCTCGCGTGACCATCTCGAAGCTTTTGAAACAGCGTACAATGCTGCGTGTACTTGTATTGCAAGGGGCGATTTCAACCGCGCATCTGTTTTCCTTAAGCGGGCGCAGGATCTATGCGAAGCGAGCGAAGACCTATCTGCGGACGAGAAGAAGGCCGAGCTGCTACCTATTATGGTGCAGCATGCCTACGTTCTCGCGAGATTAGGCAAAGAAACAGAGGCAGCGGCTCTACATAGATCTATCGTGTTATCTGAGTGAGTAAAGCTATCCACGCTAATTCGCGTCCATATTCTGACTTCCGGTAGGATCCCGGAAGCACCAACAAGGGCAGTTGCACAGAACAACGAGATCGCCATCGGCGCTGCAGGAAGAAACCCTTTCCTTACACAACGCCTCTTCCAGTCGGCTACAAAGCTGTCTGGTAATGATAAGCTCTTTGCCTACCAGACATCTACATTGAAGCAAAATGAATATGCCATAGATCTGCAGACACAGAAGTTCGACGGTATCGAGTCTTCTACCTCGAAATTAATCCTACAGAGCCCATCCCCTACAAGCTCCGTAGAAATCGCACGCCTTGGAGTCATTAATGCAGCAGCGCATACCCACCTGCAGACCGGTGTAGAATCTCTCAAGCAGATTCTCCCCCTCCTTGAGAAACGTCCGACTGATATTGGGCTTCTATTAACTATCATCCAACTATACGTGCAATTAAAAAAACCCGGCCCAGCATTAACCCTCCTTGAAGCCTTCCTTAAGCGCCTGGAAACAGCGTCAGCTCCTAACTTCGAGGACGTGCGTTTTGCACCCGGTCTTGTTGCTGTAACCGTAGCATTGTACCGATTGCAAGGGCGACAAAACTCTATCCGCACAGAACTAGCAAGAGCATCTACACACTGGCGCTCGAAATCAAAAGATTCTGCCTCATCTCTCCTCCGCGAAGCCGGCATTGAGCTCCTCAAGTCTTCTAGTCGTGAGGACATCGCCTCAGCAGGCGAATCCTTCGAAGCCCTAGTTGCCCAGTCCAGCAAGGACGCGATCGCAGTCGCAGGCCTCGTAGCCTCCTTCGCAAACGAGGACTTCGCCAAAATAGAGACGTACTTGCCAAGCCTGACACCAATCGAGCGTCTCACGGCGGGTGCCACCGACGTTCAAGCCCTTGTGGCTTCGGGCGTAGCCTCGATCCAGACACCTGCAGCCCCCACAAGTAAAAAGCGCCCCGCAGACCACGAGCCAGAGAAACCGGCCGCTAAGCGCCGGCGCAAGAAGCGGCTGCCCAAGAACTACGAGGAAGGCAAGCTACCTGATCCAGAAAGGTGGTTACCTCTACGCGATCGCAGCACCTACAGACCTAAGGGCAAGAAGGGCCGCAAGCGGGCCCAGGAGTCCACGCAGGGCGGCGTTGTCAAGGAGGAAGAGACGCTGGAGCTAGTCGGTGGTGCTGGCGCCGTCAAGGTAGAGAAGGCGTCAGGGGTACAAGGGGGCAAGAAGAAGAAGAAAGGAGGGAAGAAATAAAAAATAGGGGGGGGGGAGAGGCGTGAAGAAAAAAAAAAGATATATATAGTAGCATTGAATACAGTGTATATGTCTCAGAAAAGAGACAAAGTTCGCTTTGATAATATGGACCCCTTGATATGGGATGGTAGTGACTGTTACGTTTTTTAAGTAATACGTAACTACATCGCCTTATTCAAACATGAGAATAACTATATGGGAACTATCTATCCTACGACAAGGCAAAATATAATCACATAGCAAAAACACGCATAGATCATCATTAACAAAGGGCGATTTTATAAAGGAGTGCTGCTAGAAATCCATGTATATACAGCAATTACCGTAACGCGTATACTCCGCTCCGTCTCCGACCAGGACTCTCTAGCAAAGTTAACCTGGCGTTGTTTTAAATATCGGTAGGGGGGAGGTAGGTGGTGGTTATTTTGTTTGTTTCGAAGGTCCTTCATACCCTTCTCTTACTTCCGTCGAAGCACTGATGCCCTTTGTTTTTCCTCTCTATCAGTACATTCAACACATGTATTAATTGTCGTTTGCCGTATCTTTTTTTTCAAGTTCGAGAGCGTGTGTAACCATTTCCTGTTTGTCCTGCTCCCTGTGTGAATCCGAATCCTCTATAAACTCCTATGCAATGGTGGCTACAAAAATCGAATCCCTCAGAACCGAAACAACACTCAACAATTGCCACGGCATGATATCCACGACCCACGACTGTCTATCAACATTACGCACCGACTGTTTGAACGACAGGACTGGGCAGCTGCTCTATATCCTGAGTTACCTCTCCATCTTTTTCACCTACCTCTGATGCTTTCTGAATAGGCGAACTAGGAGGCTCGGGTGTATAAAAGCGGGCTTGCGACATCCGACCCTCTTCAGGACTTTCGTCTTCATCATCTAAAGGTGGTAAGGGAGACCTTCGGCCATCTGAAAAGCTTACGGCTGCGTCGCTATCTTCGTCAGATGGAACTGTTAGGCCTCCTGTAGCTGCATAGCGATGAGTTTTCGACGACGAATATTTCCGGTGTAGATCTCGGAAAGATCGAGCGGTTGCCGTGCTGGCACTAGCACCCGACCCCCGCCGAGCAGACCGTTCCTGAGGATTAGAGAGGACTGAATGAAAGTCGTCATCCGTGTTTGTGAAGGAATCAAACTTGTGCTCGTCGCTTTGATACGACTGTTTACGTTGTTTTATACGTTCATCGTTTGACATGTTCTGCAGTTCACTCCCAAAATTGATGACAGACGCTTTTTTACCATGTACCGTAAAACTACCGGTGCCACGAATGAGAACATCGTTCTCTCGAACGGTTTCATCCGACATACCACCGCTCGATGCGGAATCTTTCCCCTTCCTACTGCGGTGGTGTGACAAATGACCTGCGCCGTCCCTTAGCGTACGTTGCAGACTACGGCGCGTCTTGCTTCTGTCAAGCCCCTCCTTATCTAATCCAGAAGCGCTCGTGCGTTTAGGTCGATCGGGGCTATCCTCGTGAACTTTACCGGAGGAAGTACGCTTATGACCCGATGCCCGGCCGGACTCCATCTCGAGAAGACCGGTCTGTTCAAGGATCTGTCTCTCCCCCTCGTCCTCTTCCGCTTGTTCATCGATGGTATCCTTGTCTTGTCCAATGGCTGGGCTTGACGCTTTGCGGGGTAGTGTAGTCGTAGCAGCTAACCTTAACGAGGAGGATATACTTGTCACAGATGTCTTTCGGATACTGAAGTGGTCAGAACTGACGGGGGGTACATCTTGGGAAGACTGGCCGTCATGAAATAATGGGTCAGTGGCTGAAGTTGGAGGTGTTACGAAATTTTCTACCGCAGGCGAGTCTCCATCCACTTGATTTACAGATTCGGAAGACTGAGTCAGCGAAAGCGGAGCGGGAGACCGCAGAGTCTGTTCTGTATTCTGGGATCCGGATGGCGACTCCTTATCCGTAGGCAATGGTTTCTCGGTGGTCGAACCAGTCTCGACCATATCATCCCCTAAATCGCCATTGATTTCTTTCTCCTCTTCGAGATCTAAAGCAAGGATGTCGCGATGACATTTTAATCTCCAGATTTCCGTCCGAGACCACTTTAACTGAGCAATAATTTTCGCAGCGCCCCCTCGAACCTGGTCCCGGGTTTTATCCTGAATTGGAGCTAATATTAGTAAGTGCCTGGCATTCCTCAGTTGTGTCTCTAGGATTTTCTGGGCGTGCTCAAGTTTCCCATCGGCCTCCTCAATCTTCTGACGTATGATTTCACGACGAGCAACGAGGATGTCTCGAGCCATCTGATGGTCGATACGGCTACGGTTGATACTGACTTCTCCGCTCGGTGTTTGAATGAGCTGAGTCGCGTCAGGACTGTCTAACCTCCTGATGGCACGTCGACTTTGACCTTCGTAGTTACCACCTATGACCCCACGCATTCGTACGCCGGACGTTCTGAATGCAGCGGCATAGTTTAACTTGGCGAGCCAATCATTTCGGTCTTCTTCGCTCTGTGCGAGCAGCACTTCTTCTAGCCCGCCGTGTCTGACATATACAAACGAGTTCTTGTGCTTCTTGTAACTGGCATCCCAGAGCGCTACAGCACCATCCGTTGACATGAGAGCATCAGGCTTGAATTGTTCGAGGGGTGGGTTGAAGATGAGTGGTATCCCATCGTGCCCCGACTTGATATGTGTCTCGTACTGATGCATTAGATTTTTGACCCATGCCGTGTTGCGGAAGAAGTATAGTTGGGCGCCGGTTAGAATGGCCCCCCATTCTTGCCATGGTGAGCGCGTCTTCTTTTTCTTAGCATCTTTACGCCATAGCAATCCGACTTTAGTAACCTTAATGTCTACTATACCCGGATGGGCTTCTTGTGGATTGTTTGCCGTTTTCTCGGTCATAAAAGCGTCCGGACGGGACCGCGCTGATACAATCTGCAGAACTCCTGTCTTGAAAAAAGTGTTCTGCAGTTCTTTCAGGTTGAGGTCATTGGCTGTGCCTGTGTAACTATAATGTTCCTCGAGCGGGATTTGGTCCTTAAGAGGTGGTCGGAGGGTATCGAGCCGGCCGTCTAGGATTAACGTATAGGGGTCAATGGGGTCTTTCGACCTTCGCAACGTTTCTGTCGTGCTGTTCGGAAACGCAGCTTTCTTCTTCGACCGTATGCTACCAGTTCGCTCGCCATTAATACTTAGATCATCCTCGACATGGATAAAGGGTGTGTAGCTAATATTGTCATAAAAGCATTCCAGTATATCATCGAAAATGCCTTCGCCATGCGTGTTCTTCAAATAATCGGCCTTCTGCATTTTGTACTTGTTGTTCTTGTTGAACACATCAGTATGTAATATAAGAAGGGAGAAAGCTATGAAATATGCTTGATCTGGGGTAGAGTATATCCCAGGATTACATTCATGGTAACGGTTAGCGAAAGCTTGCAGGCAGCGATCTATTTGTTGAGTTTCCTTAGGGAGCTCGGCCTCCATAAGAAGTTTCCGAATAGCCATATCCATAGGCTCTTCAAAGAAACTAAACGTTCGCATATAACTTCGCAGTACAGCCGCAGAAAAGGAATCGGTTTCCTTAGATAGGGCGGCGGCGATAACACCGCGACTGAGCATCTCCTCTAGACGTGTGAGATACTTCGCGGGTGTATCATCTTCTCGGCGCTCAGGTAGCACGACTGGTTCCCTGTTTATTTGTAATGAATTATTCTTTGAAGTGCTCGAGCCTGGGGTTGCCGGGGTTAAGCTCCCATGTCGTAGGCTATCGGTATTCTGTCGCATACGACTTAGCCCTAGTAGATCACCGAAACTCTTACGGCCGGTAGAAGATGAAGTTCGTGTGGTCCCTGGACGTTGACGGTCGTCGAGAAAACTCTCACCAAGGGAACTCATTGTGGAAGACCGCCCTCGGAGACTTACGTGCATTCTCGTCGGGGACGACTGTCCAGAGTGTCGAGAGGAAGGTCTGAACAAAGCTGTAGCAGGAGACCCCGTCAGTTTGCCAGATTGGGAGGGAGAAGCTAAGGGCATTGATACATCCTGTCCTATAGACGGGCGGGATGGGTCTAGAGCGAAGGAAGGGCGAGATGAGGTCGAGGAACGCGACATAGAGGAAGCTGTGGCAGATATTGCGGGGGTCTTAGATTTCTGAGGGAGATGTGTTATAGGGAAGAGCGGCTCCGGTTGTTTAGGCCTGCGGCGAAGACGGAAGAAAGACGTAGGATTTAACCCGGTCTGCTGGGGTGATGCAGTATGCTCGTTAAAGCTGCTTTCCGATCTAGAAGACTCGGATAGACGATTTGTAGGGGGAGTTAAGGCGTTTTGATCATCGGTAGTATTGGTCTGTGATCTAGTTAATGTTCCAGGCCTCGAACTCTCTTCGAAAGTTACCGTCTGTTTACTCGACGAGGACATCGTTCGTTCGTTTATAGTTTTCCTTTTATCTTTTTTAGCAGCTAGAGGTGGGATAAATTTCGATGTTGGTTCTTGGTCGCCTCTGGGAAGATCGCCAGACCGGCGCATTCGTAAGGGGATTTTCATGCGTGGTTTCTTTGGTTGCATGTCCATATCCATAGACATGGTCGGCGCAGTCATGATGATGGAGGGAGCTGAAAAGGATAACCAAGTTAGCAAATAAATCTCGCGTTAAGAATAAATTATGATATCGAGGATAAGGTTCAAAAGGTTCAAGGAATATAATGATGCTACATACGCTGCGGCATGGGTGGTAGCTTCTCGGCTTGCTGCTGCTGCTTTAATCGGGCCGACAATTGGGAATCGGAGGCATTGCGAAATCTCAACATGCTGAACCTACGATGTTTCGGCGACTCATCTTGAATTGGAGGGGACTCGGGACGACTAAAAGGATCTTCGCTTTCTCTCCCGGGGAACATGGACGCGGTAGCTGACGTCGCGACTGTGTCGACAGAAGATTTGCTGTCCTCGCCATTTCCAGAAGTACCATCTCCTGTCCCTTCTCCGTTCCCTACGGTAGCGTCGGGGCTCAACAACGCCTCTGATTGGGGTTTGCGCGAGGACTGCTTGGGGACAGGGGACGCCGAATCGACCAGAATTGTATGTCGTCTCATGTCGGTGTCACTAGCCATGACGCCCCGACGGCGTAGGAAAGGCATTGTAATAGACGACAGCCAATGTCTGGGCAGGAACAAGACTAAGTATGCCGTCCAGCTTAAAACAGTGTATTAGGTATGTACACGGGTATACGGCAACGGTAGTAACAGCGATGGGTGGCTGGAATAGCCGATGATCATCACGTCAAAGAGCTACTACGGCGAAGACCCATCGTTGTGAAGCACTTTGCGAAGGGGTATAGACAATAAATGATGAATGGTGCCGAATTCCTTCACAGAGATAGAGGAATCTTGGGGGACGGGTTATTGGTTATTGTCGCCGGGGGGTGGGAGCTGTCAGACTCGAGGATCTCTTCAACTGACTTCGCCTGTCAGCGGATCCACGAAAAGAAGTACTACGGATGGACGGCGAGTTATTTTGTCGTATGTCTATAGTCGCTGAATTGGATTGGGTTGGATTGATACGGATTGATACGATCAGTCAGCCATTCATTCATGTCTATGTATGAATGAGTTAGTTTTTAGGATCTCATCGAGATCAAAGGTACGGGAGAGGTACGGGGTTTGGGCTTGGACTACTCCGGGTACTTGTGTTGGTGTAAGTAATAAAGTCCGTTGCCAAGTTGCTATTTCTGTAGGTCGTGGAAACAATTAAAAGTTGTTAGGACCCCTTGAACCTTCCAAGGTTCCTCCCTATCTGCCCTGTCTGCCCCCCGCCGAGAGCCCCATGTTCCTACCTAAAAAGGCGAGGTCGGGTTAGCTACACGTGTAATTATGCACGCTATACTTCGCCTGCCCAATTTTTCGTAAAGTACCCCCTACTTCGTATGGATACAATCTATGTAACTATGATAGACGTTCCATAAGGAAAGACCCGACAAATTGGATAGAGAGATCAACATACATACCGGTCTCCTCACTTAGATGGTATTTAACTATCATATATAATTATTATATCGTATACCGACCTCTTTATTCTCGTTCCGTAAGATATTAACATGTTACGACAGAGAATTCTATATTCGAAAAGTTATATCTAGGATATTGTTTCTTGTTTAAAATTTTCAGACTTGTTAGAGTATATGTGATGTAACTTGAGGCAACCCGCATAAAAACTAGAAAGATACATGGGGAGGTAGTACGTATGTAGGTACAGTTTACCTGCCTTGGCTGGTTGCGTTATCCACTCCGCCCCTCCCCCACTTTTTTACATGTTTAACGGTTTACGTCGTCAAGACTAGAATCTTAGCCGTTGCTTTAAACAGAGTCTAAATTTAAGCAGGTAGCAATAATCCAACCCTCTCCCGCTCAGCCCGATTTCTAGGCTGCTGCCGAAAAGTCCAATGCCGGACACGTTCCTGAGGACTACATATTACGTACATATAAATACTAACTACCAATACTACCAATACTACTACATATAGTTACACATTCCTCATAGCTACGCATACACATACATAAGTATTGCTTCTCTATGCTCTGCGACGCTACGCCGTCTGCTGTAAGCCATTCATCATAATGAGCGCCATCTCTCTCCCTCGCTCATCTTATCTATTTGTCTACTTCTTGCTCTTTTTCACTATACCCCTCCCTTCCTTTGCCACAAGCCTACCTCGGGTCGCCCCGTCTCAACTCCACGATGGGCGATCGTATTTCGACCGCCTGCTCGACATTCCCTTCGGGTGGGCCTCGAAAAAGTCTAGCAAAAATTTGAATCAATGGTTTGTAACTCATCCGAAGCTTGTAGAGAATCTACAGAGGTATGAAAACGAGGTTGTAATACGGTTCAATGTCTCAACAAGTGCAAATGAGGCGGCTTTAAGAAAGGCCGTTGATCAAATGTTGCTCGATGTCTGGGACTTCACTGATAGCTACACTGATATACGCATTGAAGCACGCCGTATTCGACCGTTGATGGGTATACTGCCGTCCTCTTTACAAGATAACCATGTCGTTTTGATTCCCGACCTAGCCCGTGCTGTCGCGGCTACCTACCCGTCTAATGCCGCCGCAAACTCCGTCACTCAGTCCCTCTCAAAAGATCGAGGTATCACCCCAGCAAACGACATCCCTTTGCCTAAGAAGCAAGGTGTAGATGACGTTTTCTTTCATGATTACCAGCCGCTCTCTGTCATATATTCGTGGTTGAAGTTGCTTGACTCGATGTTCCGCGGCCGCGGCCTCGTTCGGATGGTCAACATTGGACGATCGTACGAGGGCCGGGATATACTAGGGTTAAGGGTCGGCACACCCCGTAGCGGTGGCTCAGATAGTCGCAAGGATACTATTCTCATTACAGGTGGTATTCACGCGAGGGAGTGGATATCCATAAGCACAGTAAATTACGTCGCTTGGTCCTTCATCAAGTCTGTTGACGAGGATCCGATGATAGCTAAAATTCTAGAACACTTCGATATCGTCTTCATCCCTGTATTAAATCCTGATGGATACGAGTACACGTGGGATGTCGACCGGCTATGGCGGAAGTCGAGACAACGCACCAAGATGCAGTATTGTCCCGGGTTCGATTTGGATCACGCATTCGGCTACCGATGGGATGGTACCCGGCATCAGAGTGAACCGTGCTCTGAGAGTTACGGCGGCGACCAACCCTTCGAGGCCGTCGAAGCCGGTGAATTGGCGGATTGGGTTAGGAACGAGACGGACAGCGGCGTTAATTTTGCGGCTTACCTGGACCTCCACTCTTATTCTCAGCAGATTTTATATCCGTATGCATATTCTTGCGTTGTCCGTCCGCCTAATATCGAAAATTTAAGGGAGGTAGCTATGAATTTAGCTAAACATATGAGGCTGTCTAACGGAGAGGTCTACACTACCACGTCGGCCTGCGAAGGGGCCGTCGCAAACGAAAACCCGGTAGACTCCACACATGATGCCCAAAGAGCTCGAATAGAAGCCGGCGGTGGCTCTGCTATTGATTACATTTTTCATGAATTCGGAGCTCGGTATAGTTACCAGATTAAACTACGAGATACGGGAAGCTATGGCTTCCTACTCCCTAGCGAACATATCATTCCGACCGGCGAAGAACTATACCAAGCTATGAAATTTCTTGGAGATTATCTTCTTGGTAATAACGGTCACGAGTCGTGGACCCAATCTACCAGTCCCGATCAGAATCCGTCTGAGCCCTTTGATGAGGATGAGGAAGAGATAACGGAACTTCGAAAACGGCGCCGAAGACGGTGCGTTGATTGTACATAAATCACATAATCTATCATAATAATATTAAATATTGTTCATTTAACCCCATAATCGATGTTACAGTTGGATACTCTCAGCTCTGGGTGCCTCATTTCTTTCGCCTTACTATTTTGGTTCTGCCCCGAGCCATCCATGGTAAGAAAACCAGCTACCTTGGCTTGACCTTAGCTAATATATGTGCATTGCTCGTGTTCACCATTATATCCGAAAAGCGGCTTAGTGGCGCAATGGACTGAGCATAGACGTCTTGGCCATATTACCGGGTTCTCTATTTGTTCTCGAAGGATAAATAATGTAAATTTCTATTTTTAAACGATCTACTCCCATAACCGTAATATCTTCCCTTTATTTTTTTTTCCCTTTTATTATTATTTTGTACCGATGTACCCAATCTCTAAGCCTGAGGAAGCAACTTAACACCAGCAATGACAGCCATGACTTTCAACGCGGTGTCGCATAGGATGCCGATAACGAAACCCTTGCCTCTGCCCCGGGGACCGTACAAGGTGTAACCTATAGCGTACCACGTACGTCCGATGACCCAGCCGGCGCCAAGAGCGGCGCTCGCAGTTGGGAACCAGAGACCGGAGATGAGCAGGGCGCCGAGGAAGGGTGCTAGGTTCTCGGTGAAGTTGCCGTGGGCGCGCTGAGCACAGTTGAACTTGTAGGCATTGGGGTCCTTGGCGGCTTGCTCCTGGCTCGCATAGGGGATCGGATAGGTTAGGCCGCTCTGCTTGCGCGCCTTAGCCGATAGCGCCATGTGGAGGGTGTTGATGAAGAACGATGAGGCGGCGACGGTTAGGACGTAGCTAAATAGAGAAACGGTGTGGTTAGTAGCCGCACGGGAAGGATTTAGATCTGTATTTGGCGGATATGGACGTGCCAATTAAGGGACTAGAAAATGGCGTGCTACGGATTGTTGGTGGTAGATGCAACACGGATATAAATAAAGTTATCGGCACTTACCCATATTCGCTTGGTACTTGGAGTGCGTAGGACGTCATTGTGTAGAACGTTGATGTATGGATTTATATGAATTTATATATAGTGGTTTTTAGGTCGTCGAGGGTTTGAATATTTACTCTGGAGAACTTGCAATAGAAGATAAGAGAGTTTTGTTTTATATAACTAGCGTTACATACTCATGACGGGAAAGACTACTTCCCACCCCCTTATTTATACGCAGATCCGGTCTCTCAACTAGTCAGGTATCAAATGATGGTTATCCCGTCCATACTACATACATACTAATGCGGATCGTACGTGACTAATACGATAGTCGTTAATTAGCCCGGTTCCCGACTGAAACCACAAAAATGTATTATTATACTCATATACGTAAGATATGTACACGTATATATATATGCTTAACGATAAGTACCTGGGTAGTTAGATTAAATCGTGAAGCTTCTACTGAACTTTGTTGGGTGGAATACTAGCATACATACTAGCTATAGCGGTATGCGGCTAGATTTTTCTTCTAATAAAATGCCGAAACGGAGGATGCTTACACCGGCGGATGTATGGTTAACGTCGAAAAGTGGCCGAGCTGATAGAATATTTACTAGCAAGCTTTTCCACGAGGATCCGTCGAGGAATAGGTCAGAGCTACATGTTAATGTGTACTAACCTATTATGTAATTCAATCTTGAAACGTTCAACGTTTCGCCTTGTACTTGATGAGGCTAGATGTTTTCTTTTGGACACTGTACTTAACTACCTAGATACATAACGAAAGTACAATATAGTTATCGGATAAAATAGTTCCGGATATCCCACTTCAATGGATCCACCCAACCCGACCTTGATAAGGTTCTAAGAGGCTAGGTACCCAGGTACCTTTCTCCTGACAGCACACGGCTACCACAATGATCTTTGGTCCTTAGTCTTGGTCTTTGAGAATCTAAAGCTTGTGTTGGTCTGGTCTTACACTAGGCACGGGAATATCGCCATAATACGGGATTGAACAACTAAGACATCTCATAACAACACACGACGAATTCCTGCGAAACTTATTTGTGACGTCGATTATTCGTGACCTACGATTTCAACTTTTGCCAAAGCTGGCTATTCTACTTCAATAGGCCCTTCCAGGGCCCGTGAAGCTTCACCATGAGTTCCCGTAAGTCGTCATACTGAAAGAAGTAGTCTCGCAATCCCTTAAATTCATAATCATTTATAGCCAATCTCGAATAATATAACCAGTAACTGACATTTCTCTCTCTCTACCTTGCAGTGAAGCAGTTTATTCGCAATGTGCGTGCAGCTAAGACCATCGCCGACGAACGAGCTGTGATCCAAAAGGAGAGCGCCGCCATCAGGGCTAGCTTCCGCGAAGAGAGCCACGACCACAACGTGAGGTGCGCACTATGCGACACTGATCTCGAAACCTTCGATGTATTTGCTAACTTACGGCGATCGATAGGCGGAATAATGTGGCCAAACTTCTATACCTGTTTACTCTGGGTGAGAGAACCCATTTCGGTCAAATAGAATGCATCAAACTGCTCGCATCCCCGCGGTTTGCCGATAAACGCCTTGGACATCTAGCTACGAGTTTGTTACTGGATGAAAACCAGGAAGTGCTCACATTAGTTACAAACTCCTTGAAAAAGTATATTTATCCTCTCTTAATGACCTTGATTTCAACTCCAAGCTAACCTTGGATTCTCCCTCCAGTGATCTAGGCCACTCCAATCAATATGTCGTGGGCCTTGCCCTCTGCACCCTGGGAAATATAGCTTCGATCGAGATGTCCCGAGACCTGTTCCCCGAAATCGAGACCCTAGTTTCGACTGCCAACCCTTATATCAGAAGGAAGGCAGCTCTGTGCGCTATGCGGATATGCCGAAAGGTTCCCGACTTACAAGAGCATTTCGTTGAGAAGGCAGCGCAGCTATTATCGGATAGGAACCATGGCGTACTACTTTGCGGACTGACGTTAGTTACGAGCATGTGCGAAGCAGAAGAGGAAGAAGGTGGCGACGAAGGAATCATTGATAAGTTCAAGCAGTTCGTCCCAGTTTTAGTCAGGACCTTGAAGGGCCTTGCTACCTCTGGCTATGCCCCTGAACATGATGTCACTGGTATTACAGACCCCTTCCTACAAGTCAAGATTCTCCGATTACTCCGAGTCCTCGTTCGCGGTGATGCCGAGGGTACAGAACAGATCAACGACATCCTCGCCCAGGTCGCCACAAACACCGACTCGTCTAAGAACGTTGGTAACTCGATCCTCTACGAAGCTGTCCGAACAATTCTCGACATTGAGGCGGACTCGGGCCTCCGGGTTCTTGGTGTGAACATTCTCGGCAAGTTCCTTTCCAACCGTGACAACAATATTAGATACGTTGCTCTCAACACATTGATTAAAGTCGTCGCCATCGAACCGAACGCTGTTCAACGGCATCGTAATACGATCCTAGAATGTCTACGGGATCCCGATATTAGCATTAGGAGACGCGCTCTAGACCTGAGTTTCACTCTGATCAATGAGAGCAATGTACGAGTACTCATTCGAGAGTTGCTTGCCTTCCTCGAAGTCGCCGACAATGAGTTCAAGCCTAGCATGACAAGTCAAATTGGTATCGCGGCCGACCGGTACGCTCCTAACAAGCGGTGGCATGTCGATACTATGCTGCGGGTCCTAACTCTCGCGGGGAACTACGTCAAGGAACCCATTATGGCCTCGTTTGTTCGACTCGTGGCAACAACCCCAGAACTTCAGACGTATGCCGTTCAAAAGCTATACGCAAATTTAAAGAAAGATATCACCCAGGAAAGCTTAACCCAAGCAGGCGCATGGTGTATTGGTGAATATGGTGATTCCCTACTCAGGGGTGGACAATACGAAGAAGAGGAGTTAGTTCAAGAGGTTAAAGAACACGAAATCATCGACCTTTTCTCCACTATCCTTAACAGCAGCTATGGTACCCAAGTGTCTACCGAATACATCGTCACGGCCCTAGTCAAACTGAGTACGCGTTTTTCAGATCAGAACCAGATAGAACGCATTAAACGACTACTAGAAACTCACCAGACAAGCTTGGATGTCGAGGTACAGCAAAGAACTGTCGAGTATGGCAACCTATTTTTGTACGACGACATACGTCGTGGTGTCTTAGAGAAGATGCCGCCGCCGCAGATCAAGGAGGAGTCAAGAGTACTAGGCGAAGCCACCAAGAAACCCAAGAAGGGAGCTAATCGCAGGTCGAAGCTTATCGCCAAGCCCACAACGGATCAGGATTTGCTCGACCTGATGGGTGACAGCACCACCACGCCCTTAGCTTCACCTACAAATGGAGGTCCAAGCAATACTGATTTACTTGCCGATATTCTTGGCGGCAGTACAACTTCACCCCAGACTACCTCTCCGCCACCTCAGAGTAACACGGCATCGATCATGGATCTCTTCTCCCAAGGCTCGGCCTCCAGCCCTGTGCCTGCGAGCTCGGGTCTGGGCGATCTAGCATCACTCGGTACTCCTCCGCCCCAACAAGCTACAGCAGCTCCACCGCCAGCCGGTATCCCATGCTATAACGCCAACGGTCTTAACATCACTCTTCAACTACAGCGTAACGCCGAGGGAGCCATACAAGTCCTAGGCCGTTTCCGGAATACTTCCGGTGGCCCGCTCTCCAACGTCGGCTTACAGGCTGCAGTACCGAAGTCACAAAAGCTGCAGTTGATGAGCATTTCCAACTCCGATATTGCGCCCGGTACTGAAGCTACACAAATGATGCGGATCACGGGAAGTAAAGGGGTGAGTTCATGTTCTAGATCATACAATACAAATCTTCGAGTCTTCCCGAATCAATTAGCTAACATTATATGATCGATCTAGCCTCTCCGCTTAATGTTACGAATCGGCTACTCCCACCCGTCGGCGGGACAGGTCATGGATCAGGTCAAGTGGACGGAACCGTCTTAGTGATGCGGTGTGATGTGGTAGAAGCAGATATAATAAAAGGCGTCTTGATGATTGGTTGTACTTGTACTCTCCGTTTCGAGATGAATGAATGCCTCTCGCGCTCGTGAAGATACGGTGACTTAGGTCCATATGCAACTATGTGACGGGTTCCTTGGACCTGGTAGCTAGTGTAGATGAGCGAGTAGTAAGTCTTTGAATGCTAGAAGGTCGAGTATTCGACTCGGTAGCTTCGATTTGCCTTGCTGGTTGTGATATAGCAATATAAACCCCGATGTTGTGAATGTTGTTTATATAAGTTTTGAGGCTTTACATTATGTACTGACATTTATATTAGATTCTACTCATATGATATATCAAACGACTCTCAATAGCGACTACTATAAACTATGCCATAGACGCAAGTAGCATCGCCGGATAAGGAATCCTACAAGAATAGCGGAGGTCAGAATGTAGTCACATTGAAAGAAGGGATCTACAATAAAGCTAAGCAACTAACCTACATAGGTCAGGTATCTTAGTAACATTAGCTGTTGCAACATAACATTAGTCCAAGCAATCATCTTCGTACCCTCTTCGCTATTATAACCTACAATCTCCTTACCAGCTGTCTATTCGACATCAACCTCTCCATAATCCTCGCCTTCGTCTTCTTCGCCATCACCATTATCATAGTACCCATATTCCTCCTCCGCATCCCCCTCGGCATCATCATCCCCCTCTAAATCCTCCACATCCCACGAATTCTCCATCGGAGTCGTAGTATCGTTCTCACCAACCATATCATCCGGGTCCAAATCATCCCCACCAGGCGTAGACACACCATCCGCTGCAGCAGACCCAGGTTTTTGTTTCTGCGCAGGAGGGCGACGCTTATACAACCTCATATCGACCTCCTCCATGGGCCGCAAGAAGGGTTCTAGCGTCAAGCCCAGCGGTTTATCCGTGATATCTGGAAATGGGCGGATCCGGTCTTCCAGGAACGAATTATACAAGAACCCGGGTTTCTGTGGCCTGTCGTCGTCGGATCCCATGCGGCCCCTCTTAATAGCCACCATCTTGACCTTCATGACCATTTTGACCTTACTCCACGTACCCTTATGATACCACCCCGAATCCTTTAAATCGCAGGTATCCCTCAGAGGCGCGCGATCTATTATGCCGCGCACGAACGGATCCGTGATATCGCATACTTGCCAGAACTTGCCGTCTGTAGAGTAATCCTCACCGTTCCAGAGGTGGCTATTGCTGTTTTCGCGCGTGCGCCTCTTAGTCTGGCCCTTGCGCACGACTTCCCAGGGGATCTTCTTGGTGCCGATGATGTTACGCTCCAGCTTAAATGCTAGCGTCTGGTAGATGCGAAAGCTAGGGTCGGGGCGAGGGTCTACGCCGTACTTGATGAAGGCGTCGCGCCAGGGCCCGCCGCGGAATTGGTACCCGATGAGCTGGAGGGCGATCCGGAGGACTGAGTCTGAGAAGTCGCCTGTGACGCGGTTGAGGATGGCGCGGCGGGTCCAGATGGGTCGCTCGTCCATCAGCTTATGGAGTTGATTCATGAGCCCCTCTGGTACGCGCATAGCTGGCTCTCGCCGGGGTTTCTCGGGTACGGGGTACTGATTGTTGTTGATGAAGTGGCCGTACGAATGTTTTTTCCTGCCTTGGATATTGATGAGTTGTTGCTTCCCCCCTTCGTCCCCTTCGACCTTGGTGTTCGGGTTCTGCTCGTAGTTGTAGTTGAATCCAATAACCCTATCTGTAAAGTGTGGTGGAGGTATTATCTCCTGACCAGGACCCGTGGCTACGCCAGGGGTAAATTTGATCCTCCGCAGCTTTGAGACTGGATAAGATGTTAGTAAAGAAAGAACTAGTAGAATATGCTATGCCTCTTTCACCTTTCATTGGAAGCATATGCTCGGCTATATTTGTTAAGAAGGAAGGATTTGTGTTAGCGAACTGAAAATCCGCCAGACCGCGATATCTGTGAGTAGCGTGAATATTTCCGACGGCCTCTACTTGATAGTCTTCAGGATTATCCTGCATCTTTCGGAGAATAGATTTGGGCAAATCTTGTCGGCCCTGGGAACTAATTTGTCCAGTCCCCGAGATGGAGGATGTACCATCTGTGAAATCGACATCTCCTGTAAATGGATCGTTGCTTCCTCGCTTTCGTTTCCTGCCTGTTCTCTTGGGGACGGTGATCTTTAGCAAGATGTTATTAGTGACAGCATGGTGTGACACGATGGGTTTTGATGTTGGGTTCTCGGGCCGGAACCATAAGGGAACTGAGCTAAGCTCTGCCGAGTCCACGAGCAGCTATCATGGTTGATTAGTTGCTTGCGTTTGCGAGGAATGTCGAGTTGCCTACCTTCTGAAAATCTGGGTCCGGTCCAAAGGTAGCTAGTCCCTTGTCAAGGTTGAGGATAACACATGGGTGTTCTATGGCGACTATTTTCCTCGGAGGAACCTCGAATATAGGGGCACCGGCCGAGTCGTCGGCATCGTCGACATCGTCGACTTCATCTACATAGTACGATTCATCTTCGGCTTCCATCATGGTACTTTGTGCGCTGCTATCGAAATGAGTTGATATGATACAGGGCCGAAAAGTATTTTCAAGTCTTATATACGAATTTACGGAAATCTCCAGGGCTGTAAAGTAAAAGGCTCGATATCAGTTCTCATGCGTAGCACAAATACCGTTGTAGTGGCTTGCTTGAATATGCTGTGCGAAGTTCTGTGATATCTGATAATTGACTAGGTTACCTGGTTACAGCTCTCGAATCCGATGGATAGCGATTCTGTTTTGTTTCAAAAACAATGCGTCACGTTTCCTCGACATAATAGATCTTCGTGTCTATCCTTTCTTTGTAAGCTTTAAAACATGGAAAGCTGTTGGAGTTTTGAGTTCCGTGAACTTTGATATGCACTTACCACAAGAAGGTACCTTAATATGATATCTTATGAAGTTAACCATGATAAGTTTCAATCTCTTAAATCAGAGAAGTCAATACAGTGCGAAACATAATGTAAAGTGTCACCTGACATCAAATATTCAGCCTATGAGCAAGACCCAATTAAATCTTGTACAAGGCAAGGTGCACTGTATTGGTATATATTCTCTTAAGTGTTACAGTTAGGTTGTTACCTCTGAGATCCGCAATAATTTACGGCAGTTGTTATGTACCTGCCGAAGTAAAGCCTCATATTTTTTTTTCTTCGGTATAATTTAAACTTATCATAATTACACATTGGCAAGCGGTCATTATACCCAAGTTTCTACCTCTAAGTCGAGTTCGGACACCTTAGGTACTTACACACCACAAAATATATCCGCTTACTTACATAGGTACCTAGCTATAAAACCATGTGAATGTCGTTAAAAGGTGTATATGATTAAGTGAATTACTGTATAATTGGATCAACTCTGCCCCGCTAACTGGCTTGTGATTCGACGCGGCTCTTCATTATGAAGCATAAATCATGTAACAGACCCGAGCTAACCCCACAGACCCAGCAGCTGGCAGCGACTTGAACCTTGCACAAATATATATGAATACATAATATGCAGGTGCATGAGTACAAGTAGACCTGCATTATTTAAACGACTTGGCTTCTTCGGGTGCGATATCAATTGACGGTCAGAGTGCCTGATGATAATAATAAAGTTTTCATTATGTTAACCATTCTCCGAGGCTATCTGGAAATTTGAAAGATGGTATCGAATTGATTATCAATTGGCATGCTTGTACATAATCTTTCTTTAGTGTATAGTACTATGTAGAAATAAGTCACGTATGTGGCTGGCAAACTCGATATTATTGTTAGGGTACATGTACATTTCAGAGGTGAGGTACCTACTTTAAGTAGTACATTATGTATGTATTATACATCACTAGAAAGACATTGGTTAGCTGTGGATTATGTACCTGTACCCTACCCGCATGCATGCGTGTACTTATGTAATGTACACTACCTCCTGTGGGCAGGACGTATCGTGCATTTAGGTATGTACGCTGAATTGCAGGCCACTTCCCTTTGGCACCTGTGAAAGCGGCCCTATGGAAGATCACCGGAGTCCCTAAAACTAAACCCGTCTACCGCCTACTGCCTACTGCCTACCGTCTACAACTCACTGCTGGCTTGTGTGTAGACGCAGAACGCTTCTCCACCTTCCACAACGACAACTCAAACTTCATATCTCTCTAAACTTGTTCAACATTCGACCCCCCGTTCGTTAGTCTCTCTCTCAAGCTAAGAGGCTCAATTTGAGCTATCTTGCATGGGCTATTGCTATTCATTGTTTAACTACAACCCGCTGCTAATTCGCTTATTCGACTTTATGCGACAGCCACTCTCCCGCAGCGCCGTCCCGCCTCCTTAAGCCTAACTGTTAATTCGTGAATCTCTCTGCTTCGTACCAAACAGACGGTGAATCCACAACCTAATTCTACTACCCGTTCACCCGATCACCCGATCACCCACTTCTCAAACTTCTACTATCGACATATCTCTTTTTGTGCTTTTTTAAAAGTACTAGGGTCTTGCTACGGCGACGCGTCTATTGACGCTATACTCTCTATCAACTTTCAATCACCTATAACAACACCCTAAAGAGACGAGAGAGTCGAGTGTCCCCACCCCGCCGTAAGTAGGGGCCTCGACTTACAAAGATGAAGGGCTTCAGGCGAGCGGTATGTCTACCTACTTATTTCATACTTATTTTCAAAAGCTGTCATTCTCCCCGCTGGTACATACACGTCGCTAATTAATCACTACCGAATAGCTCTCGCGAGGCAAGGACAACAAGTCCACCAAGAAGAATAAGGATTCCAAAGATGGCACGGCTTCGCCTTCGTCTAGTGGTTCTCGAGAGACCCAGTCGCCTGTATTGACACCCTCTTCCTCTACCTCGACGCTGAACGATATCAGAAACAAGCCCCTCCCTCCCAATAATGCTGGAACACATGGTGGTGATCATGGTAGCTCTGCTTTGCAAGGCCAGGTAGGCCAAGCACCTGGCGTACTGCCCGACAGGTTTGGCAATGTTGGCGCTCAGCAGTCGCCAAATGGTGCTGCTACCCCTCGACATGGTGGTACCCTTCCGCCAACCGTGGTCATTAGTCCGAGTGCTCCAGTAGGCCACACCTCCTTTTTCTTCTTTTTCCATGATCCTAAGACGATGACTAACTTATCTTTGTTCGTAGCACATTCCACCTCCCGGCGCTGCAGAGACCATGCCGCACGATCTCGCTCCACCCAAAGCCGGCTCAAAATCCCTTGTCTTTGACCGTCTCCACCAGACACCGAAAGATGTTCCCGAAGGTCTTAGGACACCCAGGAGACAAAACTCGTCGCGATTTGACATCTCGACGCACCGAGAACTAGAAAAGCTACCAGGGTTTCATGAAGTACCGCCTAACCGACGACAGGAGCTTTTCATGCAGAAGATTGATCAGTGCAATGTCATTTTTGACTTCAACGATGCTAGTGCCGACATGAAGTCCAAGGAGATCAAACGTCTATCCCTACATGAGCTACTTGACTACGTAGCCAATAATCGTCAAGTTATTACGGAACCAATGTATCCTCGCGTCGTTGAGATGTTCGCAAAGAACTTATTCCGCCCGATTCCCCCGCCTATGAACCCGCAAGGCGAAGCATTTGATCCTGAGGAAGACGAACCTGTGCTAGAGGTGGCTTGGCCCCATATCCAGGTCGTCTACGAGTTCTTCTTGCGATTTATCGAGAGCCAGGACTTTAACACGAACATCGCTAAAGCATATATTGACCATAGCTTTGTACTTCAGCTCTTAGAGCTTTTTGACTCGGAAGACCCACGCGAGCGAGACTTCCTTAAAACGACTTTACATCGCATCTACGGAAAATTCTTAAACCTTCGTTCTTTCATCCGACGTTCTATTAACAACGTCTTCTTTCAGTTCACCTACGAGACGGAGAGATTCAATGGCGTGGCCGAGCTGCTTGAGATTCTTGGCTCCATTATTAACGGATTCGCCCTGCCTCTCAAAGAGGAGCATAAGCTATTTTTGACCAGGGTGTTACTCCCTCTCCACAAAGTGAAGAGTCTTAGCATGTACCACCCTCAACTCGCGTACTGTATTGTTCAATTCCTCGAGAAAGACGCCTCGCTTACCGAGGATGTCGTTCTTGGCCTTCTCCGATACTGGCCGAAAGTCAACAGCACCAAGGAGGTTATGTACCTCAATGAGGTTGAAGACATTTTCGAGGTAATGGACCCTGCAGAATTCACAAAGGTCCAGGAGCCGCTGTTCCACCAGCTCGCCAAATCTGTCGCAAGCCCGCATTTCCAGGTCGCAGAGCGAGCACTATATTTCTGGAACAATGAGTATTTCTGCAACCTCGTGAGCGATAACGTCGATATCATCCTTCCCATTATGTTCGCACCGCTTTACGAAAATTCTAAGGGACACTGGAACAGGTGAGAAACTAAAGACTAAGCAGCTATTTCCCAAAACTAACAATGCGATAGAACAATTCATGGGATGGTGTATAATGCGATGAAGCTCTTTATGGAGATCAACCCACAACTATTCGACGACTGCTCTCATGAATATACAGAACAGCAGAATAATGCTGCAGCAAGGGAAGCTCTCCGAGAGAGGAAATGGGCTGCTATCACAGAGCAGGCTAATAAGAGGAAAGTCAACGGCGCCTCTGGGAATGGTACCCCGGCTTCAAAGCCACTCAACATAATGCCGCGAGTTGAAGAAGCCGATTCGGTTACGGAGGACAACCAGAAGAGGTTGGATTCGTTGAAGCTTCAGGATGCTGACAGAACTAATCGCCGCCCCAACACACATGAGCGGCAGGGTTCGGCTAGCTCTGCACGGAGCCAGCGGTGATCTTGATTCCCGTTCCTCCTATCCTCTGTGAACCCTCCCACGAAGAGCATTTCAGAAGTGCTTGACTCCTTTTACGATAGAACTTGTAGGCGATGATGACCTGGTTTACACGAACCTCTTAAAAATTCTATTTCGATTTATCCATACACCATCACAGCTCATTGTTTCTAGTAAGCATCGGGTTGTCTCAGCCTAACTTGTGCGGTACTTGATGTCGACTTCGACCTTTGTGTGTGGACTTGACTTGCGTTTTTGGTCGCAAACAGGTGATGTTTGACATCGGCTTGAAGCAGGTCTGTCAGCCTCTAATCCTTCGGCGATACTTTGGATTGGGTCAATCTCCGGGATGTCAAGTGCACGTTGGGTGTTTTTTTTTTCTTTTTTAAATTTCCCAGTACATACTTGATGGCTTTGTATGTCGTTCGAATTCCCTTATTCCCGTCTTCGATAAACATAATTCGGTTAAGGGGGTTAGCAACCGCGCTTACTGTACGTGACGTGAGACGGTGCTCATTATTCGTACGCCTACAAAGCCTCGATAAAAGTGGTTATCGTTGCGAAAGCATGAGAATAAGGTATACTTGGAGGAAACGATGCAGGGGAAGAAGGCAAGGCAGAGGAGATGGACTGGACTGGACTATCCATGCATGCTGAGAAAAATGTATACGGCGATTCTAAGCGTCAACGCCCTAGGGGATGAGGGAGAGGGAAGAGGAAGGCTTGTTCTGGTGTTTGTGCACAACAAGCAGCAGTGCTTCTCGGTCAATGTATGGAACTTTTTGTCTTGTGTCAGGATTGACGGGGAAGAGGAAGGGGAGTGAGGGGAGTGGTGGCAGATCAGATATATTATGTTTTCTGTTGTTTCTTCGTCTGGCGGCTCCCGTCGCGGCGTCTAGAGAGGATGGAAATAAGGGCAATGATGATAATCAGCAACAAACGGCTGGTTTAGCTTTGCGAAACGATAATGTCAATCTTGATAGACCTTGTTTTTCTTTTGTGTGTGTATATGTACCTAATGTGTGGTGTGTGTGGTCTGGCGAGGTGGTGGGTTTGTGCGCCCATACGCTGGGTTCGTACTAAAAGTATCAAAGTTGCCACTGTTGAAGTAAGGGGGTACTTGATGGTGGTGAGAATGCATGTGTTGTGATGAGATGTTGATTAGAACCGGTTGACGAGTAATAAGTATGAGAGGATAATACTATTCATTTATAGCCAACAATGCCTCAGATATCTCATAAGAGTGACTTACCTACCTGACTTTACCATATAAAGTAGCACCATTATATTCCACTTCTCACTTTTCACCCATTTTTCCATTCTTCATTTTACTTATTTGTATTATCTAAATAAAGATAATATAGTGACTACTGCAATATGTAGATAGCCTGGCCTAGGTAGTTGGTACATATATACACATCCATGTCAGCCCCTTTTCTTTCTGCACTACTACTCTTCGACAAATCCCAACGCCTGGCCCATCTTGACTTTCTGCCCCTTCTCTACGGCCCATACGAACCCGCCCTTCGCACCGGGGTTTTCAGCAACAGGGGCCTCAAAGACGAGCACGATGGTGCTGCCGAGCTTGAAGCCACCCATTTCGTCGCCACGGCGCAGGGCGTGGCCACCTAACACGCTGCTGGCTGCTGCATACGAGGCTTCAGCGAAACCGGCGTACGGCTCGCCTCGTGCAGCAGCCTCTTCGGCGGCGCGGTCGGCTGCTGTATCAGTTAGGAGGGAATTCGTTCGGAGCTCACGATCGAAGTTGACGGTGATGGAACCGACGTTCGTTGCGCCTACGGGCACGAAGCTAAAGAAGCCCCAGCGCCATCTGCCAAGGAGGACCACACGCTCGTTTAGTGTGAATAAGCCGGGTAGTGTGCGTTGCAAGTATGGCGAGACGGAGTATAGTTCCCCCGCGAAGTGTCGCCGTCGCTCTACCACCCAGTTCGCTGGCGAGTGGAATCGGTGGTAGTCCCCTGGTGCTAGGTACACGACTGTATAGTAGAGGGCTGTTCGGTTGTCCGGCGATAAGAGTGCATACCAGGGCTTTTCCCCGAGTGCTAGGTCCGCTCGTACCTCGGAGACGGCACCGGGACTGGACGGGGTGGTGGATTGGTCCTCTAACTTCTTGCTGGAGCTTTCGTGGGTCTTGTCCGGCCCGGAGAGGAGATTGGGTAGAGTGTAAGAGATACCGTTCACTCGTGCGAATTCTTCATCTGACGAGACAAGCTCTTCGTCCCCGCGCGTTGGCGTTGGTGACTGATCGGGGATCTCTTTTCCTTCACCAGACAGGCTGGGTGTAGGTGTGTTCTTACCTAGGAGCGCATCAACGGTATATGTCATGCCTTTCACCTGCTCAATATCATTACCCTCGATCTTTCCGAACTGTAGCACACGCCCATCGGCAGGCGATAACAATGCATTCGGATTCGGGTCCAATGGTCGGACACCGGGCTTTAGCGTTCGGTAGAAGAAGGCCGAGAGGTTAGGGTATATACGAAGATCTGGCTCGGATACTTCGTCCAAGTTGACGCCAAATACGAATGAGTACAATTTGAAACCAGGGATTCGTAGATAGTAGGGGATGGTGAGTTCGTTGAACTTGCCCCATAACCTTGACAATGCCTTCAGAGGCAGAGTTGACATTACCTTCACTTGCCTAAGGAGAGCAGGTCAGCCACGAGGTTGACGAAAATAGGTGTTGTGTGTATCGAGCGCATACCATGGGCCGTCAGGTCGTACTCGCGCTCGTTTCCTAGGGCGAACACCAGGTTCATCGCTATCCGAAGCCTCTTTTTCAAGCCTTTCCTTCTCGCGAGCTTGCGTTTTGTAGAACTGCACCAGCCCAAGAAAGCCAATTCCTAAGCCGACAGGTATAGGGTACCATTTAACTTTCGTCTCTTTCAGCGCGCTTCGCAGTCTTGACCCAAAGCGCTGGCTATTTTGGTATTTCCGCGACGTATGATGAAAATATACCTTAGGCGAGGCTACGATATGTTTCGTCGACCGTCCCGTCGCGGCAGTATACGTTTGTCGAAGCATGCAAGGTGATATCGGGCGACATAATGCGGGCGTATGCCCTCGGATAGATACCGAGCATAGACTTGCCATTGACATGTCTTATGTCTCTAAGATTTTTATAATCGTCTCATTAAAGTTTCTGGGGGAGGGAAAAAAAGATACGCTAATAAATGGCTAGCTCTAAGTCGATATGTATATCGGGAAAGGAAAGTTACTATATAGAGACGATGAGATTCGTTTGATGGTAGGCAAATTGTCACAAATGAGGAAGAATTGAATCAATCAAGATCCTGTATAAATACCAGGGTTTACTTCTATAGTTCTATTAGAACTGAGGTTATAGTGTAATAATTGGAAATGTTGGAGATTTTGAAGTTTGTTACTGGCTAAACACAAGACCCTCAATGACGCAGGGCAGGTGGAGCTGAAGAGCTATCCCCTTTCAGCTTGGTTATACAAGGCGGCGGCAGCTGGCAGAGTTCAATCTGTTGTTACGTGACCTTTGCTGCTTTGTAGCTGCTTTGTACATATTTCGTAAGGTTTAGTGTTATTCAATGTGGAGTAATTACCCAAGATATATATGTATTGGGGTATGTATGTTAGGTACTTTGTAAGCACAGTCCCTTTTAGCCTACTTAAGGTACCTACTAGAATGCTGTGGTCGCACAGTTAGGTAAGCAAATGACATGAACAGCTTGCATTGACATTCCCTCGTCTCATAGTGTTGCCGACGACGACAAGCCGTACCAACAGCACTTTCCCTACTTCATTTTTCAACTTGGACCTCTATTCTCCTCTTTCCCTATTTATTAAGTCTAAACTTAGTACTACTCCATTAATTTAATTAATTCTCTCCCGTTCTTTTTTTTCTAAATATACATCATAGTGCCCGTCTTGCAAACATTACACACTACAATACCACAATACCACAATACAACAAGCTACGTGTCTATTGCGGGAAATCCGTAATGGTTTTTACGTTTTGTCTGCCTGATATGGTTTTACCCACTATCCTTTAAGTCTTGGACCTACGCGCAGCGAGGTGAATGCACAACTTTATTTAGGATTTACTTCCCGCCCTCGTATTCCCTTTTTTCCCACTTGATTACCGTCGCCTAGAGCGGCGTTTACACCCCTCCAAGCCTTTCTCTAGCAGCCATAAATCACGATGGCCTCCGACTTAGCACCCCCAGCAAACTCTCCAGCTGACTCAAACTCTGAGACCTTTACCTTACAAATCCTATCGCCTTCTGTAGGCATACCGCAACCACTAGCGCTCCAGAAGCTTCCCATAGGTACCACTGTTAAGCAGCTAAAGGAGCGCATCCGAGATGTTGTTAGCACTAAGCCTGCCGACCAGGCGCAACGTCTCATTCATAGAGGCCGTTTATTGGCCCGTGATAACGAGACAATGACTGATATATTCGGTCCGGAAGCGGTATGTGTCCAACTGTTAAATTCCGAGAGAGTGAAATTCGTCTAACAAATATCTCGATATAGCTGCGCTCTACGGATCACCAAACGTTACATCTAGTGTTACGAGATCTTTCTGATGGCCGACCAACGTCCACCCCGACTCCTCCAAACCAAAGCACTACTTCCGGTCAACCCTCGACTGGAGCGAACCCGCTTTCCCAGCACCAGCTGCATCCCAACACTAATCCCTTCCAACCCGAGCCTCAGGCGCGCACTGGAATCCCTCATTACCACGGCCTAGGCTTTGGTTCTCAAAGGCCTGTTCCCGGGATGCCGGCTGTAGGTCAGCCCATGGTCCTTCCGCCTGGCCTTTCTCCGCAGCAGTATAACCAGTGGGTTAGGGCCCTAAATGCTCACGTAGGAGCTCGCGACCATAACCAACGAACAGCTACGCCGGGGGCGCAAGACATACCTATTGCCAGCGCAAGGGGAACACCGGGAATGAGTACACCTGGAAGGATAGCTTCGCCGTTCCAGTCAGAGATGACGCGTACTACAATCAGTGAGAGAACCGATACTAATGGGTTACACTGGCGAATAACTTACAACGAAACATTTGCAAATCCATTACAGCGACCAGGAAATACTTGGAGTTCTCAGGCACGCTCTGTTCCGAATGGGAGCCAGCTTTACGATAATGAAGCACAGGATATTCTACGAGCTGCGGATACTAACGCGGCAACTAGGGTCATGGCTGATGCTATGCGAAGGAATGCTAGCAGCTCTTCCCTAGCAAGTCTTGCAACCGGCCAAGCTCAGTATCCTATTCCACCTGGGGTTACTACACCATTAATTCCATCTCGAGCGGGCAGCGCCACTGCTACACCTGATCCGTTTAGAGCAGCTGGTCAGTCCAGAAGCCTACCTGTACACCAAACTCAGACCCATTCGTCTCAAAACACACCAGAGGTGTATATCCTGTCTTCCCCTAGTGGACCTCGTGCCTTGTTGCTCAATGGCGGCTTAGAAACATATTTCAGCTCTTCAACTCGAATCGTAAATCCATCTATGAGTGTACCATTTGTGCAGAGGCAGTATCCACTTACATTTGCCAATGCTCTCCATCCGCAATATACGGCGCCGGCACCAGCGCCAGCCCTACCACAAATGCCTCCAGCCGGACGAAGCCACATAGGACATAATCCTGCGCAACCACAGCAACATCAGGCTCAACAACAGCATGGTTTGCCTCAACCCCTTCAGATGCCACATATAGGACATGCTGTAGCTCGTGCAGACAACCCACAAATTCAGGCTATTAGAATAGCTCATTTATGGCCGCATATCTGGTTGGTCGCTCGTATTGGCTTCTTCATCTGGTTGTTCTCATCGCCAAGATCTAGCTGGTCTCGCTTCTTTTTCATGATTGGCGCCGCAATTGTCATGTTTCTCGCCCGCACTGGCCTTTTGAATCAACTGTGGGTCCCTTTCCGCCAACGCTTGGAGAACTTGATACCTCCAGCCGACGGCCACCACGGCGCAGCAGTACAAGTAGACGCACAGGGCGGGGGCGTTCAGGGCGGAAATGGTGTTGTGGCGGATGGCGGACAACAGCAGAGGGAACTACATCCGGCAGATACGGCAGCCAGGCTGGTGCAGCAGCGACGTCATGCGAATGCCAACTGGTTGATGGACCAAGTTAGGAGGTTAGAACGTGCTGGTATCCTGTTTCTTGCTAGTATCGCTCCAGGAGTTGCTGAGCGGCATATCGCGCAAGTTGAATCCGAGGCGCGGGCCGGGCGTAGACGGCGGGAGGAGGCCGAAGCTGCCGCTGCCGCTCAGCAATCTGAGAGACCAGATGATGCAGAACAGGGCGGAGATAGTGATACTGCCACTGCTACCGCTAGTGAGGAGTCGGGGGGTCAGGATCGATCACCGGAAGGCGAGAGGGGTAACGAGAGACCGCCTGCTGCGGAAGAGCCGCTCATTGACATATAAACCCACTGGCGGGCACCAGTAATACGATACTTCATCAAGAGGCGAGACATGATAAGAGCTGCAGAAGTTTGCGAATGTTTCACAAGACGCAATCTATGTGTCTTGCGATAAAATAAAAAAGCAGTTGGTCAAAAATGACATTGGAGGGACTTCAGCTTAAAGCCGAGGCCGTTTTGTAAAATCTTCGAATAGCGAGTTTTGTGTACAGCGTGTATGTACCTATGTATGTTTTGGGGGGTTGGCGCTTGCATGTGAGCAAGGGAAACGTGTATCAATGAATAATAACCTGATGGAAGGTCGAGAGCTGACTGGCTGGCTGGCTAGATGGCTGGTTGTGCATTAAGAGACAAGGCAAACAGACAGAAAGGTAGGATATGACGTGAGCGATCATGTCGAATAAGACTTTTTCTCCAGGACAGTTGCTTCTTGTGTCTATAAGGTCTAAAATCGGTATTATGATAGCTAGGATATGCTATGTGTGAAGTCTACGATTTCTCTTTATGCTCAACCCCTCGTAGTTAGAGATGAAACCCGCGTTTAATATCGTAGGTTCACAAATAATACGCCATTAAAGTCGACTATCTTCCCACCATCAAGTAGTCAATCAATCTACCATACTCAACGCAGTCTATTCCAACTCAACCTAACCCCTTGATATTTCGCGTATCCATACTAAGTCCTAACAAGAAAAGCAACGGGCAGAGCAAACCCTCTCACGAGCAGATCAGCCACAATCACAACCATGAAAAAGTAAAAGTAACAATTCAATTGTATTGGTAACAGTACCCTAAACACTGCTCGTTTAGCTCAGCTTGCTTACTTCGTTAGCCCGTGGCATTAGCATGCCTACGGACTAGACTTATCTCCAATTCTCTATGTACACACCAATATACCCGACAACACCTCAAGAAAAAGTACTTCATATAACGTCGGATAAACTACAGTCCCTCGTTTCCCGCTTTACTCGTCCATAACGGCGGCGAATTTGTCCAGCATAGTCTGCTGGATAGCCTCGTACTGTAAATTGAGTTAGCATCGTACAACTCATTACGCGTGTGAAACTTCATCCCCGTCTAATAGGAACGAGTTCTTATCTGTGAACTAGGTTACGTACCTTCTTACTAATTGCTTCCTGACCCTCGCTCGGGAGCTCAAACTTGAGACTTCGCAGTTGCGCCTGGAGGTCACTCGTAGCCTCGCGAACCTTAGACCAGCTCTGGCCTTGTGCAACAGCCTTCTGCGCCTCGTCATGGAAGCCGACCATAAGCTTCATCATCCATTCCGTCTTCCAGATAGGGCAGAACTGGTCGTAATCCGAGTATCCGTTCTGTTGTAGGAAGTCCTCCTTTAGAAGTGTCGAAATGTCCAGCGTAATCTTGTCGGGGTCCGACAACGCTGATTTACCGACCAGCTGCACCACCTGGTCCAGCTCCTCCGAGTCTGTTAGAAGCTGCCTGATACGGTCACGTAACCGTGGGAACTCGGGGTAGTCCTTCTCGTACCACTTGTCCAGCGTGTTCGTGTACTTGCTGTATGATAGCGACGTGTTGATGGACGGAAAGTGTTTCCGCTGCGCGAGTCTCTTGTCGAGACCCCAGAACACTTGGACGATACTGAGTGTCGAACTGGTAACGGGATCGGAGAAATCACCACCTGGAGGACTGACGGCACCGACGATGCTGACACTGCCCTCGCGCTCGGGGGAGCCTAGACAGCTCGTCTTTCCTGCACGCTCGTAGAAACTGGCTAGCTTAGCAGAAAGATACGCAGGGAAACCTTGGTCAGCAGGCATTTCACCGAGACGGCCGGAAATTTCACGCAGGGCTTCGGCCCATCGAGATGACGAGTCAGCCATCATAGCCACGTTCATGCCCTGGTCACGGAAGTACTCGGCGACAGTAATACCCGTGTAGATAGAAGCTTCTCGGGCGGCGACGGGCATGTTAGAGGTATTGGCGATCAGGGTTGTTCGCTTCATGATAGGCTCCTTGCGGCCCTCAACCTCGATAGATAACTCGGGGAAATCCTTTAAGACTTCTGCCATCTCGTTACCGCGCTCACCACATCCGACATACACGATGACGTCGCTGTTGGAAAACTTGGAGACGGACTGCGAAATGACAGTCTTGCCACATCCGAAAGCACCAGGAATGGCCACGGTACCGCCTTGTACGCTAGGGAAAAGGGCGTCCAGAACTCGCTGACCGACAATGAAGGGTTTGTTGGCGGAGAGCTTCTCGGTCGTGGGTCGAGGGACACGGACTGGCCAGGTGTGCATCATGCCATACTCGGTCTTAGTGCCATTGAACTCGACCTCGAGGATCTTCTCGTCCACAGTATATTCACCCTTTCCAGCGATTCTGGTGATAGTTCCCCTTGCTCGTGGCGGAAGTAGGATCTTGTGTACCTTAATGAAAGAGTTCTCAAAGACGGATCCCCAGACGTCACCACCCGAGATGTGGTCGCCGACCTTTAAGGTAGGTGTAAACTCCCACTTCTTAGTTCGGTCGAGAGCAGGCGCAGAAATACCGCGAGGGATGTAAATGCTGTTGGACTGTTGGGCGATCTTCTCGAGAGGTCGTTGAATTCCATCGTAGATGTTGTGTAATAAGCCGGGACCGAGTTCGACGGAAAGAGGTTTACCGGTTCTGGAGACGGGGTCGCCCACAGTTATACCAGCTACACTTTAATATTAATTATATATCCTCTTACTTGGTATTGATATGCGAGATGCTTAAATGGCACGCACCGGTCTCTTCATAAACTTGGATGGTGGCTTGGTCACCATTGATTCGAATGACTTCACCGACTAAGTTATCGTGACCGACTCTCACAAGCTCGTACATGGCAACTCCGATCATATCCTCGGCCACCACGACGGGTCTAGTTAAGTAATATGTCAGCTTTGCGACTGAAGACTATAAAGTAGACATGGTACATCGTGTACGAACCCGGATACGGAGTAGATCTTGCCTGCACGTATACATAAGTGATTAGCTCATTAGACAAATAATAAGGTATAGTATATAAATTAGATAGTAGAGCTACATACCACTATTAAGCGCTTCTTCGCCATTTGTGGCTTTCGCTGACTATATACACAAGAGACGTTAGATATTTAAGTTGCAAAGGGGTGGTAGGAACAAGTTAAGTTAAGCTGGTTGCTTTGTTGCAAGTTTTACTGCAGATTGGAGGGTGGCGGGAGATAGCTAAGCTTACCGGAGCCATCTTTGGAGTCTCTTTCGGTGTAGGAAGCGGCTCTGTAGCTGGAGAAACGGGTGAGATAGATATTGTAGGAGCTAGTAAGGGTGAAGCTGGGGGTGACGAGACCGGCGTCGATGTGGTGGAAGTTGAAGTTGTATTTGTGATGATGTTAGTAGTGGTAGTGGTAGCTGGTAATAGTAGTGGGCTGGGTGGTAGTGGTTGATTAGCAGCTTCAGCTATTAGACCTGTGGCTTTAGTGGTTCTAGCGGCTCTGCCAGGGCTATTACTATTAGAGCTGCCAGGTGACGCAGATTGCGCAGGGCTCAAGGTAGGTGTGACTGGTCGACTTGAACCTGGACTTGTTGTACTTTGGCCGTGGTTTCCCCGCCGCTCGATCAGCTCCACTAAAGACTTTGAGAAACAATCCAATGTCAGTACCTAATCAGTAACACGATTGCTCCATTGAGTAACGCCTAAGGGGGCTTCGTGCATATATACATACAGGCCGGGCCCGCAGCGTCGGTCGGAGGCCGAGCATGCAAACGCGTTATGCGGTGTAAACCGTCTAAACTTTCTTGGTGAGGAGTTGTCTTTGACGAGGTCAATGGTAAGTTGGATTTAGAATTTTGTTGTAAACTTGACAAGGTTGCTTATGCCTTATTTATATATGTAAGTTGTATCCGGGAGATGTAGTTGATTACAAGTAATTACATCCGATACGAAGGAAGCTACAAGTATAAGTACCTACCTGAGTTGCACAAGTACCTACCACCTGGGCAGCCTCTTGACCGAAATCCCCCCGCTTTTAGAATTATACCTTGCACCGATAAACAGATATTACCTTCCACCTACACGGCAACAGCTTAACTATTTTTTTCTCCTTGAATCATTTCGAGCTAGATTTTTTCTATAGATTAAATATACTTCAAACTATAATTGCATACATAGTAATTAATATACAATAACTACTTAACGTATGCCATCATGTTTATTAGCACCTGCTACGTCTCACAAATCTTGGCTGTATTCAAGTTGGGTTTCAGTACAATACTCAATGTAACCAGTCCAAGTTAGGATCGTCTTGGTCTATGAACAAGAGAAAAGAACCGTGGTTATCATTTTGGTATAGTTAACCAGACTCCAATTTCTTGAATCTTAGATGCCTCTAATCATAAGTTCCAGGGACGAGGACTATAGTCTTCACTCATTTAAGAGTTGACTGTAAACTTTCGTATTTTCCTAATTTATTCGACCGTAAGAAACATGTTCCTAGTATTCGATATGAGCATTATATACGGTAAGATAACACTGCTTTGCTCTTCGAATAGAAAAATCTTGAACATTTGTCTTGAAAACTTCACCGAAACACATAAATGACGGACTTGAGTATGTAAACATATACAGTTCTCAATTTTGTTATTAATCGCACACTTCTAACCTACCTAATATCCTACAACCAATACAACGGAGTGGCGTTATCATAATACTCGTTACAATATAATACAACCCAACAAATACTCCCCCTCTCATTCCCCATTCCCCAGCTTCCTTGTCTCAATCAAACTAAAGATGTACCTGATCAAGCTTATCCGAAATCCCATTCTTGCCATTGACACCACTAGCACCATCCACCCGATCCGGAATAACATCCCACGCCTCATCCTCGCCCGCACCACGTACCCAACGTGGTTCCGTCTGGAACGAGTCGACGACGAGGTGGGCAATCCTCGTCCACATGTCCCCCTTGATCCTAATCCACGGCTTGTCCTCGTACTTCTCGCTTAGAGTCTGGCCGATGCTGACGGCGCGGGAGAGCTTGATGCCGTGACCGTCATCTTCCAGGGTGTGCATTATAGGGAGTTGTTCTATTATATCAGAGTTTAGTTAGTTAGTTTACCACTCAGTGAGAATGTGCTTTAAGCCATGTATTTTAAATGCATACCATTTGCCGGAGTCAGTTTTCCAGCCCGCGGGACGTATGCGGCGATATTGTCGAGTTCAAGGGGTGGACAGCCTGCGGCTGCGTATTGGACGAGGTCGAGTCGTATTTTCCATTCGAGGAGCCTCACTTTACTTTCGATTGGGATCCAGTCCAAGCCATTCAGGATGATGTAAATGGGGTTAATATTGATGTGGTGCCTATTTGCCGTGAGTAAACATCATGAGTTATGGAGGGTAGGTAAGAAGACATACATAATGAAGAAGTCGAACTTAGGCTCCTTGCCAGGATAGAAAGCTGCGGAGGCACCTTCGTATACGGCTACGTGATACATCTCGGCATTCTTCTCGTCTAGTTCTTCCGGCTTGACCTTCACCCTGCTCGCTAGCTCGACAATCTCGTCCCATGCTTTACCAAAGACGCCCTTACTAATTTTGGTTGGCTCATCTGTGCCGTAAATAGAAGTTACGAGCTTTTCGTTCGCCTTAACTTCCCTTAGTAGGCTCTCGATACTGGGCATGGGTTCTGTATTTGACTTTGCAGCTTCTTCGGTCGTATATAGAAACTTCCTTAGGTCATCTTTATGGACGGCTGCTTGGGCCAGAGCCATGGCGACTATGGCAGGTTGTTTCCACTCGATGCCGTACATTAGCTGGATTATGGGGTGAAAGAATCCTAATTTCAGTATCAACATGTGATATTGACTAGAATTATGTCATTTATAGAGCTTACCACCGACCATTCGAAGCAGCATGTCTTCACTTCTCTCATCGCCCTTGAACATGTGTTCACTAAGTGTCTTCTCCCAGCCTAGTTTGTCGATTTCATTTTGAAAAAAGACCAGGAACTCGTTGTAATATCTTTAACTAGGATGTCAGCCAATATGCCGGCGATAGTTTAGAGATAATTATAAAACCAGTTTATGGCTTCTAAAATTTGGCAATCAATTTCGACTCACCCTCCTTTACCAAGATACTTCTTAGTTTTCTCCCAGTCCCCGAGCTCTTCGACGACATTCTCACGGATATTTTTAGCTGGCCTTTGGTACGTCTTGTTCACGTCATAGGCTTTCTTCAGAATCTCGGGTGAGGCGCCTGTGCCGTATAAGGCTAGGATGTGATGACTTATACTAAGGAATAGGTCAACGCTTCCATCTAAGCCACAAAATATACGATGGGAGTTTACTGATTATGGTAGCCCGTATCATTGAAGAACACATGATGTTTCTAAGCCTTGTATTAGAGCCGTGTTTCATTTGATGATTAGAGCTCGACCTACCTCGATGTCTTCCTGCAACAGTTCAGTAGCTTTCTTCGCCGCGGCTTCGTCCTGTTGAATCTTCCATAGCCCAGTATTGTCGGGAGTGATTTGGATAGTGTGTGCCGTTGCCATATTTACTAAGCTTCTATAGGTTGAAGACTTGGTGAATTTTATATTGCTTCGAGCAATTCGAAGAGGAAAAATAGAAAAGCTCATGGGCTCTTTACTTTTTATATATCCTATAACTACCTTAAATCCATGCCAAGCCTCGCCCACCCCAACTCGGCCTTTTATCTGGTGACAAATATTATAAATAATAGGCAGCTGGTTGGACGGAACCTGCGGAGAAGCTGTTTGCTTGTACGAGATGGTATATGTGAAATGGTGACGAAGTCACGATAAGTCCGAGACATCTGGCATGGATGGGCAATGGTCCCGTCTTGGCTTCACGACTTCACAGTTTCATTTCCACTTATTCTAGGTAATCTTGGAGATTGTATTACCTTAATGGCTTGATAACTAATACAAAGCGAATAGAGCGAGCGCAAAGGTCAACTGCTTATAAACCGTGCATTAACTTATTAACTTTCGGCTTCCGCATAGCAGGCGAGCTGATCCCAAATCGGAAGTTAGACTTTACCTATCCGGGATTAGGCATGCAACTATTCCCGAAAGCCATGCATATATGTGACATCATCCGCATGATTTTGTAACGTTATGCAGTATCCTACTTTTACGTATTGGAACTTTTGTAAACTCTCATAGGAACTTTTGGTTTAAGAGAGTTTAAATCAGGGCGAGTACGAGCTTAAGGTGATGAAGCTAGGTACTAGGGTTATGGCGTGTGAGTGAATTTATAAGCATAACTATAGATCGCCAATGTTAAAATATGGACATGATGATAACATCTCTCTACTTACAGATGTAAATGTTATGACTCATATCTTGGTAACTATGAAATGTGTCGATATAGTTATAGGAATACGAGAGGATATGCTACCCCCTAAATATTATAGAATCTCGAAGATTGTTGAAATATATTATTTAACATATAAGCTTGTAATTGCATATTTGATCATTTCAAGTCTATAGTACCATGGTGCTATTTATCTTTAAGGGTTTGTATTAGTACCCGTTGTGGGCGAGTTAGAGATGTATATATATTATAGTCTACAACTGTATTACCATCTATATTAATTAGATTATTATATATCTCTAAGAATATATTTCCTTAAATAAAACAAACCTACCTGTATCAAATCAGTTTTTGTAAGTAGGGAAATAATATAATCATGTACTCTCCATGTCAGTAGAAGAGGGCGAAGAACGATATAAGAAAGGGTTGACCATTCTCATAGTATTTTATATAACTCCCATCTTGCTGTAAACACAGGTATCTATGCAACTATTCATAAGTAAACTCAACAAGCGTAAATACACTAAAAGTCCGCAAAGTAGACATAGTAGCAGCAAGGACCAAAGGCGTTGTGTTGCCTCGTTTTTAGCTGCACTGCCAATTCCTTACCAACAGCCCGTTACCACTTAGAACGACAATTGTCCTAGCAACAAAGACTACACATACACGCCGTTGCCAATCAACATCGGTGATATTTACCTGTACGATCTAAAAGTAGTGGTATCTTTGGAATTCCATATTATATACCACTTGCTACGCTGTCATGCTTGTTATTACACCAGCAGTTCACGTCATATTTTCTCTCATCGGCGATACCAAGCTAATTAGAGAACCTCTTCCCACCTACCAATTACTTTTCTATTCCCAGTAGCCTACCATGTGTAAACAATACCACTACTACTCCGAGTGCATCACGACCAATTGCCACTCCATCCTCGGCTCCAAGAAGCGCAATCGGTACTGCCGCGAAGCTCTCAAAGCTAGACGCCTCGGACGCTGCTCGACAGGCGTCCAAAACGCTGGAGAATTCCGCGACGAGGACTCAACAGCGTGTTGCCGCGCCTGCAAACAGCAAGCCAAGACAGCCCGCCAGCGCGAACGGCAGAACGAACAGCAGGTCCCGGACCAGAACGGTAGTGACTAGGAGAAAAACACTGGCATCGGAATCTGGTCTAGTTACGGCCTCGTCACAATGCCTAAGGCCAAGCCCAAACCCCCGTCTCAACCTCCCATTCTCGCCCAGTCCGAGCCCCTACTAAAAAGCAAGGCTAAGACCAAGAACAGCAACAAGGACCTATTCGACACGGTCTTCAAGACCGCCCTAGCAGACATGGAAACCGCCTTCAACAACACGAATTCGGACACCGCCACCACCAAATCGGGTACCAGCGACACCAACGAGGAAGCATAGAACGCACCTCGCGAAGTCCTTACCCCCCAGACCCCAGAGAAGACGTCAACCACCACCACCACCAAGCGCGGCCGACCCCGTCGCGCTAAACCCCAGGATCAGGATCAGGACCAGCCTCTCGTCGATGACACCGAGCGCTATCCCTACGGCTTCAGCCCAACGCCGACCGAGGGCAAGTACGTCTACGAGTATGAGCGCGAAGACGAGTCCGACGAAGACGGCCATCTTGATGAATGAACGAAACGTACGCGCACGAGTCATATCTACCTAGGTTACTTGCCTATTTGCCGCAGCTGTGTTGTTGATTGACCAACTCTACGGCTACCAATCAAGTAAGTGGAAATTTCGTAGAAGCGCACCATAATCTTATCGAGTGAATAGCTAACAAAGATCCATAGAGGGAATGAGCAAAATGTAAACTTAGGTACCTAAGGTAGTATGGATGGCTATTGGGCCCTGACCTTGAATATAGGTTAGGTACCTACTTATTCTGTTTTTGTCGGGAGTAGCAATGATTCTTAATAGTGACACACTATGCACTGTTCAGAATAGGGGAATAGGCATGGGGTTTTTTTTTAATAGTGTATAACAAAATCCTGTTAGTCCGCCTCGATCGCATTCATTCTCGCATCGTACAATACCATAGTTCAGAGAAAAAGACAAAGAAAAGAGCTTTCGCATGTACGTACGCAAGTAATTTTCTATACAACAACTCTATTCACGCATGCCCCGTAAAAGATGGAACTCGATTGTATGTAGAGTAGGCCCCAACTTTGCCCGGACCCTGCGGTCATTTCGCATCTAGATCCACGAATTCAATGCCCAGGTCAAAGTCCACCGCCAGTTTTGCAACTCCCGTGCTGCTCCGTAGAGAGATGCCTTAACTTGCCCCTAAACCTTGTCCGATTTGCCCCGGACACGTTTCTGTGTGATCGCCTTTCCGTACCGTCTTGTCCGACTAACCATGCTATACTAAGGGGTCCAATTGACCTTTGCCCCCTGGTTGATCCCTCTTTGCTTTTCTCGCTGTGTGTTTTGAATCTCCTGCACGTCTTCGGGGATGGGAGAAAAGTGCCGCAGAATACTTAATACAAAAGGTATATCCGGGTCGTCGGTTATCAGTCATCGGCCGGGATCCTCAATGAGTTCCTTCCGTGATACTTAGCTGGCCCCCAAGGGGACATAGGGAGCACATTCGCACTCCTCATAGTAGGATTCAATGAAATATGTAGGCGAATCTACTTGAGGAACATTTCTCCCCCATTCCGCGTTGTTCTTGAACGATCCAGGTGGTCCAGCCCAAGCACGACGTCGTCTTCTATGGTGCCTCCCTCATCGAAAAGCACATCTTCTGTGTCATGTTAGCTGTGCATCGTAATTATTGTGGCATAATCCCTTACCGTCGTTGATATAAGCCGGCTTCTGGAATCGTCGCACTATTGCGAATTTGATCTTTTCGAAAGCCTTGCCCTTGATACCTGTTCGATTCTCTAGTCGCTTCTTTGTCTCGGAGAAGGGTTCACCCTGGTCTGAATTAGTCGTCTCTCTCTTTATTATGTATGCTCATACACGTACCTCTTTGAGGAGGAATTTGAATGGGATTCCGTGGACCCGACTGGCGTCATTCTGGAAATGAATGACCTTGATAAAATCTCTTTCATCAGCGTCCATTTCCTCCTCCGGAACTCGTTCCGCTATCACGTCGGTGTAGTCGTTAATACTAAGAACTGGATAGTTAGGCACGAGCTCCCGGTGAAATTTGTGGTGATGAATCTCATAAACCCGAATTCGACCACCCTCGTGTTCGTCCTTGATCTGCGCCTTCTTTACAAAGGCCTGCACAAGATCTTCAATGTGCCCTTGCTTATTTACCAAGATGTCAAATGTTTCCTAGAAAATCCTAATTAGATATATTCCATATATACATCCCGGAAAACTCACCGTCTTCGTCATGCCCTCACTCAACCAAGTCACCTTAACATTCTTTTTCGTATCTAGTTCTGCAAGACTCATGTCTAGAACTTCGAAGAAAAGAGAGTTGGGCTTGGTCTGCAACGTTTGTTGGGTGTAGTTATTTGGATTCAGTATGGTACCGAGGTTTTGACTGACAGCCCTCCTAACTGCCGCCTTGGGGCTTCCCGTAGAAGCGTTGGCCGTGAAGAAGCGTATGTGAGTAGGATTTACGCCTAACTCCTCGCCAACTCTCTCCGAAAGTTGATCGTAAGTAATTTTCGTGCTTAGTGTAAGAATAAAGCTCTGGTAATCGGTTCTCTCGCAGCGAGGGTGAGGATCGAAGCGAACTTCTCGCTTATTGCAGAGGAAGTCGTAAAATCCCTTAGCGTCGTCATATCGGTCCCATCGTTTAGGCGTCTCCTCCGAGTTCTTATCTCCAAGACGAGGGATCTTGCCAAGAAGTTCGCCCGATTTCCGCTCGGCGATTCTCTGGAAGCATATAATGTCTCCATCCTGAAGCTCAGCAGCTTTCAAGGTCTGTTTCGCCTTAAGACTCTCGATCATTGCTGGCTTAATTTCCTCCCACATAGCCAACTGTTCTCCCGAGGGTAACTTGTCACCCCAGCCCATCTTCTTGGCAATCACAGGCACTAGATCTTCAACTTTCTTCTCCCTGCTTACATAGATATGACCCACTCCTTCGAGAATTTGCCTCTCAGCATCGAAATGTTTCAAGAAGAGAAGAATCAGGTCGTTCTTAACGATGACATCATTGGCATTGCCCTGATATATGGGCCAAACAGGTTGCCCTTCAGCATCAACATCATCTGCAACTTCCGCCCATACTCTCATGGCATTATCTCTATTTGCTGTGATCATGTTCTTATAAATATCTCCCAGTTTCGCGTCCATGTTCATAATCGGCTGATCAGGTCTAGTCGTCTTATTCTGGCGATTTACCATAATCCACAAGCGAATTCTCTTGGCATATAGGTCGCCTTCGGCCTTTGTTTCGGCTTCGGTCTGCCCGGGTTTGGGTTTGGGATACCCAACAATAGAATCTCTAATAAATTTGAAGACTGAGGTTGCCTTTTCCGGGGTGAAGAACCTAGGGGCTGCTGGATCTTCTTCGGGGTTAGAGTCGAAGTTTGTAAGGTCGGTGGAACCGTGGCGTTTGAATGTCTCTTCCGTGATGACTTTAACAGGAAGTTTAAGATGCTGTTCTTCACGTTCTCTTCTCTTAGCTTCACGCGCAGCCGCCTCTTCATCCAGACGTTTTTCTAAGTATAATATATTAGCTTAATCCTTAACTTGAGTTACTCGAGGAAGCTTACGGAGATGTGGCGGACAATCTTCATTCTTGACTGGCGTCAAAACTTGATCCAACCGAGACTCTCGGATATAGACCAACATATACGCACTCATCTGACGCATGATCGGGGACTTCTTTTGGAGGCCTGTGCGAGACTGCAAAAACGAGGCTGGGTATTCACCCCCAAAATTCTCCTCTAGTGTCTCTCGGATGGTTGCCTTTGTCACTTTGTCATCGTCGAACTTGTAGAACCAGCCGTCCTTGTTGGGCTTAAGATAGGCATAGTAGTGGCCCGCATTCAAGTCACCACTATGCACCAGGACTCCATGCAGTTTATATACCCACGGTTCGGACTTGTCTGCATCCTGGTCAAGGTAAGGCTTCAGGTCAAGAGCCTCGGGGAATTCGAAACGGTCGTTGATCTTCATCATCGTATCGCGTTGGATGTCGTACTCGAACCGCTTCAAATGTAGATGTAATACTTCGGGAAAGCTCTTGAATATCACACCCTTGCGAGCATCCTGATACTTGAATTCATCGCCTGCCCAGTACTTGTTGTCACCATCAAGAGTCTCCTGCTGAATATAATCTTTGAAGCTCTCCTCAAGGTTTGGTATTCCCCGGACATTGAGTTGGATATCCCAGAAGTCTTCAACTCGGCTGGACTCATATTCAACGTCAATACAGGAAACGTACGTTTTTATCTTCCCGCTGAGCATACGTGGAAGAGCGTCTTCAGCTGCGGTGCCTTTCATCCTCTCCTCCATACGTTCAATCAGCTTACGGGATAGTTCCTGCACATCTTGTTGCTCAAAGATATGTCGTGTGTCCCAACCAAATGACTTCGTTAGTTCGTTGGTGCTTACGGCCTGATTTGAAATCTGAAGCTGATAAAATAATCTCTGGAGGGCGTAGGCGCTGTTAGTTATGCTCTCGTCTTCTGCCGTTGGGATTTCGTAAACGGCCTAAAACATGTTAGTGCACCTTCTTTACTACTGGATAAATTCCTCTTTAGAAGTTTTCATCTAACCTTTCGAAAAGCATTTGTGAAGAATAGCGACTGTAATAGCGAATTAAGGTAGCATGTGGCACCCTGGTTCTTCAGACCAACATAACCCGTTTCCTTCTTAGAATCGTAGTTATTGAAGTTGTGCCATAGCACGCCAGTCTCATCTTCGACCACTCTAACGTAGGCGGTGATATTGACGGAATCGTTCTCGACGAGCGGGTGGCCGGAATTATCCCACGGTTGCTGGAACATTTTCCTTAACTCGAGGAACCGCGTGAAACCCCAATCACTCTCCTCCTTTGTAAAGCGGTGGTGGGCTGTATGATGGTAGAAGAGAGATGGGTCATTAATATTCCACATGACCAGCCCGAACTGTACACAGCAGCTCCAGTCCTCTGGTATACTACTGACATCTGGGAAGCCATGTTCAAGATATACCGAGGATTGGTCGACACCATTTCCAAACGGAAAGAGGAGAATTCGCCTGCTCAGCCAAGTCAGCAAGCCAGCTCTTCGAGTAAAGGGTATTTAATAGGTGCTTGCCATGGGTGTCCGCCGGCTTCAAATACGGGGCCGTGCTCCTTCTTAGAGAGTGCCCTCCAGTTTTGTACAGTCCATGTATTGACGACATCTTCTACGATCTTAGGTTCGTCTAGGAGAGGTGGCAGTACTATCTCTTTCATAGCCTCAACTAGAATGGGAGCGTTTGTTAGTGGGAATATCTTCTGAAGTAAAGGTATCCAATTAATGCTATCTAGGGCTCATACGCACAATCGGTAGCCAAGATAGCGCTCTCGAGATTCTCAGCATCGTTTTCCAGTTGTTCTGGATTGATCTCTGTGACCTGATCTTTCTCATTTAGGGTCGGTTGGACGACCATCTCGTCCTGGGTATCTACCACCATCTCGTTCGGCGAGTGGATTTCGGAATCGTAGCTCTGATAGGTGAAGGATACCGTTAGCTGGCTCTAGACTCGTGATTGGAAGCGGATAAGTTGGGTCGGAGTTTATGTCATTAGATATTTGATTGGAATTAAAGAGTTTGCCTAGAGTTGGCTTGGGAAGGTCTAGGAAAGGTATGGCGCGCACGAATAGGGAAAGATTGTTCAATAAAGAGGCTATCGCGTGGCGTTTCTTTGGTAGAGTAAGAGTAGTAAAGAAAAAATAGGTAGTTAAAGTAGTTCAATAGTGCTAGTCAGAGACATGAGCTTACCATGGTTGCCTATGATTTACTTAATACTATCTCTAACAATCTCCGCTGCCGACTTCCAGGCTCAATGTCGAATGGTCCTCCCAAACCCGCAGGATAAAAATATAGTCGAGGTCCAGCTGCACACACAGCGGGGCTACGACGGGTGGCGTGGAAAGAAATAGCAGGAGAGGCGGCGCAGCGCAGCTCACTACTAGCCGCTGCAGCAAGAGCAGTCGGGGGAGCTAGAATTGGAGTTTAATGAAGTTACGCGACTAGGCGCAGGTTTGTAAAATGTAGATTGGGGGAAGGAGAAATATCTGAAATCTGAAGGAAAGAAAACGGAGGTGAAGCTCTAGTACAGAATTGCTTCATCGACTTACCAGGCCAACAAGCGCTAGATGGGAGTAGAAAGTGGGCTGTGACACCTCGGGTCCATACGTGTACAGGTAGCAGCGTACCTTTTTTTGGATAAGGTAGCCTAGAGCGCGGAGCAGAAGGCGCAGCGGGGACGGTTTCGTTACTTTTTCTACACTATGGTAAGGAACATTGAATATTCTAAACCTTACGACGCGGGCTAATGTTTTATAAGGTACATATACCTAAGGTAGCTTATACTTTGCAACCAGTCATATTCCTAGGTGAAACTACTGGAATAATAATGTACAATAGACTTTCCTACTAAAGACTTCTACATATGGACGCCGTAGCTGACTAAACGATGTGCTTATTGTAAAAGCCCCGCCAATACTTTTTACCTCTCAATTGGCAATGACGTTACTACGGTAAGCATCCACATGGCCGAGGCAGCAAGTGGGATTTCTTCATCTAAGTAGGTACCTACCTACATATCTAAAGAGAGCTCAAGTTGATAGAGGCATAATAAGTATAATATAGAAAATACATGTTGCCTAAGTCCTATTTAATATAATATGCTTGGATATATGTATCTATAAGATGCTTGTTCATTCAGTTAATTTAATTAATAAAAACACAGACAAGAACTTGGTAATTCTATTAAAACACCTAATGTAATACGTGTTTCTCTATGTACCTACTTGCCTCGTATAGAATATACTGTTTCGCCTAGTTATACTAGCACAACAACCTGACTAAAATTTCAATATTATCTATTATCATATTACAACACGGTTACAACAACGAAGTAAAATATATATTAGTGGAAGGGAATAAAACACGCAATGATTAAAGGTCTGTGTTGAGGTCCTTTTTTGTTAGGGTTGGAAATTGCCTGTCCGGTATGAATGTACCTACCTGTATACCGGTACGGTATAGATTCTGCTACCTAATGGCATGCCGATTAAAGAAATGTGGGGTATTATTCATCATTCCCGCTCTGCAAGCCATACACACTAAGCAAGTCCTTTGCCTTAACACTAAGACCTTTCAGAGTCATAGGTCACCACCTCGTTACCGTCACTGCAGCGCTAGCGAAACCGGAACATGTCTACCATAGCGGCAAAGGGTGGTTTTGAGAAACGATTCCTCGACCGAGTACCGTACCTCCCATATGCATTATTCATTAGAGAGGCAACGTTATTTCTCAGAGAATTATTTCTCGACGAATAATTGTTTCTCGAAAAAAAAACAAAATTTTTAAATTTTTTTTCTTTTTTTTTTTTTTAATTTTTTTTTTTTTACACTCGAGCTGATTCGAACAGTGGACTTTGAACATTTTACGGGATTTATGGGTTACGGGTTTTACTACTAGGCCAATTGGGGTTTAACACATGCACGCGAGAATGTCTTATTATTTAATATTATATATGTTATCTAATCAAAAAAAAATCTTAATTTCAAGTTCGGAAACGATTTTTTACCCGAAAATGATTTTTTATAAAAACATAATAATCTAGACAAAAACGATGTTTTTCAGGTAAATAATTATAAGTATGAATAACCGTTTCTCAAAACCACCCTTTGCCGCTATGGTATGCTCCCCATTGATGTCTTAGCCCCGGAGTAGGTAACATGTGAGGGCGAGTTTCACAGCTCAACTCCAAACGCAAACTCTCTCTCCAAAAAAAGTGAAAGCACCACATTCTTTCTTTCTTCCTTTCCTACTTCCTTTTTTTTTCTTTTTTCGTGTATCCTTTCCAATTGCTGTATCGTTCACTCTGGCATGGAATCATCGGCATGTTACCATTCGCGGTGCAAGATGCCACCAAAGCCCTGCGGTTGACCTACCGTTCGAGAGCTTCGATTATCCCAGCTCGGATCCCTCTTTCGCCGTTACTCACCTCGAGATTGATAACCGATCGTAATAGTTTTAGTATAACAAGCAAGCGGTGGTCGCACGCGGCGAAATGGAGGCCGGTGCAGGTCCTAGATGAGTATGGTGTTCCCGTTTCATGTCTACTTGTAGTATCGTGTGACTGATAGTAGCCGTCTTATATGTATGTAGATGGGTAGTAAAGGAAGCTCGTCCCATTAGCTTGCGACAATTGATGGTATTTGGTCGATCGTTGACGGAGGCGCGACTGATCAGCTCCGCAAACTATGTTCGAACCGAACTCCCCACGAGAATCGCTCACCGGATCCGTGACATGCAACGCTTGCCCTATGTAGTTGTCACGAATCCACATATTAGCGACGTATATGAGCTTTACTATACCGCATTCGACACGTTCCGCCGCATCAGAGAAGTCAAGACGCTCGAGGACAATGAACATCTTTGTAAAGAGATTGCCAAGATGCTACGTGCCCACTTGACTGTAATCCCGAAGTTAGCCATGGGCATACTTGAGTGTAGTGGGTTAATGTCTGCAGCCGAGCTGGATCACTTTATGAACACCATCTTACGATCCGTGAGTCGCTTCGTTACAGCAATTCAAATGTAATCCGAGCTAATATCACACCCCATTATAGAGAATATCCCGTAGAGTAATCGCAGAGCAACATCTCGCCCTAACTGAAACCTTCAACTCGCACTGGTTCTCGCCCGGAGCCAAGCTTTCCGAGTCCGACTTCATCGGCGAGGTATTCATCAAGTGCGTAGCTAAGGACGTAATCGAGCACTGTGCCAAAGCCGTCCAGGACCTCGCACGATCTGCTAATGGACCCGACACTAGGATCCCCGAGATTAAGGTCAATGGGCATATGGACTCCTCATTCCCGTATATCCTAAGCCACCTAGAGTATATCATAGGCGAGCTCCTCCGGAACTCGGTCCAGGCCGTCATTGAAAAGCACCAACAAAGCAAAGACCCCGCTTCAAACCCACCACCTATTGAAGTGACCTTATGTGAGGCACAGCAGCACGTCATCATCCGCATCTCGGACCAGGGCGGCGGTATCCCACGAGACATCCTTCCGTATCTATGGTCCTTCGGCAAAGGACCTCTCAAGAACCAGCGCCTCGAGAATCTCGGACAGGTCCCGCTCATGGCAGCTACGCTGCAGGAGCTTAAGGTCGACGACGGGAAGCTGCATAGGCTGCAGAGCGAGCGGTCAGGCCACGATAGCTCGCTCTCCTCACTGTCTACTCGTCCACCTAACCTCCGTCTCGGCATGGGTCTCCCGTTAAGTCGGGTGTACGCTGAGTACTGGGCTGGTAGCTTAGAATTACATAGCTTAGAAGGATATGGTGTAGACGCGTTCCTGCAGATTTCGAAGCTGGGGAATAAGAACGAACAGTTAGCTACGAGAGCAGCAATGGACGCCGTTTAGTAATGGGAAAATTGGTAAATACATAGCTGTAGGGTTACGGGACTACATGTAATTATATTGATTAAATCGATGAGCTCATATGTAGCATTAAAAACGCCATAGGGTCCAGTTTGACCAGGTTTAAGAGTGAGCGGGTGGAGTTACACGGTAAATAAAAAGGCCCTGGTTTGCTTTACTGGTATCATAGAAATTTGCGATTACATCGTAAAATAAACCTAACTGATCTGGAGAGAAACGGAGGTCACAAGTTGACCTCCAAAAGGGAGAATATTTTGATATCGCAGGTAAGCCACAACACGCTTGCCAGTCCGTAACCCTCCTTTCCCTGCCATTAGCAGACACAACAACACCAACCGTTAGGACCTTGACAATTCACCTCTCGACACATGTAAATTAGCTTGTAAGCATATCATCCATCAACGACCCATCATCCCGTAGAATCAGAGATGCTGCTGGGACCCGGCGTTCTCAACAACTCCATACTCCCTATTAGACGGAAGCATTAAACTAGCGCTAGCGGAATCAAATCGTTTCGTTGGCGAATTTGGGGGTATATAGAGCGAAACTCCTTAGCGGCGGCCGCTACGAGCAAGGCTGCCTTGCATTTGCTCGAGTTCATTCTCGAGCTGCTTGATCTGAGCGTGGGTCTGCTCGAGATCCTTGTTAAGGCGGTCACGTTCGGCGATGAGCTTCTGCTCCCATTGTCGGAATCGCTGCTCCTCGACCTTGACCTGCTCGGTAAAGCGCTTGCGAAGGGCCTCTTCCTCCTCCTTGTACTTGGGGTTGTCCAGCTTGCGGGGGCGGGCCTCGCCGAACTTCCGGGTCTCCATCTGTTGAGCTCGGTACGCTTCGTAGTGCAACTCCTCGGTCGTGTGGATGAGGTCAAGCATGTGAGTGCGGATTAAGATCGAACGTAGCTTCTTGAAGTCGCAGTGGTCCTCGTTTTCGACTTCGGCAACACCCCATGAGTACTGACGGCCCTTCACGATACGACCATCGCCCGTCTTGACGTCCTTCTCCGAGCCGATAACAGCGAAAGGCATGGCGGCCATGAGACTACGTGCGTGCTGGGCAGCAGCCTCATCGTCCTCCTCGATCGGTGGCTGGTAGATCTTAATGCTCTGGGCCTCAATGACAGCACGGATCTAAATACACGTTAGTCAGTAGAACAATTAACCTATAAATAAGTAGACATACCTTAGCCTTGAATTTGGCAAGGTCAACGGGGCTCAGAGTATCAGCCTTGGCAATAACGGGGATCAGGTTAACTCTTGAGCAGAGTCTCTTCATGACCTCAATATCCAGAGGCTTTAAGGTGTGGCCAGTGGGTCTAATGAAGTACAAGCAAGCGTGGACACGGAGGTCGATCTTGTCCTGGCGGCGGGGTTGTTGCTCCTGGAGCATATAAGACTCATGCTGGTCATCAAGGAACTCAATGATGGGCATCCATGAATCTCGGTTGTTCACGTAGTCGCCGAAGCCAGGTGTGTCAATGACAGTTAGGCGAACTACACATACGATAGTTAGTGAGTGGTAGCTAGCTAATTGAGCTTTGGGATAGAGCTAGTTACCTTTGAAGAACTTCTCCTCTAGTTCAGCCTTGGTAATCTCGATTTCGACGGTCTTGTCAACCTGCTTCTGATGTCGTCGCTTGTGATCGGCATAGTTCTTGATGGTCGTGGAGAAAAGAGTGTTGATGAAAGTGGTCTTGCCCAAACCAGATTCACCGGCAACCTAATATAGCTATTAATGATATGGATCACAACAATCTAGGGCTCACAAGATATAGTACCATAATAGTGAAAGCTGCACCTCTCTTCGCAACAATCTTGTGTCGCTGGTTAGGCAGATTAGCAATGCCAATTGGCGACGCGCTCTCGGCGGCGGTGGCTGGAGGCATTGTGATGATGGTATTGGATTGGGTAGCTGTTAGAGAAGAACAAGAGAATTGATTGTAATAGAATAAAGGTACAAGGCCAAGAAAGCGTCCAAGCCTAATTGTCGTTGTATATTAATTGTCGGAGGATGTTTCTATCTAGAAACTCTCTGGATACGAACCGACGTGTGATGTTGACAGACAAAAGGGTTCGGGCTACTTCAGGGGAAAGTGTTGCTGGTCAAGCAAATTTCCTTACCACAAAACCTCAGGGTGCAGGGCAACCGAAAGGGGACAGGGATTAAATTGAGTACCAGTGGCCCCTTTCCCCCATTTCGCAGTCGTGGTTCGAGCGTTAAAGCCTTGACCGCCTGCCACTACCAATTCCAAGGTGATCTAACCTAATTAAGTTAGATATTAGTGGAGGTAGTGGTAACGTCAATCCTGGGAAGGAACCTTTGCTATTGATTGGTTAGGAATCTTCTTTGAACTGCTAGAGCTCTAGGTTAGCAAGTTAGGCTTGTCTCGATAATAAAAATATTATCTTATCACTGATAAGAAAAACAAAAAAGTTCTGGATTAGATCCAACTCGGCGCATACAATCAATGAATACCTACAAGACATAACTCTCTAACAAGGTCGTTTACCTTTAATTATGTCGTGACAATGAAGACTGATTTTAAAGTGAGAATTCCATATATAATTCACAAGCTACAAAATATATCCTAATCATCATAATAGTTTTCCAACCTCCTCGGGACAGTGTACTGCCAGGGCAATCTCTTATACAGCCCTGATGGAACATGTTTGTTCTCACCTGTGGGAAACCGAGTTACTGTTTTCAACTTAGTAGAGTATGTCTTATTTTAGTTTTATCAGCTTAGAAAGACATGATTCCTAACTACATTATCCTAATAGTAACAAATCATACACACTTCCTTTCGCACATAGGAAAAACATCTCGAGGATTGGCTTGACGCCGCGGGGCAATCTCCTACTCTCCGTTGACGAAGACGGCCATGCAATTCTGACTAACGTCCCACGACGAATCTCTCTATACCACTTCTCTTTCCGATCTCCTGTCACGGCTCTCTCCTTTTCACCTTCGGGGCGCCACTTCGCTGTAGGATTGGGTCGAAAGACGGAAGTATGGCAAGTTCCATCAACTCCCGACTCGAGCGCAGATGGAGAGTTGGAGTTTGCACCTTTTATCCGACATCATACGCATATGGGCCACTTCGATGACGTCCGCCATATTGAATGGTCCGCCGATTCGCGCTTCTTTTTAACTGCCTCCAAAGATCTGACAGCCCGGGTATGGAGTTTGGACGCGGAAGAAGGATTTACCCCAACAGTCTTGTCTGGTCATAAGCAGGCTGTGATTGGAGCTTGGTTCTCGAAAGATCAAGAAACGATATACACTGTCAGCAAAGATGGCGCCGTCTTTGATTGGCAATTTACGAGGCACCCTAATGCGCCGCCGATAGATGAGGACGAAGATATGGAAGACGCCGATAATGACGGTATGCGCTGGAGGGTTGTTCAGAGGCATTACTTTATGCAGAACAATGCCCATGTTAGATGCGCCGCTTTCCATCCCGAGTCAAACCTCCTAGTTGCTGGCTTCTCCAATGGAATATTCGGCTTATACGAAATGCCTGATTTCAATACGATTCATACCCTTAGCATATCCCAGAACGAAATTGACTTCGTCACAATAAATAAGAGCGGAGAGTGGCTGGCCTTTGGGGCTTCTAAGCTAGGCCAGCTCCTTGTTTGGGAATGGCAATCCGAGTCATATATTTTAAAACAGCAAGGCCATTTCGACTCCATGAATTCCCTGGTTTATTCTCCCGACGGGAAACGCATCATCACTACCGCCGACGATGGCAAAATCAAAGTCTGGGATGTTGATTCCGGATTCTGTATAGTGACATTTACTGAGCATACAAGTGGCGTAACTGCGTGTGAGTTCGCAAAGAAGGGTAATGTGTTATTTACTTCGAGTTTAGACGGTTCCATTCGGGCCTGGGATCTTATCAGGTATCGAAACTTTCGAACATTTACAGCACCGAGCCGGCTTTCCTTTTCCTGTATGGCAGTCGACCCGAGCGGTGAAGTGGTCGCTGCAGGGTCTCTAGACTCGTTCGATGTTCATATTTGGTCTGTGCAGACCGGTCAATTGCTTGATCAGTTATCCGGTCACGAAGGCCCTGTCTGCTCGCTAGCATTTTCACCGAATGGAAGTATTCTATTCAGTGGAAGTTGGGATCGGACGGCTAGGATGTGGTCAATATTCAGTCGCACACAAACTAGCGAGCCTCTACAATTACAGGCGGATGTCCTCGATATTGCGGTCCGGCCAGACTCAGCACAGCTCGCAATATCTACTTTGGATGGTCAATTATCATTCTGGTCGGTTTCAGATGCAGAGCAAGTATCCGGCCTTGATGGCCGGCGAGATGTGTCAGGAGGTCGGAAAGTCAGTGACCGCAGAACTGCCGCCAACGTTGCAGGCACCAAGAGTTTCAATACTATACGATACAGCACGGATGGAAGTTGCCTTCTAGCAGCCGGAAACAGTAAATATATCTGTCTCTATTCTGTGAGCACTATGGTTCTACTGAAAAAGTTTACTGTCAGTGTCAACCTTTCGTTATCGGGAACGCAAGAGTTCTTGAACAGTAAGTTGCTTACAGAAGCGGGACCGGAGGGGTTGCTTGATGACGAAGCAGACCATTCGGACCGCGAGGCTCGACGAGATAAACTATTACCAGGTTCGAAGCGAGGCGGGGATCCGTCTGCAAGAAAGAAACTACCCGAAGTGAGGGTGACTAGCGTAGGCTTCTCACCTGCCGGTACTTCATTTTGTGCTGCATCTACAGAGGGCCTTCTCATATACAGCGTAGATAACGAGCTTCAGTTCGATCCATTCGACCTCAATATGGAAATTACACCAGCATCAACTCTTACTGTTCTTGAAAACGAAAAAGATTACCTTAAAGCTCTTGTCATGGCATTCCGCCTCAATGAAGCTGGTTTGGTTAAGAGGGTATTTCAGTCCGTGCCGCACACGGACATCCCATTGGTGGTGGAACAGTTCCCTACTGTATATGTCGCAAGACTATTACGGTTTGTTGCAGCTCAGACCGAAGAATCCCCCCACATCGAGTTTTGTCTCCTATGGATCAAAGCCTTAGTAGATAAGCATGGATCCTGGCTTACGGCGAATCGAAGTAAAGTCGATGTTGAGCTAAGGGTCGTCTCGAGAGCCGTTACAAGGATGCGAAACGAAATTAAACGATTAGCAGACGAGAACGTATACACGGTCGACTATCTTCTTGGGCAGGCTACCACTAAGAAGGTAGATACCAACGGCCAGGCCCTAATCACGGGCGGAGATACCCCTATGAAGATGCTGTCATCGGGAGAAGCGCTCATCTTGGAGGATCACATGCAGTCTGAGGGTGAATCCGAAGCTGAATGGATTGGGATGGATTAACGGCACGACCTCGGCTACAATGTATCAGCTTGAGAACATGTGGCCTAATGCAGACACGAGCATATATCGTTCTCTCCTTCCGACCCGATATGAGGCTCTGCGGCCTCTGGTGATACGAGAATTCTCTCAACCGATGGCCGAATTGAAGGACTCTGCTCGGATTAGGGTGTTAGGATATCCATTATTACCCGCAGAGAGAAGTAAAGCATCGGTTCCGGGACCAGCATCGTTGGTCTCATGTGAGGTGAGGTTTGTTCCCACTCGTTCAGCTCATAGGCTTATTTAGGTATAGGAGGGTATCTTCTTTGCAACATTCCCCAAATCCAATATAAACTGTACCCTACCTTAACAGCCACAAAATCCTCAAGAAATTTATCGGGCATATGCTAGTTCATATGCTAGTTGGTTCATCAATATTAGCGTAGACTGTATACCACACTAACTGCGTGAAATGCGGCGACGCTCTAGAACGTCTTGTAATATCTAGGACGGATATATCCTTATAAGGACCCGACACCAATGATCGACTCGGGCCGAGCCCCGCTCAGCTCTACTTCGGTTGTTTAAACGTTAGATTATGGTGCATGCCGTCTTGCTTGTGCGACATTAAATACCTATCATGGAGTCGGGAGGCTCAGCATCTTTGAACTACCCTATATATTAGCCTAGCGTTAGAACTAGAAGCCCACCTGTAGCACTAACAGCTGGGAACATACATAATCGTATGGGGATATATGTGGGAGGCTGCACATTCTAGAGACCTGCATATGTTATTGGATACTGGACGTGCAATTTCAAGATAGTCTTAGTTGCTCTCTTTATACTTATACCTATTCCAATCAAAATACCTGTTGATAAGTTAGCGAGACTCTAATCCAACCCACCGTGAGACACCGAACGAGATGCTGTGCTGTTAGGACTTTATGAGTCTGCTAGCGCTGATGCTGCCTTAGCTAGTTGATGTTTGTTCAAGGGACCTTTCGGTAGATTTGTTGGCCTTGGCTACTTTAGGTACCTTGGGTAGTTAACAGATCCATTATAGACCCGCTTGTGGGTTAGACAGGAGTGGGATACTGGAATAAGAAAAAAGAGGGTGACGAGAGTAATATATAGTATACATTGTAAGAAATGAAGCAAGAAAAGACAATTTGCATTTTCTAAGTAAATACCTCTGTATATTCAATTGGATGATCATTTAACTCCATCGGTAAGTAATATGTATATGACAAGCATTTAGACGATAACCAAGGTTATTTGCATGAATCATACCTATACATCTAACTTAATATTATCCGATTATATATGTAACTAATTAAAGAGCTTAACTACCACATACTCCATACCTATGCATAGACAGCTGCAGCTATAGCCCAAAAACTTTGAGTCACCTGAAAAAAAAAAAACATATTATACGACATGATTCATAATCACATCACAAACAATTCCTTGCTGCTTCGTAACATAGTTACGCTGATCCTGCCCTATAAATGACTAGGAATAAGCACTACAAGCCAGATAACCAAACCAAGCATATAAAAAGTAGAGTTAGTCATATTTATAAAAATAAAATATGACTTTCTATGTAATCCCAACATGTGAATACTTCGGTAGCCGGCAGGCGACTTACACATACGTATATGTATGTATCAGACTAAAAGATAGCCAATAAACATTGCATATTTGCCACAAAATAGCTTAGGTAGACTCCAGTGATTGCGTATATGTAGATGTCTACCTAACTAATGCAACTCACCATCCACATGAATTCTAAATATTTACCTATACCCACACTAAGGAGGCTCTTCTGATGGACAACTCTGCCACCCCTGGCTACTAATCTATACATTTAAACCTCTATATAAGAAGTTCTGATCTCCCTTTGGATACCATAAACCATCAACTACTGGCTCTTTAATATCCGGTATTCGCCACATGTGATATAAACTATCACGGTAGACCATGGACTACGGAGCTGTCTTTCACAGCTTGCTCCCGAGCATAAACGCAAATACATCGCATACGGGCGGCAACGCCTCGGCGGCCGATAACACGCATCATGCAAAAGCAGTCGAGAGCATCCTGACTCTCGTCGGGCTCCGCGGGCTCGCGCCTATCTACGGGTTTATCGGGGGCTGGTTAGGATTCGAGCCGTCCAGTCTATTAGCTATGGTCGGTGTTATCTGGGCATTGAACAAGGTCCTTCGTCAGGTGTACTCGTTTCTCTATCGGGCTATTACCGGATACTTCATGAGCAGTGTCCACATCATGAATAACGACGACATCTACATCCATCTCATGGACTGGCTCGCTACACACCCTAGGATGGCGAATTCGCGGGACCTAGTCGCTGAGACGGCGAGCAAGAGGGTTTGGAGGGATGAGGATGCGTCGAACGTGGCTAGAGACCGGTCCGGTCGTTACCTTAACTTTTCTAACCAAGAAGCTAAAGCTGTTAGTATACCTCTTATTATTCCCTTCCCTTTATGCTATTCTTATTTCCCTCTATCCAGTACCACACAGTGCATACATACTAACACCCTTCCAAGCCACCGTTCTTCAGTCCCGCTGTCGGCCTACACAGCTTCTGGTGGCGTGGCCAGTACTTCCAGTTGAACCGCAAGCGGGAGTCGATATTCGACGAGAGCAGCATGTCGGGACAGATGTTCCGGGACCAGGAAGACCTGATTATATCCTGCTTTTGGAGAAGTCCGGGTAAGCTCCCCCAGTCATTATTCCCTCCCGTCTCACATACGAGCTGACGCGTGACACTTAGAGCCTATCAAGCAGCTACTAGCCCATGCCAAGGAGCAGTACTACCGCGACCATCAGGCCAGGACCACGGTTAAGCGGCCCAGCACCAATACCTCTCGCCGGTATGCGGGCCGCGTCGGCTGGCATCAGGTGGCGAATCGACCTATCAGGGATATCAAAACTGTTGTGCTAGACGAGCAGCAGAAATTACAGGTTCTTGCAGATATTAACGAGTATCTGCATCCGGAGACACCAAAGTGGTAGTAAGTAACAGCCACTATTATTTACTACTCTTTTAGCATGTACCGGGCGTTTCTATGCTTCAAACATGAGCTTGAATCACTGGTTATTCGCTAAATATTCCAAAAAGATAAATTACTGACTCCTGATTATGTAGTTCAAATAGAGGGATACCACTACGGAGAGGATATCGTATGTATTTTAAATACCCCCTTTCCAATTTTTCGACTTGTCTTAGGAGTTAATCCTCCTGAGATACGTCTAAACCCCTTCAATAAAGTAACATTTACTAACTATTATTGATGTAGTTTTCCATGGACCCCCAGGAACGGGCAAGACGTCGCTCTCGTTTGCTCTCGCCGGGATTTTCGGTCTTGATATTCACGTAATATCGCTTCTCGAACCTAGCTTGACTGAGGAGGATTTAAGCGCACTGTTTGCCTCACTCCCGCGCCGCTGCATTGTCTTATTAGAAGGTATGTCATACTAGTAACAGCAACCTCGAAGTTCATGCTTGCTATCCCCCTTACCCCCTGAAATATCTAAGCCATAATTCCTAAATCTTCCCTCGACCAAAACTATCTACTAATAACTTCTGGCAGACATCGACACAGCCGGACTTCGCCGTCCATCTCTCAACCAATTCGACGACGAAATCTCGCAACCCGAGCCCCAAGATGCCACCATCCCCAGCAAACCCAGCAAACCTAACGGCACCGGCCCCCGCGACTGGAAAGTCAGCGACCTAGCGCGCGCCCTCAAGAAAGAAGGCGAAAGCGACCAAAAAGCCGGAATTTCCCTATCCGGCCTGCTCAACGCCATCGACGGCGTAGCAAGCCAAGAAGGCCGCGTACTAATCATGACGACAAACACGCCCGAGCAACTCGACGACGCATTGATCCGCCCAGGCAGAGTAGACCTGCAAGTAGCCTTTGCGAACGCGACGCGGGACCAAGCGCAGGAATTATTTATGCGCATGTACGAGGAGGACCCGGGGCGCCCTACTACTGCTACTGCTACTACTACTACTCCCGAGAACAAGACTCAGCAGATAACCGCCAATGGCATGGTCCCCCAATCCGCCGACCTCGACATATCTATCTCCGAGCTCCCCACTGTCGCAGCCGCCTTCGGCGCTAAAATCCCCGACGGCGAGTTCTCGCCTGCTCAGATACAGGGGTATTTGCTCAAGCGCAAGAGGCAGCCGCGCAAGGCGCTCGAGGAGGCGGATAAGTGGGTTGAAGGTCTTCTAAGGCAAAAAGCGATGAAGAGCAAGATTTTGCAGGTGCAGTGAGTAGTACTATGCGTGGCTATTAGCTAGATAGGTAGGTAGGTAGGTAGATATCTGGGGTAATGAGGGGTGTATAGGTACGTATGGACATCTTTACTACGGCGACTTAGAGAGTTGATATTCCGGTTGCATAGCGGGGAAATCTAGATCTAGATTGGTCGTCCATCGTGGCGTCGATTGGAGTTCGGGGTCTCGTTTATGATGTATGTCTATTGCCATCTACTCTTAGTGAAACAATGTCTTAATGACAATAATAAACCGATGTTGTTCATCAATAATGAATAGGGGCTTAATTTGATGTCATCTACCAAAGCCGCAAGTTTAACTAGAAACCGACGTGAAGCAGAGTAGAGACCTAGAGTAAGCTTTTAATTTGCTGAGTGAATTTCAAATGTACATAGGGTATAAATTATACACGGAACGGCGCATTAAGCAATTACACCAAAGTGCCCGCGAAGAAACTAACAACGTTCCAAAGAACATAGCCATTATATGAACACCGTTACCCCTATGTCTCAATGCTAGGCCCTTTCTCCTGGATCCGCACGATCAAGTCATGTTGTGTCTGGAGGTTCTGCGACGAGCTGAGCGACCTCGCCACCGTGGTCTCGTTCTTCTCGACCACGATCCGCCTGAGTGCTTTCACCAAGAAACCCGCGACCAAATCCACGCTCCAGCTATCGGGTATTACTGACAAGACATCGTTGACGTCGAAGAATCCTCCGAACTTCTCCAAAAGCAAGCCCGTCTGATCCACACGGTCGCTGACGTCCTCTAGTTTGAGGAACTCGCCAAGCAAGGCGCGGAAAAGCCGGGCTTGCTGATCTTGTGTCGGTGGCATACTATCGCGGCGCGTTGGCGCTTTAAGGGCCTCCGGGTTTATAGGCGGTTGGCTTTGTTGGGCTTGGTAGATAGTGTAGATGCTAGAGCCACCGCGGAGACAGTAGGCTACGGCCGTATCATAATCTCCGAGATGGTGGACTAATAAGCGCAGTGCATTTTCGTGTTTACGTTCTCGCCCGTCGAGTATTATGGTCTCAGGTACAAGAAGGTCTTCAGCTGCGGTATTCAAACTTGCGATTCGGCCCCTGATAACTGCCAAATCAAAGTCATGGTTGCCACCAAGTAACTGCAAGAGCCGTAGTCGACTAACCCATGCCTCGTCATCAGCAGGAGCGTTGTCTGTCAAGAATTGGCGGTACGTGGGTTTAGGAGGTTGTAGGGCACGGTATGCCGTATACGTAGACGTTACTACATCTCGAGCTTCAGGCGACGTCCGAAAACGAGTGATCATAATATCCAAGTAATACATAATCAGCTCGTTGGCGTATACAGTGTGGCCCTTGCCGAACACTAGGTACTCCAGATAATACTTTACCGCACCCGGGGCCTCTTCTCTAAGGAGTTGAATTACCTGGGTAGGCTCAAATTTCGGGGCGCGGCCTTTATCGTCAGCAAAGATTTGAACGCCAAGCTTCGGGTTTCGATTCGCAAGCCAGATCCCATATTCCTGAACCAGGCTTTGGTTGCTAATCTTCGAGAGGTATTCGCGTACTCGCTGCTCGCCATCGGTTAATTCACCCCCGTCATCTCGCTCGCCTTCGACGATGCGCTTCCAGGTAGCTAAAACCTCTCCTGCCATTTTACGGCTCTGGTAGAGTCTACTAAGCACATAAAGACGGTGGTAGGATTCAATCAACGTCTCTGCTCTGTTGAAACAATCGACCCCCGTATCTACAAGCTCGTATAAATCTGCACGGATCGACCTTGCTTTGGCTGGACCTGTGGTCGAATGTTGATCGAGCTCAAGGAGGACGGCAAGTAGAGCCGCATCAACTGTACGGAAAACCTCGCTTTCGTCCGGTATGCTACCGAAGCCTTTCTTACGTCGCCACGCGGCAAGAAAACGTTTAAGAAAATGCAGTACAGGCTGTGGTAATGTGCTCATAGTTGAGTTGCCCTTATCGAAATCCCTACTCGAGATGAATTCCTCAGCAGTCGATTTGACACCTCCGAATATCCAGATGCCTCGTTTTGTCTCGATTACCTCGTTACGAGCTCCAGGTATAAGAGATAGAACGACTCGAGGATCAAGAAGGCTATCGATTAAGATCTCTTCCATGGCTCGGAGCTCTGATTCTGAGAAAGGGGTATCTTCCGACTTGAGGAAGCTCGTTAATAAGAGTATACCTGCTCGTTGTCGTATGTAGTTAAATGTAAGAAACTCCAACTCTGATTTAGCGTCCTGCCCTCGGAAGGAATTCAGGATAGTGAATAAGTCTTGTCGCCTAGAAGATGCCTGTTTCGACGCCGGGATTGTTGCTTCTAGCTGTGCATCTAGTCGTAGTATTAACGGATTTCGAATAGCCCACCATATATCCTTTCCAGACCACACAGCCAAACGAGCCGTACTTCCTGCGAGGCGGCGAGCATAATCTTCCTCTTCAGCGTTACGTGTCGCCTGCCAACCATCGGGAAAGAATTCTTCACTCTGAGAATCAGTATCCCTATCAAAAAGCTCTCTCTCTTTAGACACCCTCTCTATAGAAGAGGCTGTTCTAGAGTCACAAGTTCGTAGAGATATTGTCGAAGCGTTTGAGTTATCTGATAAAAACGGAGCAAACCTCCGCCGACACAATTTGTCGATAATTTCCGGGAAGTGTGTATCATCTGTCCCGCGCAATGATCGAATTCCTATGTTATGCGCAGAGTTGGTAACCGGGTCAGCATTTGGAAGCTCGAGCCAATGTTTTGAGACATCGCCATCAGCTGCGTCAGTATCCCAACGTTGAATCTCAAGGCCATAATGAATACCATCAGAGAAGTCCCTCCCCATTGACGCAAGGACAAACCCCTCCTCTTCTGGGGAGGGGGACGCCCGTGTTGAGGATGTATCTATAGGACCTCCATCGACGACAATTCCCTTAGGATATCGATCAAACTCAATGGTAGGCCTTGTTGGATCACCATCTAGGTTCACAAACATTCCAATGCCCGGCTCTAGCGGATCTGTACCTGTGACTAACAGAAACTCTTCTGGCGTTGGAGATACGATAAGCGGTTTCAAAAGACCCGGCTTAGGCCTAGAAGTTGGAACCATTCGGCCTGTTTGGCCCTCTATGGCCCTATCCGACGCTGGGACATTTGAGTCCTCAGGAGGAGATTGGCCCGCCGTTAATTCAGACGGAGTTGGTTGTCGCGAGATTGGCTCCTCGCCCTCAGCAGCATGAGATTCCTGTCTCCGATTGGCACCCGTGATGAAGTCACCTAAGCTCGTTCCCCGCCTATGAGTAGGAGGTTCGGGACTCTCAGTCTGCGAGCGAGATTGTGCAGAGGAATTGCTGCGATTTAACCCACCTCCTGAACTTCCGGAGATATGTTGGGCTTGGCCAATAATATTCCCTGGCTCGGCCTCATCGAGTGATGATATAGACATTAAGGGGATCTTCAATTGTTGGTTAATTTCGAGTAAGGCATAGCTGCGAGAGTCCGCTACGCAAGCAATAGAGTCTCTCCTTATGGAAATTGTGCTTCCCGCAAAGTCGATCTTCTTGATAGGATGAGCCCTATCAGCTATATTGACCACCTGGATCTTCCGATTAAGCGACAGCAATATGGTGACGCCTGTGGGCCCTTCTCGTCCATCTTGGCTGGCAGTCAATTCGTTGAGGTCTATTCCGCCTACCCAATTACAATTCTTGACCTGTGTTCCGCCAAAGACCGGGCTTAATTCTGGGAGCGAATAGAAGGTGACTGTCCAGTTACATAAAATACAAGCCTTGTTGACGGTTGGCAGTAATAGTATTTGCTGAACACCAGGTTTCGTAGAATTGGATGTTGCTGCTGATTCGGCGAAAGCAGGGCGTAGCCTTGAGGCGAGGATGAAGGTCGGGGCGCTCGATTTGTCTGCAGGATCTGGGGGTATCTGAAAGAAGTGAAGGAGTTCCGAGTCGGACGTGCCTACGTATAAGTGATTATCTGATGAGGGCATCAGCTGGCTTGGACTTAACAGAAACTACACTACAAACGAAAGAGTCCTATCTTATGCGCACCTAAATATTCGACACAGTTAATCTTTATATCGTCCCTTGTTCCATCTTCCGATAGTGGAACGTCTGCGAAGAGAGTACGAAGTACGAAAGGCCCGGTGCTGAACGCCTTTAGCGAGCTCTTGTCGCTTTGAGGTTCTGAAGCCATGGTGGAAGCGACAACATCATAAAAAATTGGAGTCAGTCATGATGGTTCCTTGTGAATATAGAAGTAATAGTGGTGAAGATAAGATAGTATAAATATAACATCCTGGGAATTTGAATGTGTAGGAAGCTGAGGGTGGAGCTTACTTGAGCTGAGATTACGTACATTTACACTATGTACGATATACATGTACAATTTCTAATGCACATCCAATCATAAATGACCCAGATCTTCAGGGACCTGAAAAGGCAGCTACAGTGGATTGTAGTCTATTTCTAGCACTAAATCCGCTAATCAAACCAAGTTGCCGAGCTTAACGAATCCCTGCACTTGCATCTACTAGATGCAGTATGCGTCGAGACATGGAACGAACACGTTCAACCTTTACAACTATTCTTATTCTAGACCAATCTACCATCTGCTCGGCGCGAGCGACTGACGTCGGTTGCCTGTCGCATAACTTCTTATAGCATATCAACCTTTTCTATTAGTTCATATCTAATGCTTCGATAACCGCGGCAGCGACATCTGCCCCTTGTCGAAAAGAAAAAGAAAAAAAATCATAAATCATGGCCAACATGTCCGAGTCGCCGCAAGCCGGACAATCACCTTCACCCCAACCCACTGGCGATGGACAGGTTGATACTTCTAGCCAGGATGGTACAAACCAATTCCAGCATGCTATTTCAGCATGGAGAAGTACGCATTCTTTGCTACGTATATTAGTGCTATCGTGTTCGGTCCTAACCCTTAATAGACATTGATTTGGGCTCTTTAATGTCCACTCTCGACAATACTGCTTCCGATATCGTAGCCTTTCAGCGGGATTCTACAGTCCAACGAAAGGATTTGGCCCAGAAGACAAAAGATTTCAGAAAGCTAGACGATGCGACCAAATTAACGGAAATCAAGGGCCTTTTGAAAGCATACCAAACATTTATAGATCTTCTCACCAACCATTCCAAGTCGACCAATTCTGCATTTCTACAAGTTTACTCCGCCCTCGAGAATGCTCCCGATCCGTATCCTTTGCTAGAAGCATCGGTTGACTCTATGCTTGTAGCCGAAGACACTTTACCCAAGCTTACCGACGAAAATCAGCACTTACAAGAAAGCGTCGCCAAGCTTACATCACAGCTTGAAGAGACAGAGTCAAGGTTGCAATCAGAAAGCGCCAACAGGAAGCAACTAGAAAATAATCTCGAAACTAAGGTTAAGGAAGTAGAGGAGTCGTGGATCGCAGTCGTAGACGAGAAGAAGGACAACTGGGAAGCGAAAGAGAAGGCGTTAGAGGAGAAGATTGAAAGTCAGGAGAGACTGCTGAATGAAATTAAGGCTAGTTACGAGGTAAATCAACGCCTTAAGGGATCCGAAGATGTAGACGCTGAGGGCAGTTACGGTCACGTTACGAATGCGGAGCTGGAAATGGTCAATTCTGATCTAGAACGGACTAGTGCCAGACTGGCTGATGTTGAGGCTCGAAACGAGCAGCTGCGGCTGGAGCTCGCCCAATCTAAATCCCAAGTCACAGCCCACGCACCAGTTTTGGAGGATGACCCCGGGTATATACGCATGAGGTCGGAAAACTCGTCTTTAATTCGCAAGCTGGACTCTGCGAGAGTGGAAAAGGAGGCTTTCAAGAGGGACGTTGACACGAAACTTAGAGGCTTAGAAAGAGAAGTTGGTCTTTTGAAAGAGGAGCGCGACAGTCTGAAAGCAAAGGTACAGAAGTGGAACGACTACGATGATATCAAGCAAGAATTAGAGGTCCTCAAAAGCATCGAGTTCGCGACGGGTGATGACGACGATATGCTGGCTGCTTCGGAATCGAACGGCTCTGCACCCAAAGGGAAGGGTGATACACTGGAACAGTTGCTATTAGCCAGGAACAAGAAGCTAAGTGACGAATTGACTATCTTACGAGTTTCTCATCAAGATCTTCAGAACCGGCTAGAGAACCTCCAAGAGGAAATGTCAAAAACAAACGCGGACTTGGAGAGATCACAGAACCTCAACGCACAGTTAGAAAATGATCTAGCCAACCTTCAGTCAGAAGGACACAATGCGTTCCCGTCAGGAGCGTCAGTGGCTGGCACGTATACGAGATACGCGCCATCTATAGCACCCGGAAGGAGGGGTGGAAGAACATCGCCCACCTCGTCTATCATATCCGGTTTCGACCCTCGGATGACAGGGGGCGAGCCGATGGGCGGCGGTTCGGGCATCTTGCCTATGATCACCGCGCAACGTGACCGCTTTAAAAAACGCAACGCTCAGCTCGAGGGGGAGTTGTCAGAGTGTCATCGTACCGTGTCGCAGCTGCGTCAAGAGATCGCAGCCTTGCAGAAGGATAACCTTCAGCTCTACGAAAAGACACGATACGTGTCGACTTATAATCGCAATGTTCCGTCGGCGTCGTCAGCATCGGCATACTCATCAAATCCTAACCCGTCCGTAGTCGCTATGGGCGGGACTGGAAACCCCGGAATTGCGCTAGACCGGTATAAACAGGCGTACGAGTCCAATATTTCGCCGTTTGCAGCGTTCAGAGGGCGCGAGTCAGCAAGAGCTTACAAACGGATGAGTTTCCCGGAGAGGGTAGTATATTCGGTGACGCGGATGGTATTGGCCTCACGAACGAGCAGAAATCTATTTGCAGCGTACTGCGTCGCATTGCACATCCTAGTATTTTTCTCTCTGTACTGGCTTGGTATTACAGACGTCGAGAAGCATTCGAGCAATCTTAGCCAGGGTATAGCCGCCGCCGCAGTAGCGGGAGGGGCAGCCGGCGGTAATAGTGGTGGGAGAGGACAGGCCATTCATGCCGCGGATTGGCAGGAAGAGGGTTTCAATGGGCACTGATGATTACGTCCACAGAATACATATATTGTATCATTACTAGCCGATCTTTGTTTATACGGCACGCGCAATACGTCTAATACCAACCAATTTCGTCTTGAATTGTTTACTACCACCATCCAAATACATAGGTACCTAGGTATGTAGACAGTGAAACAATGCAGTGTATCTATATTTCTGAGCAACGTTTGATACCAAGATAGACATAAACTAGACATCATAACACCTCTACATTGGAATAAGATAATCGAAGTAAGCAGCTTTTCCATACTGGCAGACAAGTATGAAGTGCAAGAAGATCATAAGGCCCGTTCTCGGTACCAAATGCCTATCTATAGACGAACATTCATTCGTTCCATGTCACAAGAGAGAGCCAGGATCTAACTTGTCATGATCTCGAGCCGCCACGTTGGATACTATGCACGCAATCTGTAAGCGGCCCGCCGAAGACAAACCCCGGTAAGGCCTTGGCTAATAAGAGTATGATCTACGCTGATTGGTAGGAGTTCCTTGATTTCAACGGTTGGCAACACACATGTTCAGCTACTCAGCAAACACCATACTTGAGTAACCAGCCTGTTACTGACCACCAAGTTACCCTCCAAGATTTCCATGGCATACTTGGCGCGGGGTCATACGCGTACAAATGTGAAATATACCACACGTACACATGTCCAACATTCACCGTAGGCGAGTAACGAATTAGAAAGGGCAAGTTCCTTCGTTGACCGCGGCTGCAACCCACACCCGAGACTCGATAAAGTAGCACAACAGACGGGAGGAGGTCGGGAGGGCTTGCTTCACCAGAAACCCAGCTGTGTAGAACAAAAAGGCAGACAGGCAGACGGGCAGAATACCTGATATCGATATCAATATATGCGTCCGGACGCTATCTCCGTCGGACGAGCGAGACGCCTTCTCCATTCAGCAGCCGACCTGAGACGAGGCGAGATTAGCAAGACGGGTAATAAGAAGCTAACCTAAGTAATTTGCGATGTGCGAGCGGGTAAGGGTAGCATTGCATATGAATAGTTGGAATTTGCCCGCAAAATCGAACAGCCAGTCGGTAGCTTCGACTTGGACAGCCGAGAAAGAAGAAAGCGGGCGGAGTTGTGATTGGTAGATGTGTAAATTATGGGCAAATTGGCCAGAATGGGTATGGAATGTTATCTCCACTTAAGCGAGGGGGGAAGAAAAAAAAAGGCTAATTATGTTTATTTTTGGATTTGAGTTTGGGTCGCGGCCACAAATGATTTGCTGGCGCGCTTGTTTCTAGAAATAGCAACCGCCAGGGCCACTAGACCACGGCTGCGAACCATGCCGAATTAGCCCGGAACTATCTTAGTGGTCTTTTTTCTAAATTAACCCACCTTCTTTTTCCTTCTTCAAGGGCTAATTACTCCCTTGCTTCTTTTGACCCTATCCACTTACATCCAATCCATACTTGACTGCTTAAGCAAAAGGTCCAGGGGTGCTACGTAGTATGATCTGATGGGCGTTTGCACAACCAAGATCCATCCCTACATAGCACAAAGCTTCTTTTTCCTTCGTTCTACACCAAGTCTGCCAATGAGATGTTAGTATGCCTCAGCACTGACTGAAGTTCTAGGTCGATCTTAGAGTCACGTTCAAACTGCACAGCCAGCCGGATCTAGAAGTTCCCAGATTATGAGATCTTTAGGTACAGTATTGGAATCATGACGAGGGTCATATTAGCTTATTGTGCATATCCCGTGCTTCACTTATACACGAGGCTATCTAAGGTAATACTTGAACTAGGTAGCTATGCCTTGCTTGCTGGCGTCACAATCAGCTGCTGGAATCATAGCTATCTAGATATTTACCTTTAATTTATGGAATCAAAAAAACCTGCGCCTCAATAGCACTCGATAACAAACAACTTCCATAAGCATGACTAGAGAAAAGACATAACCAGATCATTCAGTAACTACATTGTTACTAGATCTTGTTTCTCGTATCCATAATCTCCCTTGCAAAACACGATTCTCTTCACTATCCACGGTCAATATTTTTTGTCTAATTTGAATTGACTCTAGTTGCTTCAAACATAACGCGTTTTGCCGGTGGCGCCCATCTTTGTCATTTCTCTCAAGGCTACACCAACCACCAAGTGTAATAAGCTGGCCGAAGAAGAGGCGGCCCTGGCGCTTACACGGTAGCTTGGACAGTCCTTCCAGCCAGTCAGATGGTAGGGTGAGAGCTCGGCACCCCTGCCAGCCGTCCCTAGCTGCAGATCGCTTGGCTCTCCATTCAGATCCCCATGTTGAATCGACGGCAGGGATATCCTAAAATACAATCCCACCCTCCTTGCGTCTACCGCCGTCCGGCTTCGTCCACTACCGCGGAATCATAGGCAGATAGCCATTCTTTAACGATCAGAATTCTCGAAGCACCCCGGTCCACCTACAGGTATGCTACCCAGATTCTTAATTTGGGATCCGTTCAGGGTCCCACGCTGTCGTGCCGCTGGACTGGGGTAGGGCGTGGCACCTGAACTAAACAGCCAGGCGGCGGTTCTTCCGCTCTCTGTATGTATGCAGTCTAGAATTTAATAAACCCCATCTCGTCCCGCTCCCGAATATGATGAACATTTGTATATACCATCCTCAAGCCTTTATCCTATATATCTCTCTCTCCTCTTGGAGATCATTTCCTTTTACGTTTTCCTATTTTCTATCTCCTTAGTATTTCTTTTATTTCCTTGTGACTTCATCTGTCTATCTCATCTATCTCATCTATCTATCTATTTATCTATCTGGGTCGGTTTTCTTTGGGTTTCCTATTTCTTATTAGTCTACGCATATTACGACCAAGACTACTTTGAGATCTCAAACACGAAACCACATCGATTCGACTACAAACCAATATCATATACTCTTCCACCTATATCATCAGCCTCAAAACTATCAAGATGTACGCCTCAACATTATTAGTCTCGCTACTCGGTGCCTCGAGTGTCATCGCCGCCCCGACATGGCCCGCATTCAACTGGAATGCCGCCAAGCCTGACGGGCTCGAGACCGTATCCGAGTACTTCAATATGTTGGCACAGAAGGTCGAGATAGGAAAATACATGTCGTCAGCCCCAATTTGTGATATCTCAAAGGCACAGATGGCTGCAGGTTCGTCACTACTTTCCCCTTAAAATCTTATAAGAATTTTGACTAACATTTTCTTCAGCCCCTGAGCCACTGACTCCTCCGTCTCCTGGTTTAATCCTAAAGCACGTGGCTATCGGCCGCGGAACGCAGAACTATACCTGTGACACAACCAACGCGACCGCCGTTCCCATCGCCGCTGGTGCCGTAGCCACACTCTTCAACGCGAGCTGCGTCGCCTCTGCGTACCCGGATCTGCTGAATCTCCTGCCCAAGCTGGCTCTCCAGTTCAACCTCACGGCGCAGGAAGACGCGCGCATGGGCCCCACGAACCTGATCATCTCCGGCAAACACTTCTTCACCAACAACACGACGCCCTTCTTCAACCTCGATACGACGCAGAACCAGATCGGCGAAGCGAGCTGCTCCAAGGACAGCCAGACCAACGCGCCTGCCGACGCACCTAAGGGTCAGCAAGGCGAGAAGGCCGTCCCCTGGCTCCGCCTCAAGACGCAATCCGGCTCCACAGGCAACCTGCAGGAGGTCTACCGCATCGAGACGGCAGGAGGCAGCGCGCCGGCCACGTGTCAGGGACAACCGGCAGCATTCGAGGTGCAATACGCAGCACAGTATGTTCTAACCCCTTTCCATAAAATTTGTGAATATGAAGCTAATATCCAAAATAGATACTGGTTCTGGGAAGGCGAATCTCAGGCGTGAACAGAACAACGCTATTGCTAAACCGAGTAAAATTGAGAAAATCACAAAATTCCGAATAAAGGGGTCTGTAATGGAAAGGGGGAAGGCATGATAGGGGCAGGGTGACTCCGCTTGCGCGTGTCTCGGAAGAATACGAGACGCGACGGCGCCGACATACATACATATATGTCGGACATCATCGGGCGGGGAACCACAGCCCCTGTGCTCCCCAGAGCGTCTGGGTAGGCGCAGGCATGGACGGCAAGGCATACTAGGGCGTCACGCATGTACGCGTATTGAGACACGGGGCTACGAGGGGATTTATAGCGTTATGATTCATACCATTTATTTTTTTTTACACCTTTTTTTATCATTTTTATTCTTCTCGTATAGTACGGTTTTATCTTGTTAATATATTATGAAATGTTGAGTTGATGTGTTATAAATGATTGCTTTGAGATGTGATATGTTATGTTGTAGTACCAGCTTTTTTTTTATAAGTTGGAGTATAATATCTTGTAGTTGACATCTCTGAGCTTGAGTGTCTTCGGTTTCTGGCGATCTCAATAATTGCTATAAGAGTATTATATTATTTCTAACGGGAAGCATTGTAAGGATCATGAAATAGCGCTGCGGGGTGAGCTTCAACGGTAAGAAGAGCTTCAAGCTTTAGGTAGGTAAGTACCCGAGTCAAGTAAGTTAGATTTGATAAAATCCAAAAGAGCACGCTCGGTTGATATATCCATTTCATCATATTTACCATTTTTCGACTATTTTTCCACTTTGAAAAATCGTCCCATTTTTATAACCATTCAATGCTTAAATTTGGTACACTCTACCGTAATAGTAAGCTTGAGGGTTCTTTTTAAATAGGTAACTAACAGCAAAACGCTCCTTTCCCGTCCCCCTCTTTTCCCAGGCGCCACCAATACAAAAGCTACCTATCACTTAATTTACACATGTTTATCGAACAGTTACAGGGCTACCAAGCCCCTGCAGCGTAGCATTTTACGTAGTATGTAGCCCTACGGCGCCTATAAAGGCCTTATATAATAACGGGTTTCCTCTTGATCAGGAATTTAGACATCATCTTACCGTCGACATACACTCTCTTCTATTATATTCATATGATCCTTTCTGGTCAGATTTTATTCAGCCCTATTCAGAACATAGCGCTATCATCTACTGCCCAGAGCCTCACATCAAATATTTGGATAGTTGAAGTGAAAGACATACTCTCTACCAGAGGCACCAGCCCCTTTTCACCATCATTTCATCTTAACACTCCTTAGTAAAGACAGCAAGCACAATGTCTAGTTCGTTACCAAGCAGTAGTCTAGAAGGAAGCATCTCTATAAGCAGATTTGGACCAAGGCTTTGCGATCGCTGCAACGAATTACTCTCCGCTGTCGAATTGAGCATTGACCTCAGCCAGCCTAATAACAATAGTGTGAAATCTGAATATTATCAAAATCTGTACAAATCAGCCCGGTACGGTTGCCAGATCTGCCTTATGTTTAAAAATGATCTCGAGTAAGAATAGTTCTATCAGTGCAATAATGGCCACGATCGATTAAAAAGCTTAAGGTTATATCCAGAACTCGAGGATGGATGTTGGGATGAGACGACGCTCGAGATAGTTCTTACTCGGTCGAGCCCATCGCCTAGAATAAATATGCAATTAAGATCGACTTCGACGGGTCGTATAGATCTCTATGGAAGATTAGCCGAAACCGTTGCTTACCCAGGCACTTCGTGTAAGCTATTTTGAGTCGACCCAAGCGTATAATCGATGGTATAACTGACATATTACCCGGCTCCCTCTCTCTTACTAGCCCGGCAGAGGGTATTTGAAGAGTTAAATTCTATACGAGCATACCACGACCTAGATTATACGCCCCCGAAGTCAACGGATGACCAAAAGGCATGGAAACTATGTGATGCTTGGGTAAAGAACTGCATAAACAATCATAGCAGATGCAAAAGCTTCAATTCCTCCTCATGGTATCCGACGAGGCTTTTATATATCGGTCATCTTCCTAACGGATATCTCGACAAATATGATCTCTGTTCCTCCAATGTACAACTTCACTTGACGCAAGATAAGCCACCTAAAGGGGGTTACATGACACTTAGTCACTGTTGGGGTTTTATCGCCTTTGAGATGCTGAAGCTCACGGGCGAGACTTATAAATATCGATTAAAGAATGGATTTTCATACACAGAACTTCCCAAAACATTCCAGGACGCTGTCCGTCTATCGCGGTTTCTTCATAGCGACTACATATGGATTGATTCGTTATGTATTATCCAAGGCTCCGAGGACGACTGGATACACGAGAGCAAGGCAATGATGGATGTATACCGACATTCGAAATGTAACATCGCAGCGACATCAGCTCAAGGACCAACCGAAGGCTGTTTCTATACCCGGGATCCTACTCTAGTATCTCCTTTGGAAATTTCACTACGCCTAGGAAAAGAAGATAGAGCCGCGAAAAAATATCTCTTCTCCTCCGACGAATCATGGTATGTAAATATCGAGCATGCACCATTAAACAGGCGAGCCTGGGTTTTTCAAGAACGCACATTATCGCCGCGACAAATCCATTGCGCCAAAGATCAGTTATCCTGGGAATGCAACCAAACTACTGCCTGCGAAACATTTCCTTTCATTTTCGAGCCTCACATAGAGTTCAAGCATTTCATTTCCCTGGCTCAAAATCTGACAAGCCTAAATCTTACGTTGTCGGAAATACATAGGTCAAGATCTTCTGAAACGAGGCGTGACTCGTTCTTGGGAGGTAGTCTTATTAGCTATCCCATGGAGTCAGCCGATTCCACGTCTCACAACATACCCAGATTTGAGCGGACGTTGGCACTTCTTGAAGAAGCCACCCCAGAGGAGAGGATCGAGTGCTTGAGGAGCAATATATACCTGGACTGGAATGACATAGTCTCTTGGTATTCAAATCTCGAGTTAACATATAAAACCGACAGGCTAGTGGCAGTCTTTGGGATTGCATCTCGAGTTCAGGAGGCTCTTAAAGATACCTACGTCGCGGGCCTATGGTACTCACGGATTCCTTGGATGCTTTTTTGGCTGGCTGGTACATCCGAAACGGCCCCCTCATACGACGCCGGCCCTTCGTGGAGCTGGGCCAACGTAGACAGAAGGGCCTATTTCCAAATCGTCCCAGAAGATCACGACCGTGTCCTAATCAATATTGACGAGGCTCATGACGGACATACGGGTGCCAAGAAAGTTGCTATGAGTAGCCACAAAGCATCTTACTTAAAACTCCGATGTCTCATTTTCAAGATCGAACCTGACGACATTGCAGCAAACAGCGGGAAAAAGAGCACAACAAGGTTCATAACACCAACAAACCCAAGATTATCCTTTCGCCCGAGATCTATGAACACAGACGGTATAGAAACCGTCGATTATTGGCATCAGGCATATATCATACCTGTCGTTGATCGACGCGGGAAAAATATGATATGGGCCTTACTGGTACGTCTTTGCGAAGAGGAACCGGGTTGTTATAGACGCATTGGCGTGTGTTGGATTGATACAGATGCCGAACCCAACATAACCGAACATGCGCGGGGGGCTACGGATGAGGATAAAGTAAGAGTGACACTGATCTAGTTTACTATAACTACCTAAGGTAGCGTTACTCATAAAAAGGACGGGTGGGGAGGAGCTGTGCGATACGCGCGGCGTAAGGAATTATACGAAAAGTTTAGAGTGAAGTAAATAGGAGGCATTGGTTTTAAAATTCAAAATTAATTATCGATTATAAGTCAACAGCTTTGAAAGACTTTACCAGTTTTAAGACTCAACCCCCATCATTGCGCCTCGGGAATATCCTCCTGCGCGAGAAACTCGCCAACGACCTTTAGAATCCTCTCTCGCAGCCCTCCGCCTTCCAGATGGCACATTGTGGCCGCCGCCCGGAAACGTGATCCAGCGAACGCGTGGGGATGAGCTCGAAAAAGGGGCCTTGGGCGATGTCGTGCGAAGTGTTGTATTCGCCGTTGTAGACGAGGGTTGGAGATGTGATATGGGAGAGATGGGGGGTGACGGTCCAGTTATTTAGAGAACCGTCTGCTGTTAGAGGGAGGGACTATTCTTAGATGGATTAGACGTGGAATCGTGATGGGTATTGTTTAAAAGGAGGAGGCATTACTTGGGAAAGATAGGAGTAGTTTTATTAAAAACGGGAGGATATGGGATTCTTTTAGTATGCTTAACGCGGAGTATGTTTTTTATTGTAGTATTCAAATATATATATAATTGATTTTTCGAAGTAAGTGATAGTGTACATTATAATAGTTCCTTTGCTCTTTTGTCACCGAATTGTTGTTGATTGGTTGGTGTATGCGGTCTGAGTCCTCCTTTCAAGCCTGGTGTAATGATGTCACTATCAATATGTCCTGGAGGCTTAAGCACTACACGATGTTACGACCGAAAGGTCCCTTATTGCTTTTTGCTAGTTGAGGACATCATTCAGCCCGTCATGTCGGATTCGTCCAAGGAGAGCATATTGGGCCTCTCCGGCTCGCTAATGGGCTTGTCGACCATTGTTGTCAGCCTCCGGTTTTGGGCACGCAGGCGGTATAGATTGCATTTTATGGCTGACGACTGGATCGCTGGTCTCGCTCTGGTTAGTGATTTATGCCGAATATCACCGAATGGGTATCCTTACTGATTGGGGATAATAATGGCCTTAGCTTTCATACATTGGAGCATCGATCTGTGTGTTCGTCAGTAAGTCATCCTTTCACCTCCCAAGTCAATCCACAAGGGAAATATAGCTAAGCATTCCGCACCCATAGTGGTGCACAACAAAGTACTAGGCTACTCTAGCCATGACTTCACGCCTGAGCAAATAGAAGCGATGGGTAAAACGGACAACGTGGTGAGTACCAAGTGCCTCGCTTCCGCATTTCTTGATGATTAGACTCCGTTAATGATCTCTCAATTTCCATCCAGTCTCAAATCGTTCTCGATGTTCTAACCAACAACACACTTGCATGTGTGAAGCTCAGTGCCCTCTTCTTCTACCGGCGCATCTTCTGTGCTGGCGGGAAGCAGACCACATTTGGGGCGGTAACTTGGGTCACAATTGCCGTCGTCGTTCTGTGGCTTCTTGTTTTCCAGTTTCTAACGGGCTTTCAATGCGGTACGCATTTCTCGGCACTCTGGGATGGCTCCTATGTTCAGTACTGCACCACCTCATTCCCTTTTCTATACGGGCTTGTTATTTCCGACTTTCTCCTGGACGTATGGATCCTCATCCTCCCCATCCCTGATGTACGTTAACCTTCGATTTATAAAGACCCTTACCTAGCTTCTCACTACTAACGGAGGTTACTTTATAGATCTTACATCTTCACACCACCCTGCAAAGAAAGCTATTCATCATAGGTGTGTTCCTTTTGGCTTTCGTGTAAGTACTTTCGGTAGTATGCGGTAGGCAATTGGCATGTTAACCTCTAATTTAGTGGCCTTGGTGCGTCAATCGCTCGGATGGTGCAGTACATCAAAATCGAGCTCGGAGGCCCAGATTATCTCCTCTATACCGACCATGAGCGTGAGTTGTAGATGTAGATGAACATAATTTGGTTGATCTTGCTGACTCGGCGGCCTAGGTCTTATTACTCAATCGTTCTTCTACACCATGCTAGAAGCTGGAATAACACTCATTGCAGTGAATCTACCATCGTTGCGAGTATTCTCAGCTTCGTTTTCTCTAAGACATCGAGAGACAAAGCCCTTTTCCACAGTTAGATGATTTCCCTATGTCTATCTAGCTATTGTATAGAAGAGTAAGTTATAGATTACTATATACGTTCATTTCTCATCTAACGGTCTACTTCCGGACTAACTACCGCGTGTGTCCACAAATCGGAGGACCCGCCGGCCGGAAGTCAGTACCGGGGCCTACACCTATTCAGGTAACCATCAAAGTTAATATACATCTTTAAACACTTGAGAAAAAAAGGGGCTATCGAGTGTACCATATCCCCAGTGCATCTAAAACAAGACACCATAAGAAACAAATCCAAAAACTTCCCGCCGCAATATTTCAATGCCGCCCCCGTTTCTTTTGTTTGTACATATTAGCCGACGACGATATAGGAGGGGAAGGGGGTAAGTAAGGGAGGCGATACAAATAGCGGCAGATCTATTGGTGGCCGTCTTCCTGGGGGGAGATCTGCCGACGATCGTTAATACATACATACAACGCATAGTCCCCGTCGTCGTCAATTTAATTAAGCGTGTAATTGACCGGATTAGGTAATGTATACCAAGCTCCGAGAAATGGGGAAATCCCTCCAGGCTCGAATGAGCTTTAATATATTTTTTCCCCAGCCTGGGGTGGTATGCTGTCTGTCAATTAGGCTAGTAGATTAATTCCAAAAAAAAAAAAGACATCTTAGATATGGCTTTGGTTGTGGAGGGTCTGCATGCGTAAGGTACCTTAGGTATATAAGCGACTTGCATCATCTTTCAGTCTTTGACTTAACTGGTGATGATAGTTAGTAGTCTAAAGCACAGCCCAAGTACTCCTGAGAATTATCTAGTTACATAACAAAAATCAAGATGCTAGTAACATCTCTACTCACGCTCGCGTTCGCCGCAACTGGCTTCGCTCAGGCCCCCGAAGGCTACAAGACCGTTTACATCACGTCGATGGTAGACGCCAAGTTTGTCTTGGTTCCCAAGTCGAACACCAGCGGCAGCACTCTAGTCATGTACGTCTATGGCCCTCCCCACTCATAATAAAGTACCTCTACTAATCCGTCCCTCATCTTCCAGCAAGACCGGCAGCCAGAAGCCCGAGCAGCAATGGTACATCAAGACCGGGAGCACCAAGATCCAGCTCGCCGGTACTGAGCTCTGTCTAGACGCAGGCGAGAAATGTGAGCACCCCTTATAAGCCTCATACCACAGCGTCTCAATCTACTGACACGAAAAACCCCTTCTAGCTAACTGGAAGGACATGGCCAACATCTACATCAAGGAATGTTCCGACACCGCAGACTCGCAGAAGTGGGTTGCCATGGAAGACGGACGGATCTCCGTCGAGCTGTCTAGCCCCCGTAAGTACTACAATATATATATGTATATATTCACCCGAGTATAGAAGCTAACACCTGAAAAACAGAGGAGTGCCTCGACCTACAGTACATGCGTGCTACGGAGAACAACCCCGTCGGCCTGTACAGCTGCGCGGGCCTAGGAAACACCGGCGCCGCGGACAAGGGCATCAACTGGCCGCTTACCGAGGTTACTGCTCCTTAAGGGGGTAGGCCGCTCGGTGATGTGGTCGAGTACTCGTTGTATATACATAGTAGGTAGTTAGTAGTGTGGCAAATAGCACACACACACACACATACGAGCTATGAATTTAGGTTGAAAAGAAAATGAATCTAACATATCGGTCATATTTATGTATATGCTAATGACTTGCCATATTTACCTAATTACTCCTTAATCGTTTGATTTTAAGTAGAACGTAAGATGCGTCCGTTGGATGGGAAGGAAGAAGTATTTCTCTTCCGTATCCGATTCTTCCTGGAATACTAGGACTGGTTAGACACCACGACTCATAACAATGATAGTTGACTAAAGACCCAAAGTATAACAGCTTAGGTAGAGAAATGTTTACAGTGAAATCCCCAAGAGTACCTAATTATAGAGGCCCGGCGTTAGCAAATTTCTGATCAATACACCTACTGCTAGTGAGGCTCCCAGCGAAGCCCTTTAATAGCTTTCCATCTTATATCTTGACACACAAGAGCTTAAACTCTCCGTTTATAGAACTAATTCAAAAAGGATCAATAGCTTTATATTCAGACCACTCCGCGCCTAAGCCAAAGATAAAACTCGGCCGTCTACTAGAGTATCTTATACCAACCTGCTATACAGCTCACTAACCCCATCGCAAGACAACAAGCGCCACCAATAATACCTAGAAATACGGGATTGCTCTGCCCTAACACATCTAATAGTTACCATTACGCGTAGCTTCAGGAGGTGCTCATGTATGTGGGTAAGTAGATAGGAATCTATCCCTCCATCTCCACATCTTCCCCGCCCCCTTTCTTGCGACTCTCGAGCCTCTGTCTGGTCTTCGTCTTCGCCTCCTCAACCCACTTAACATACGCATCCTCTCCCCCTTCCTTAATCTTCAAGTCCACCACCCCCTTAAGCACCGCGCCTGCAAACCCTACGAAGTTATGCCGACGCAGCGCGTTCTCGAACTGCCAATCGCGACGTTTCTGCTCCTCGCGCGCCAGCATCTCCGCATCGCCAATCTCTCGTGCTACTGCCCGCCGATCCCCGACCATCGCCATGAGATTGAACCGGATCTCTGAAAGGTCATAGCGCGCGATGCGGCGCTGTAGTACGTCCATGACGCGCGTGGGGAAAGTCTCCGATGTACACGGCCCGTGCGCGATCGGCGCCGGCTGCAGGCCATCGAGCTCGTAGAGCACGCCGTCAACAGGCGTGTATGCAATGAAGTGGAATGCGTCCTCCGTCTCGCCGCCCGTGCGCTGCGTCTCGTCGACAAACGGACTGCTGCGCGCGAAGCTGTTGTGTACGTCCCGAATCAGCTCACTATTGCTAAGCGCCTCGCCACGGAACTCGGGCGGCAACGCCATCGTGAATTCTCTGAAGTCGCCTAGCGGGGTCCCGATATCCACCTCTCCACCCCGGTTCATGAGCACCGAGAGTAATGCCTGCGTGCCACACGCATTCTGTATTGTCTGAGCCGCAAACCAGAGGCTTTCCGTAGCGTCGTAGTCAAAGGTGCCATCGAGGGGCTTATCGGTCGAGGTATAGGGAGTGTCTGTGGGGTACTTGAAGAGGAATATGACGCCGTAGACAGGGTGGAGCGAGGCCAGGGCTTCCGGCTCTAATGTAAGGAGCTCTTCAAACTGAACATTCTGAACGCCTAGGTTATTGAGAAGAAAAGTGAAAACGCCCTTCGGAATAATAATCAGCTTTCGGGGATATCAAAAAGGTAATTAGACTAGGGCTTCGCATACAGCATCCGACTCAACTATTTTTTAGGTAATTAGCAATCCATGTTCGAGCTCGAGGGAGCACTGATGGAGTAAAACTCAACTGGTATTCCATCCACCACTCATCTTTCAGCTTTGCTTGCCAGGGCGGGCGAGGCGCTGGCTGTAGGTCTCGTAGTATGCAGGCAGGTAAATCGAAGCGCTGATCGGGTAGAAACTAGCTGTCGTGGAACAAGGAACGCCTTCTCTGAGAATTTAACTGCTTGAATGCTCCGATGTGTGGGTAGTCCAAGATTACAGATATCGGTAAATCTTAACTTCTATTGCAGAATGTCTAGAAATTTCTTGTTTAAGTAAGACAGCTGAAAAGAAGCTTATAATGTGTGATGTCAAGTTTGTGTCGCAGTTGAAGATGTGAATTACATAGAGCTCTATCGGTACGTACTTGGCTTACGTACCTGGCAGCCTTAGCATGTACATTAGGTGCGTACCTGAGCTATTATGGGTCACGGTCTGATAAGATAAAACGGATGACCCACAATAGCTATCAATTAGGGGGGAGCATTTACGTTACAGTTGTCACGGCTTCTTTTTCTCGTACAATATCCTTTCTTTGCATTGCTAAAGAGCTTGCCTGTTTTGGTCTTTGCTCTGTCCTTGCAAAGCTACCTAAGCAAGAGATCCTGCCAGTACATTGTTTTTTTTTTTCCACTTTTCATCCTTTTACTTCGCAATTATATACGCCTTGGGGAAAAGGATCCTAGTCAATTTCCGTAGACATCTCAGAAAGCATCTTGCCAATCATCTCACCTTGTCCTTTTCCGTCCTTTGCTTGCTATTATCTGCGTGATCCTCATCCTCCACTTACGCCAATCCCTCATCCGTACGTATTAGTGCCGAAAGGCATTCCAAAATTAGAGAACGTATGCCTGCAGCAGGCAGGCAGGCATATACAACTGGCTTTCTTACTGCTTCACTCGTCTAGTTGAGCGAGGGAAGGTCGTGCTCGCGGTGGCGAATACGAGGCTGAGGTTCGCTCTGCGTGGTGTGCACATCCTTATTTTCTTCATCCGAATGGCCTCGCGAGCTGGTCTCGGTAGCGGCATTCATAATGCTGTCGTTGTCCACCAGTTCCACGGCACCTTTCTGACTGTTAGTCTCAAATTGGAAGCGGCCCGGCATGACTTTTCCGGCAACGCGCTTCATCCAGTTAGGGATGTCTCTAGCTCCTAGTCCCCAGTCATACACCTCCTTCTCGTGCCAGTTTGACGGGATGACTCTGCCTTTAGTGACCCATACGATAAAGAAGATCATGCTGTTCAGGACGACGTAGACAAGCATACCCCTATAATTCTGATTAGTATATGCTTATTTGTTTAGTAGAAGAGTAGAAGATACTCACGCAATTAGACCATAGGCGACGCTGTAGCTGAAGGGCATGAAGGCCAGGGTGACAAAAGACGGGACAGCGTCACCAATGTACTGCCAGTTGATATTGATGACTTGGCGGATCATTAGGCAACCGACCTTGAAAGATAATATTAGCAACTCTCTTTGACTGTAGCATTTATAAATAAGCTTACCAAAACCAAGGTTGATCCCGTAGCCCAGGGCGGAACAGAGGCCAGAATCGGGGCAAAGAACAGACAGACAAGGAAGCAAACACCAGCTGAAATTGCAGTCAATCCGGTACGACCACCTTCTGCAATTCCTGCGCCGCTCTCGATGAAGGCGGTAACGGGCGAACAACCAAAGAGGGAACCAATTGAAATCATGACTGCATCAGTGCAATACGCAAGGGTCGAGCGGGGAAAATCGCCATCCTCTCCCACAACACCGCAGAACTTGGCCATCGAGTACAGGGTCGCAGTACAATCAATAATGTCGACATAGAGGAAGGTAACGAGGGCCAAGGCGAATTGGGCTCCGGCAGCGCCCTCGAGACCCCAGTCCTGGGCGTTCAAGACAGTCTTGATCGGATGGAATGCGATAACCTGTTTGAAAAACTGGAATCTTTCCTCACCAGCCTCCGTGTAAGGGAAGTAAGTGAAAGAGGTGTTGCGGCTAATGATTGTCAGTCAAGATTCGTTCAATAGATAAAAGGGGTAAGGGGTAAGTCGTAGCTCCACTTACGGCCAAGACATGATTGACACGATTCCAATACCGATGACAATGGCGCTCTTGACCTTAAAGGCCATCAGGAACGCAACGAAGATACCGCCGATGAAGATTCCAATCCACATCTGTTACTAATTGTTAGCTAAATACTCAATGATGTGGTGTAATGATGCTTACTCCAGGGTTCGTCATGATGTGGCTAGAGCACTCTCCCTTGTCGTTAAGGTACTCGGCAGGACATCCTCCAATTGTGAGAGGAGTAGAGAATCCGCCAGTGATGGCACCGATACCTGCAGAATAAGACAATCCGATCTCGGTAAGGAACAAGCCAATGCCGACGCCACAGGCCGTCTTGATGGTAGCCGGGATCATTCGAACCAACCACTGTCGCATTCCGGTCAGAGCTAGGAAGACAAAGATCCATCCTTCCACAAAGATGGCAAGAAGAGCGACCTTGTAAGGGACCATTCCGGTGCCGTGCCAACCGACGACTTGGTAGGTGAAATAGGCGTTAAGGCCCATACCTGGTCTTGAAGTGGGTTAGAATAACGTGGTAAGAGATCTATATAAGATGAGAGTTGACATACCCGAGAGAGACAGGAAGGTTCGTAAGGAATCCGAACACAATGCTGGAGAGGCCAGAGAGGGCCGCCGTAGCGGTAATCAGATCTCGCTTCAGAACTATATAAGAGTCAGCCCTAGTTCCAACTTGTGGAGGGGATTTTTTTTGTTCGGAGTTAGCAAGCACTTACCTGTCTGGCAATTGGCGTACTCAAAGTCGCCAGGGCAACCAGGTTCAGATCCCTCTGGGCACTGACACATGCCTCCGGAGTCTGCAAGAACAGCAGCCTTGTTTTGGTTAGGTATATAGACTAAGAGGAGGAGTAGATAGGATGCTCACGTTGACGGCAACAATGTATGCCATAGTTGCGAAGGTAGTCAAGCCAGCGCGGATCTCTCGAAAGAAAGACGAACCACGAACGGTTTGGGGCTAATTACTGTTAGTATGATGACATTTCCTATACTTGTTGGAAATATTGTATGACATGGACCCGAGGGGACGAGATAGAACTATCGCGTAGATAGAATCCATCATATCAAACATCTCATTCAAAGTGTGTGTGATGACTTGTGAAGAAAGGCGAAAGAGATTTGACTTACATGACCAGATCCATCCAGGCGAAAGACGCGACCAAAGGTTGATCGGTTGACGTACTCATCAACATATGCAATCTTGTTCATCACTCCATCGATGAATCCATAGATGCCCGACATCTTGTCTTGATCAAGCGACAGGCAGTCGCGTCGGTTAGATCGGGTGGATACACAGAGGATAATTGATTAAAATAGCCTAGCGAGGGAATGGAAGGCGATTCCAACAGGCTAGGTAAAGACAAAGATAGTAAACAGTAAGTAAGTGAGAGTAATAACTTTAGGAGGTTAGACGGTTTGATCAAAGGTTTGACGATGTTGTTGATCGGGAAACAAGGCAAGGAAGGGCAAGACACGAAAAGAAAGGTCGAGTAAAGCCTTAGAAGTCGGTACAAGATGCGGAGGACGAGATCAAATGAAAAGTCGCACCGTATTGTGCGTGCCGACTCTGCAGGCTACCTCTGTGTTTGGATAAGGTGTGCCCTCGTTAGTTGTAAAAAGAGAGTTTCCCTTGTCCGTCTGGGGAAGAATGGGAAAAAAATAAATAGTTGGGTGATTTGTGCAAAAGGTAAAGGATGGCGGAGAGGGGCGACGGTCCGGCAACTACGTTCCTTAGGAATCGTACCTTCCTTCGTATTGTATCTCATCTAAATATGATTGAGAGAGATTCCATTGGTTAGATTAGGCACTTTTAAGGTTTAAGCGCGCCTAAGATAAGTTGTTTAGATATGAAAGGGAAAGAGCGACGGAAGAATCGTCGTGAGTAAGGAACGGAAGGAAGGCAGGTGTAGATGCAGGTGCAGCTACGTGCACGGATACATATGTTCACCTTGAACTGTACGTACCTAGGTAGCTAGCTACGACAAGTTCCAGCTGTAATAATAGAATAATCCGTTGCTACTGTTACTACGTGAGTCAGGCCACTTCCGGACACTATTGAACTGCCATCTGGTGATTTTGCCTTTTATATCTCAGATATCTTTCCTAGTGTTTTGAAAGAGCATAGTTCATAAAGGTCACTCACTCTCCACCACTTATCCACATCTACAATATAATGCCAGTAAGGGTACACCTAGATAAGAAAAAGGGGCTCCCCGTGGATCGTCTCGTTCAAACTTGCTCTCGGTAGTTTTCCGTTAAGCAGTTACCAATAGTGACCATGTTACTGTGGAATTCCGTCTGTATTCTGGCGAGATGAGGACGATGTGTCTTCAATATTCACCGAGTTGACACGTCTCCCTACAATAAACTTAGTGGTCAACAAGTATTAACCCGAAGACGTTGCTTCTGGCCCTCCTATCAAGTGAACTAGCGACCACGTGTGTGAGGTTGTGGTATGAAAGGAAACTAGTTGTGAAATATGTGTATCCTTGTTTACCCGTAGTACACAACAATCGAGAGACATTTAGAAGAAGTAAAAAAAGGTAAATGCGGTATATTTGCGGTATATTCCTAGAGAGACTACTTTATTTGTGGATAACGTTGCTATAAGAGCATGTTTTCGAAGATATAAACGTATAGGTACCAAGGCTATCCTAGTAGCGGATGCAAACATCTCAACTGCAAGCTCGCAAATTACTATGCGGATTTCCGGTCTCCTATCTACCTATCGAGCTTGGTCTATTCTTGTTTACTTTGAGCCTCTTTTCTATAAAAAATGGTCAAGTATTATTATGCAAGTATCAACTCTGCGTAGATGTCGTGTATCCTTTAGTTTGCTGTAACCGCGATTCGGCCTCGTACCACCTATTTATTCAGCTCGCCAAAATTTTTGTCTTCTTGCTGATGCCACCAATAAATTTGGCGTCATGAGGCCATTGTGAACACACAATTAGCTTTTTTCTTCTTAAAAAGGCTCGATTGGTCTGTTTCAAAGGTTGTCAGTGAATACCTGAACCCCTGAAAGGCCTCCTATAGGACAACACTGGGCTAGATATCAGACAAATGTACAAAACATGCGGGAAAATTCGCCAATTACCGAGATATACTGTAACGCAAGCCATTCCATTACCGGAACACAGAGTGGAGATGGAACCTCTGCCCGTGCTATCATATATAATGCTTGTGTAAACCGGAATGTGCCTGTTGTGTATCCTCAAGTACGAGAGCCTTTAGTTATTATCTCAGTATATATCTAGGTTTCACAATCTAATCGGAAAGGTATCCATACGGGCCGAGTCTAGCCTACTTATCTATGGATACGCCGATCGTTTGAGCGGTGGCTATTTAAAGCGAGTAAAAAGACATTACTAGAGAAATATATTGATGATTGCCTACCTAGGTACCTAAGGTATAGAAATATCAAGGAAAACCTCCCTCTTTTTAAAATTTCTAGCTGCATAGCTTAGTAATAGGATGCAAGCTACATGAATTAGAAGGAGACCTTTCAAAATAGTTCAAAGGGCCCATCTTTTCCTTCTAATATTGCAGACTACATTTGCCATCAAAGCGTCAATTAACTCATCACTTTAATATCCATAGGAAGCTATGAAGTAACCTTAGTAGCTAGATTGAAATAGTCTATAAAGTAGTCTGTGTGGCTGATTCGGTGAAGAAAATGACTATTATCTTGAACTAACCTTCCATACTTATCACGAGGTAGAGCAAGAAGCAAGGAAGCATCTTTGCTGTCCCATGAAAAAATCTAAGATGGTTACAAGAGTCCGTAGCTATACATACTTGACAGCGTCCTTTGTTCTAGTCTCATCTAGAATCCTGATAATACTGACTCCAACCAGGAGGCTCATTGTGGTACAAGTTCTACACTTCAGCTGAACAAGGTAGCGACTTGTGTAAGACCCTACCTTTAGAATGTAGAACAGAGGAGAAATACGTTACTATATATTATCTAACAATAATATATAAGTGGACTAGAAAAGAATATTTAGAAAAATGAATCAACGTAGCCAGTTCGGCACCGAGCGGGTAGATCAGATAATTAGGTCTGATATATCTGCTTGATTGTTCTGTTGAAGAGTCCCGCTGCTAAGTTATGCGAATTATGTAACAGGAACCAAAAGCGAATAATGAATGTTGAATTTGTGTACAGATGTATTTACGGAGAATAGTGAAAATAGGGGCTACTCAAGTCGTTTGATAGCCAATGAGATGTGAGCACAGAAGTTCAAGCAAGCACATATAATTCATTGGTATCTTTAAATTTCAAAATTCAAAACTTAGAGGTAGGCAATAGAGGGAATCGAATAATTCTACAAATAAGCTGTTAATAATTAGTCTATCACACTGACAACATTTGTTTTAGCTCGCCTCCTATCTTTCCTTACCTACCTGACTTAGGACTCTAAATTAGAACACAATATTCGACCTTACCTACAGCTTCTACCCATAACCTATCACGAAGATCACGAAGACCACTTATCACTCACAAAATGCACAAATCGAACAACCACGGCGATTAACCGAAAATAACGAATTTAGTATAGCTAGTCTATCTGAGAGTATCAGAACTGCCTATGGAAACCAGCGGAAACATGTGCACGGAGAGGATACCCAACCTCCCTCGAAAATTGTACGCCTGTAATGCAACGCAGACCTCGTCATCCCTTATGACAACATCTGCTTCCTGCGCCTGACGAGACGCCAGATCCTCGCAGATTCGCGCAGGTCGGAGACCCAACAACGCGACATTATGAGACTCGTCAACTGATCGTACCGAAAAACTTGACCGAAAAAAACCAGACGTAAGAGTACAACCGTAGTGGTATCTGCAGGTAAGGAAATGCCAAGGAAATGCTACACGTTGACTATTGCGCGCTTATTTTATGTTCATTAGCTTGATGTCAAACACCAATGTGCTGTTGCCAGGAATGCCGGGTTGCGCTTTGCTTCCGTACGCGAGGTGAGCAGGGATAGTCAGTCGGCGTTCGCCACCAATGGCCATGCCTTGGATTCCAATGTCCCAACCCTTAATGACCTCTCCCTTTCCTACGGAGAAGCTGAAGGGCTTTCCCTTCTTGTTGGCTATTTTCATGTTAGCAAACATCGATACATCATTCTCCGCAAGCAAAACTTACCATCGAAAACCTTTCCATCCAGAAGTTTGCCGATATATCGGACTTCAACCTTGTTACCCTTCTTTGCGACGCGGCCAGATCCAATCTTGCGGTCGTCAACGGTGACGCCCTGAACAACCTTTACGCCGGGGGTAGCGCCCTTCTCGGCGGCAGTCGAACCAGTGGGGCCTTGTTCTAGGTTCTTGGCGAACTGGACTTTCTTATCACCCTTGGTGGAAGCGTCTTTGGTGGGTTCGGCCTTGGCATCCTCCTTAACACCAACAGGCTCACCCTTGTTGTTCTTCAGCTTTTTCTGCTGCTTCTTGCTCAACTTGGTCTCCTCAGCCTTGGCTATCAGGCTATCAAGGCTCTCCGCTTCCTCGGCAGGACGCTTGTTCTTGCCCTTCTTGGTCCCGGCAGCTACCAGTTTAGGGGCATCCTCTTCGTCGGTGTCAACCTCTGTAACACGAGGGTCTTGGAGATTATCGAGCTCATCTACCTCAGAGTCATCAGAGCCATACTCTTCGATGCCCATGCCGTAGTCATCATCGTCCTCGTCTTCCTCATCGGAGACATCGTCAGAATCGACAACGTAGTTACCAGTCAAGTGAATGGTGTGAGTACCCTTGACAACGAAGAAAACTTCCTCGTCGGCTCCAATGGTGATGTCAAGGGGTTGTTGGTAGTTCTTTGGGTTACGTTAGTAGAGTTATAAAGAAGGCTTTTCAAGACAAGACATACGCGTTCGGTATCAAGGGTACAAACGACAAGCTCCTCGAGATCTAGGGTAGTAGAATCGATGCTCTCGTCGTCATCCTCGTCATCACTGGAAGTAGCGGGTTCCTTTCCCTTCTTGCCCTTCTTGGTGGCCTTAGCGACACCATTGGCCTTCAGCTTGGGCTTGGAATCATCATCCTCCATCTCCTCGTCCGAGTCTTCTTCTTCTTGGACAGCTTGGATGAGTTTTTGCATAGCAGCCTCGCGCCGGGCCTTCTTCGACTTGGAAGGATCACTTGGGCCGCCATTAGCCTCTTCATCCGAATCTTCTTCGTCGTCATCCGAATCCGAATCATCGCCGCCCATGAACTGGTTTAAGAATTCGTCATCAAGCTCGCCGTTGAGAGAAGGTCGCTTGCGGATGAGCTTAAGCGTAGAACGCGGGACGGCGGGGATATTACCCTCATCATCGGCTTCAGGCTCCTCAGTGGGGTCAAGAGCAGCCATGGTGATGCGATACTTGAGATTCGATTCCATATTAGTACTTACAACTTTGGACTGCAATACTAGACATAACGAAGCGGCGGAGAGGGGGGAATTCCGTCGTAACAATGTCGCATAGTACTTACAAAAGCACCCTGGATAACCTCCTCCTGCATAGCGGGAACCATGATGCCTTGCGCCGGGACCTCAAGCCCGTAGAGGGCGACAGGCAGTATAGGCATTGTGAATGATAAGTTTGACTTAAGTTAAATAGAAGATGCGATTTGGATGTAAGATGGAATTGAAAACTCAATGAGGAACACTGTTGTTTATGGAATGATTCTTGCAAAGCGTAGGAGGGAAGAAGATGGTTTATGGGATGAGGAAGAGGAAAAAAAGACTTTGGACGCGACTCTGGACCCGTTGAAGAAGGAAGTGAAAAAAAAAAAGTTGAGAGCTAACTTAGCTGTCCGTCTTTACTTTCTCCAAATTTTTTTTTTCCTCGAGTAAAAAACTTCCGCCGCGGCAACACCCCACCCAAAAGGTCTTTACCGTGTTTATAGATAAGGCGGCACTAGTCATAAAGAGGCTTATCTGCACGGACCCTTGCAGCCGCTTGCTTAGAAAGATTTTAGCGACGGGCAACCAGCTGCTACGAAGCCTCGGTTTAGCCAATGGTACGGCTGTATTAAGTATGACAATAACAAACGACGATATTGGTACCTTGTGATTCTTTTCTCGTTAGTCACGGGGAGTTGAAAAGTATTTTTAATTTAATACAGTAGTTAGGTGTTAGTTAAGTGATGACTTGGATAGTATGACTTAGGTACCTAGGTACTTGACTTATAAGATTGTATAAGTTGAAGCAAACAACTCTCATATTTTTTATATTGGAAATAGAGGCATGGTATATATCATAAAAGTTGAAGACAGAGAGTATGTATTTTAATTTACAGTATCTTAAGTAGGTAAGCATGTAAGGAGCCAGCCTGGGGATGTCTTCAAGAGAAATCAGTTACTATAAAGCCAACGCCTGTTAGAGAATGTCTTAGTTTACATACAGACAAAACACGCACGTATATGCCACGGTGTACGAAAATAATTTCTCGTTTCTTTTCTTGCTTTGCTATCGAACTCAAGAGTAGAGACCAGTCCTCGTTCCTGTCACAATTTTACTATACTATCCTCGACCCATCCAGCTCACTTTTTAGAATCCTACTTTAGACATCCATCTCTAAAAGAGCGAGTCTCACTCCCACCCCCTTAGCCATATCCAACTCTCACGCGATTCCGCTCTTAGTTCTTAGCAGCAACAAGTGCATTAGCCTGCGCGACGATCTCCTTGATCCTCTCTTCGAGGGGTACCTCTATTTGCGCCGGAGCACGTTAGCTAGGCCCGGAAGAAAAAAAACAATAACAACAACTAGCAAAATGTGGAGGGAAGAAAGGGGTTACACTGACCATTACCATACTCTCGCCCACGGTCAGCTATTTCCATAGTCTCGATAGCCATCTCTACGGTAGGCCGAGCGAAATGTCGCGGTGTCGCGCGGCAGTACGCCGCTACGAGGTCGTTGCAGTTGGTCACGCCGCCTGCAGATTTAAGAAGACCGGTTATTAGTAAAAACGTTCATATTCCTATATTCATATGACATGAAAAGGGGGGAAGGACGAGTAGGTAAATTCGGCAACAAAAAAAAGGGGAGGGATAAGAGGAAAAAGAAGAAAGAAAAACTTACCACCCGACCACAAATTCCCGTCCTGCACCCAGCGATACTTATGCCCAATCAACTCCTTCTCGCCAAAGCCCCTCTCGCGAATCATATCCTGCAGCGCGCGCGGCCCACACACCGTCTTCCCCTTAAGCAGCCCAGCCTCGCCGCAGATAAAGATGCCCGTGCAGATGCTCAAGATATCAACACCAGGGGCAGCCGCCTGCGCGCGCAGCCACTCCAGCGCCGCCGCCTCGAAGTGCGATACCGGGTCCGGCCCGGGGACAAGTATGATGTCGAGCTTGCCGGGGGCGACCGCTGCGTCACCGTAGTGGTCCGTAGCCACGATCGATTCGTTGGACGTTACTTTGATGTACTCGCCCGCGCGCACGGAGCCGATGTAGTGGATTTCGACGAAGGGGGATAGGTCGATGACGGGCTCGGGGAGGAGGTGTCGGAAGGTGTCCATGTCTGTGGCGGGTTATTAGTAAGTGATATTTAGTACACGCATATATATATGTCTCGAGCAGGAAGGGTTTGTATTCCTCAGTGTCGACGACCCCTTTTCTAAGAGGCCGGAGAGAAATAGGATAAGACACCCCACAACATACTACGGACACGTTAGTTTTCTAAACGAGAATACACCATAGATAGTAATATATAGATATATAGGTAAGCAGGTCCAAAACTAACCATTCATAGCTCATAGAACCAATAATATCAACCGCCGCCGCGTCGAGGAGCTGGCACATAGTAGGGATGAAAACGCCGACGCGGACGGTATGTCGCGCGGAACCGTTTGCGTGAGTAGCAGCAGCCATTTTGTCTTGTCTTGTCTTGTCCTGTCTCGTCCGTCTAGCGTTGAAGAAATATAAAGACTTTTTCAAAAAAAGAGTCTCCGAAGAAAACTATGAGTACCTGGTATTACAAGCAAAAGTAAATATCAAATCCCAAGATGTAAGTAAGTAAGTTGAAGACCACAACGAAATCCCAACTCCAAACCCGCGAGACCCTCGAGCGCATTTATACACTTCATCCCCCCCTTTCCCCCTCCCCTCTCCCTTGCAAAAGAGCCTCATCCGCATGCCAAAAACCTAACCTCCATGCCCTCGCGGAGCAAGTCAGGAACAGACCCCACAAGCTAGACCCCGAGGTAGAACGGACAACAAGCACTGCTTAATCTATGTATTGCGAAGACGCCGAGGAGGTGCGGTCTGGTCTGAAGGATAAACGCGCGCCCCCCTAATAAACCGTGTAATACGATTGGTCGAGTTGCGTCTACTCCGACTCGACTCGGAGCTAGGGCTTCGGAATATGTACCTAATGGACGAAACTCCAACACTTAGATGCAGCTTTTCTTACTTTTTATATAGGTTACAATAAATGAACGCGTCGTACACAGGCATATTAATATGCCGATTTATAATTCCGGTTTTTGAAAAATGAGATATATATTATGCTGATGAAGTTAGCAAACTTCGACAGATACAATATTCAACTCAAGTTTGCTAATTGGATCGCCTACCAATCGGAATAGCCTCCGAAACGTCCTACTATGCAAAGCAACATCACAGATCATAATCTCCGTACATGTTCGGCTTTAGAGCAATACGATGGATGTATCATTTATCGTTGTAAGTTTCAAGAGTACTACTTGACAACTATTCTCGTTCACCGGCGTGCTCCCCAATCCACCAGCCTCGTCGGAGGAAGGCACTTCTTTATGTACATGAATATTAAATATTACCGGGCTAGGTTCGCGCATTAGGTATCTTGGATTCTTCCCCCCATCATAAAACCCAATTTCTCGTCCTCGCTGGGCTAGCCCGCCCCCCAATCGGACGGATGCGTCCCTCGACCCCGACGAGCCGATTTGGACTGCTGAGCCGTACTCTTCCCGGCCAATTTCTCTTGCCTCGTAAACGAATGCCGGCAGGAAAAACGTGTTGTTCCTGCGATTTGCTCCTAGAACTCCGTGAGCCCAGAATAAGGATCCCCGTATCTAGAATGCCAGTGCCGATGCCATGCATATCAACATCGTGCCCTCTATTTACACATAGCTCCTTGGAGCTTTCTTTCAAAAATTCTGAAAAGTTCGCTCGCTTCGTCGGTCTTCAACGGATTGATAGAGAATCGAACTGGAAGCGCGCGACAGATCCGAACCACCGCGGTAGCCGGTCTGGACGAATATTATTAAACTCAATATAACCAACCTCTTTACGGCATAACACTCGCGAGCACAGACTTTGCTCTTTGCCGCGTAACCTTTTTGCTGACCGTATACACCAGATCTAACGTGAAAAAGTGCATTAGTTGAGCCTGAGCTGTCGGTATCGACCCATATAACGGCGCGACGAGCGGCGCCATGGTGTAGTCCATAAAATTCTTCTTAATATGACGATGAGAGAAGCACATTCCCTTGGATAAACCAGCCTCGTTCATTTCCCTCTCACGCGTGGTGACACAAATCTTGTGGAACTTCTCGTAAAGGAACAGCATTAATACGACCTCCATAAGGCCTGCTGTCCTCAAGACATTACAAACAGTGAAGAGCCAACCCAAATGGTGAGGATCCGAGTTGTCGATAACCCACATGTACAAAGTCGAAGCAACAACGAGGATTGTCATTTGCAGGGGTAAGAAGTGAGCCTCGAAAAGTCGGTGGAAAAGGAAGACAATCCGTGTCCAGTCAGGCTCTTTTAACGTATCGGAAGTAACATCATGGAAAACCTGGCTCTCAAGGGTCTGCTCTGGGCTAATGTCGAGCTGACTTTGCGTGATGTATGAATCGGTAGGATTGTTTCTGCCTCAAAATTAGTTTAAAGTTTCTAGAGATACGAGTGTCCAATCTTACAAGGCGACGTGGAGGGGACGAAAAGCTCTGGCAGTATGATTGCGTTCTTGCCAGAGCTCCACGAATTTCCGAAGGGCGAAACCAGAATCCAAAGCTCCCCACATGTGTCGTAGAGCTTGCTTATAACGGGCCTGCATGTCGTTGTATACCTCTTGAACTCCCTTACCGCCGTTACCCTTAACATTGCTCTGACTAACAGGACTCATGATGGACCGCCCGGTCAAGTTTCCGTTGAGCGCGAAGAAACACTTCAGGTACATGTGCAAATCCTCGCCAATAGCTTCGGAATCACCGTCCCAACCACCAACTCGGTCGACCAACATGAGCGGAACGGAATAGACAGAGGTAGGGGGAGAGATAGTTGAACCACGGTATAGACCAGAGAGACCACCAGCAGCCCACAGAATATCTGCCACACGGACAATAGCGGGGACAGCATGAGCGTTACGGTCGAAGATGATAGGAGCAGAATACAGAGTAGTATTCGCAGTTTCAGGGTAAGACACATGCATATTCGTGAGCTGGGCGAAGTAGTTGGTTGACAAATGGCTATCGGCTATGTTTCGACTAGGTTAGCTTTGTTTGCACAATTACCAATTCCAGAGTCAAAATTACTCTCTGGGCGAATTTTGGGATATTATGCATACCATCAATTCCAGTTACAATTACGTTCTTCCTCATTGTTGAGGTGTACCTTTCACTGAGTTTGCGCGCAGCCCATGCCATGTTGCTACCCTTTCCAGGAGACTCGCCGGGGATATCAGAAGGGTGAAGAGTAAAGTCGATTGAACGAAACTTCTTGACGAATTCTTGAATGAGACCCATGGCCTTCATCTCGACGTTATGTTCACGTTGTTCCATAGCGAGGTAGACCTATGAACGAAAGCAAATTAGCGCTGTAAATCGAATTTTTGGTGCAACATTGCTAGAATAGCGTAATTATTGCTTTGGAAAAACGAGCAAGCTCAAATTATACCCGCTAATGTTTCATTGGGGAAAAACAACTTACATCATAGTCGGATCGAGCTTGGGGGTGACAAGCCAAAACATCGAGCGTTTCTCTTAAGCTGTCAACCTCCTCCTTGTAGTTGGGAATAACAATTGCGTGAACAACTTGGTCATGAACAGTGTCACCGTCGGTGTAGAACTCGGTTTCGATGTCGCCAGCTTCGCTGCTGGTAGCAGAAGAAGGGAGCGAATCTTCCTTAGAGGACGTCAATGTCTCGGAACTGGAGAGAGAGGTAGACGAGCCGCGGCGACGGTGAGTTAGCTTGAAGTCCCTGAGCGATGTGCTCCGCGCAACCTTGTTCAAATTCCGAGTTATGTCGAATAGAGCCCAGCATGATCGCATCGGGAAGGCGAAGACCAGTATATGAATTAGGAGGCAGTAGTAGGCGAAGACGACAGTCCAGATACCGCCACCATCTGAGGCTGAAGTGGCCGAATGCGACGGTTTGCTTAACGAATCCTGAGGGATATACTTGTAGTCATATCTCGCTGCAGCTGCTTCCTTGGTGATAACCCAATAGCTGAGGGCTATGGTCATTAGCATGGCCAGCCCTCCGACTCTTTTCGAACACCAGCTGAAGAGCGACATGGCTGGTGGTGACGTGTTGCGATTGACTCCTCGTATATTATTTCGGCCAAGACGATAGAAGCTCTCGACTCTTGAGGTATTTGGTTAAAGGAGCGTGGGTGAGTCGCCAACAAGGAGTGAGGAAAAGAGAAGAAGAAAATGGAGTTACAATGGCAAGTCGGGAAAAGATAACACAAGGAAGGACGTTGAGTGGGAAGGGGGTAGGAGAGGGAGAGGGGGGGGTTGGGACACTTCTGAAGAAGGTCGCGATATTGGTGCACTAACTGCACAACAACCTAGCTTGACCTCTCTTGGGTTGTAATAGTAGGGGTGGAAAAAAAAAAGAGGAATGGGAAAGGAGGGAAAAATAAAAAACTAGTTAATTGGCAATGCAGGGCAAGAAAATGGGAGGGAAGCTGGAAAAATTACTAGGTTGAACCTCACGAAAGTAATAACAATTAGGGAAAAGGGGAGCCTTGTTTAGTACGACAGAGAAATTAGATGGGTAGGGATTCTGCGCCCCCCAAAAGTGGATTTGTAGCTCTGACGACGGGAAGGGTTCTAATTCCCAGATATTTCAAGCATGGGCCTAGCCGGTCCAGCTGCTAACGGGGCTAGTTAGTAGTTGGTCTAGCGCTGCTACATGTAGTGACGGTTATAGTTATGGGGAGGGTTTAGCGTATGTAGATAGTATGCTTTAGGTACATAAGTTTATGGGGGCTTTGTGGTCAGATGTACAGTACGTGTACCTGCTCTGTAGTGTGCGGTCAGGTACAGCCTGCAAGGCTATTATTGAAATTTAGCGCAACCTCTCTTTATGCAATTGAATGAACGATAATTGTAAAACGACTTAGGGCGTTTGTTGGAATTGAGAGCGTCGTGAATTACGTAAATTAAACAATTGGTCAGAGAAAGAGCACTAACAAAAGGATGCGAGGATAAGGCGTATTGAGTAATATGTTCTATGTAGTACAGCATTTAGGTAGGATGGATCCCATCTACACGTATCGTACAATACAGCTGTAGCGAGTTAGATACCTAAGGTACTAATGAAATACAAGTATATTATGTGTGTGAGTTGTATGTGTTTCCTCTCTTTTGTTTCTTCAAAAGGTACAGTCAGAGTCGAAACTGCGCCTCTTTTGATTGATCGAATAGTAATTTTTTGTTTCTTAAACAATAGGTACTGTTGGAAGGTACGATGCCTTAAGGGCATATATAAGATTTGACCAAGTACAAGTGGAGTCTTAGAATCTTTTACAATACAACATCTTTTTACACCCACACAGTACCCAGAGCGGGAATAATAAGAGCAGTACTGTAATAAGAGACATAATACTACCTTGTCGAGGTTCGACTTGTCTTTCGTCATTACCAACATACAAAGCGTTCCTGATGGATTGAAAACTTAATTCCCCATGGGAAAGAGAAAAAAAAGAAAGAAAAAGAAAAGAGGCGTATTTACTACAAATTGAGCTACCGACGCTACTCGATTCAGACATACCCTAGATGTAAGCTACCTAACACAGCCAACTGATTCCTTTCGACTGCTCACGTTCGAGACTAGCATCGTCATGTAGGTTGAAGGCACGGTGTGCATTTAGCTTTGCAGACAAATTTGTTTTATATTTTACCAGAATCCACTTACATATGGACCTTAACAGGTAGCTTATTCGAATGGCATTTGAGTTGTTTACTCGGATGCATCTTTGATTCAAAGTTAAAGAATATTCTATAGTTAGTTAACTATTTTGTAAGTATAGTAATTGAGGTCATTATCATCCTGGTTACACTCATATCCAACAATGACTTCAGTTTCTATTATTGTCTCCTACATACATGTGTTGAGAGTTGAGATGCAAGATGTACTGTACATACATGGCCGTATATCGGGAATAGGCAACCGTAGTACCGCACTTGGGTATAGTTAGGTTGCGTGGGGAGTCTGGGAGTACACCTCCACCAGGATGGTAACCGTTAGGGGCTCCACTGCCCCATACACAATCCACAAGTAGCGGCCAGGGGATTTTATATGGGAAATCCTCTAATTTCTACTTTGTATTCTTTTGTTGATTTCGAAATATGAAGATGTTAGGCCTCGCACAAGCCACTCATATGGGCCACCACGTATTTTCTTCATATAAATTGCCCTGTAAGTTACCTGCGGGACTCAGATGGGGCGGGATGGAGCCCCTAACGGTTACCATCCTGGCGGAGGTGTATGTGGTATGTGGTAGCGTGCAAGGTTCACAGCCCATCCCGCCCCAAGGCTGATCGGGTAGGTCGATTCTTACCTACGTCGGTCATTGTTGGCTCGGCTTAGCGAGTTGGCGAGCTAGTCTTTGCTGTAGAATTTCAATCCTTCCAACTTCTCAGCCTCTTTGATCTTCAAGAAGGGCTTATGAAAGAAATACGTATGATACGTACGGATAGGACTCTGGTTCGTTCAGCTCTTTCATCCATCTCCAAATACGCACCAAATACAGCTATGTACAATGTTTAACGTGTATGCAAGAATTCGTCATCGAGAATCCTAACTGCCTATTCAAAACTGCCCAGGTTAGGCGTCTCGATGTTGCAGTAGCACATGCAATCTGTTCGCTATTAGTGGCAGCCCGTCACTTGGTCGCTTGGTCGCTTGTAGGCTTGTAGACCGCAAAATCGCAAAAGTGGGATGCGGGCAGCGCAGCGCAACGCAACGATAGATATTTCTTAAGGCATCTGGTTATCTTGCCGAGAGAATATGCATGCACCCATCCACATCCACGACCGGTTTCTGGACAGGCCTAATGGTGTGCACATACACCCTGGTTTCGTCACCATCTGACTCCAGGTAGCATACCGCCTCTAGACTTATATGCGGTTGGATATGTTTCCAATCTTAGCCTCTGATCTCTTTACAGATATTGTATCACAACTCCTTCAGACGAAAGAGTACGACACAATTCCCGCCAGCTAGGTTCCGGCTTCAATGTCCTGCCGTGCGGCACACGAGATGTTGCAAAAACTATGACTCCATGTCTGATCCTTCGCGTGCGCCTACGTACTACCAATGGTTTACCTATTATCATAGTATAATTATGCTATGATGACATATTCTGAGGCTATAGCTTCCCTTGCGCCACATGTAAGCGCCTCTCGTTTCAAACGTGGTATAGATAGTATACCGAAGGTATGATTTGTGTATACACTATATTATGGTATGATTTGCAGGAAGTAGTAAGTAGAAAGTAGACATGTGGCCTAGAGGCACTAATTTGGCACCGGACTGCTTGTCTAGTACATACATTATATTTCATTTGCGGTTAGGCGTCCAAGAAAAATAGGCACGTTTGAGCACATGTAAGTTTGCGCTGCTGAAGCTATCTTCCTGCAGCTCGACATCACAGGTGCATACACTACAACGTACCTACATTATGTATGTACATTCCATACAACCATACCATCCACTAAAACCTCACTACCTAAGTTGCGTGGGCTACGGTGGCTTGTTTCCTTCTTTAGCCACGCACTGCCATCCGCTAGTCGTCACCTTTCCTTCGTCATTGGTCTCGCTTCTACCAAAAAAATCAGAAATGCCTAGAAAGACAAGAAAGACACTTACGACATGATTGCGGTAAGATAGACAAATGATGATGATGTTATCTGTGGCGTCTTTTTATGCCGCGTCTCCATGTTTCTATAGTAGTAGGTATAAACGGTAGGTATGCCGAATACCTCTTTCGACGTTACATCGCAACGAAATTATTGCGACGGTTCGGTTAATTGCATGTAATTCTTTTTAAATGCCGACGGTCTTTCGAGGTTCTTAAATCATCCCCGTACCTTCCAAGTACCGAGACCTGCGCCCGGGTTGGTTGCTTTAGATATCCGCCTGTTAGAGTTAAGCTGAGCCATAAGTCGCACAGTGTCACTTATACACGGTGAGTTTCCACTCGCGAATAGAAATGCGTTGTTTGAGGCCAAATTGCCAGAAGTAGAACTCTGATACCGTACTCTCCCTTTTTCAGTTTTCTTCTTTTTAGAATTTCGAAACTCGGCTCCCCAACCGATAGAACATTTTTGAAACGTCATTAGAATAATCTCCTGCTGATCATCATGAAGACACCTCTTCACAACAAAAATTTGTCCCTTTTTTTCTTTTCAACAACCCCGTTACACATTTTTGCAGGACAGTGTGGAGGCCGCCAACAAAAAGACCTATGCTTTATCGAATTGTACAGTAGTACCGAAGCGGTACAAATGACCTACAATGGTGGATATAGATGGATATGAACATTGAGCTCTCTGTTCAGTTACTGGTTCAGTAACACATGACCCCCGGTCTGCAGCGTAGCCATTTAGCCCATGCTCACCCATCCTCTGACCGTATGAACTAATTTAATATGCATCTCGGACAATTCTGATTGGCCTTTGCTCAACCGATAATCCACGTTTATTTGCTAGTCGAGATTACTGGTCCACCGTCGATCTGGATCCGTCACTCATTATCCACTGTAGGTACCTGAATGCCTGCAAATTCTGCCTTTCTGAGCTCTAGGCGCGGTTCGATATGGTGCTACCGACTGATAGCTCGACCAGCTCGAACTCTTTTCTGAAGCGCCATTCCCCAAGAAAGGCTCGTACATCGCACAGATACGACGATCGTATCAATAGGAGACAAGCTAACTAGCGTAGCTCGCAAAGCTGGGGGCCGCGTATAAAACATTAGCTGGCCCGTCGCCCGAAACATGAGTTCCGAACTCTTTTTTTTGCGAGAGACCTGGGGGCCCTTCAAAAAGGGGTCCTCGGCAAGGCTTATCCAAATATCGGCTTCGCTTGGCAATGATCAAAACGATACACCATGTTACTTCATGAGCCCACCTGGGCCCCAATCCGTGAAACGCGTTCAAGCTGTCTAGATAGGAAAACGCGTCATTAGCTATGTAGGATTAAATATGGCCAATCAACGCGTCTGCGGGCAGTTTTCGTCCTAAGTCTGTTAACCACTTAGCTACCAGCTCCTATGGTCTGACACGCAGGTCTTGTGATATATGTCGTAGATATGTGTCATAACAGGTGATTGAGCCCTACTTATTACAGCTTGCATTTGGAGAAAAAGTGACAGATAAATTTATTTATGTTGACTATTATCTCAAATCAAGTAATTGGGAGGTTTAGAATTATATGCAGCTTTAGCTATGTATAAGTAAGAAATTTCTTACTCTCTAAGACTAAAACTTCGCGGTGTATGTATGTGTGATGCCCCTTGCATACATTAAAGAAGTTGTCTCCACTATTCGCTCCTATCAATCTAGGAGAGTTGATTTTCTGCTCGGGCTGCGAAATCCGCAGTCCGAATTCTCAATTGAAGATGTGCCCGGATGCAGATGCAGATGCAGATAACGATGAATTACACCAATTGCCAGTCATTGAGCTGCAGATGGCTAAGCCACAACCATTGACGTTTATATGTGATCATTTCTGCCGTAAACCCCCACCTAACCTGTACGGCGTAAATGATGCAGCATGTAATCTGCAAGACCTGTACAAAGAAACGCTTAACTAGATATCGTTTAATTCCCTAAATCAGATTGAAAAGCTTCTGCCTAGAATATCATGGGTCAACGCTCGAAGTGCTCTTTTCTAATTTACGTGTGGGGTGATTGACCGCATCTGATGCAGTTGGTTTGATAATAAAGGGGGTCTCATGATCCCGTTCCGTGGCTGAGGGTATATGTCCGTTTTCATGGGATATCCCGGAGATTGCTCCGTAACGGCTGAGGCACACACGATTAACGTCTCTTTTTAACCCTAGGAAGAGTTTTTTCCTACCTTATATACTCGTCTAGCTTTACTAATGTAAGGGGAAATCATGAGACGGGCCATGACAGTGAATTTGCAATAATTCGATGCCGCAAGAATACGAAGTCTCTACCATGAAGCTCAGGAGGTTAAACATTCTTATCGAATAGTTTCTGGATTGGTTTGGCAGCCTGTTTAAGGTATGTAAGCATTGATATTAGCCAAACAACATTCCAGAGTTGACGTACATCAATGAACTTTTCAAGCTCTTTATCAAGATTCGCGAGGTCATCCTTTCTCTTCTTGTTGTCGGCAATAAGCTTCTGTTTTCGTTTCAGCAATTCCATTCGTTTCTGCTCTAGAGCCTCGCGCTCGCTGCGTTCGTGCTCGATCCGTGCAATCATCAGGGTGTTTTCGTCATCGTCGGTATGATCAGGCTTCAATGAGAGGAACTCTTCAAGAGGTATCAGGGGAAGCTTTTGGTAAGTATGGCTGGATACAATTAGTTCTCGCGCAAGTTCAGGTGCTGATGCAGTATAATGATTGCGGAAAGGATTGTTGCTTGATGTAGAAATGGAGAAGAGGTCTTGAATTGGTGGAGGAAGATTGTTGGATAGAGCTTCAGTGGGTACTGACTCATATGACTCGCAAGCTGCGATCTCCCCCTGTAGATGTCTCTGCTCGTAGTATAGATTCTGAAGTTGTAGATGCAGACGGTCAACTTCCTGGCGTGCTTCGGACGTCTGCGATTTGGTCTGACGGGCACCAAAGTAGGCCGATCGATGAAGGCCGCGCAATTGTGCAAGATTGGTGATTAGGAGCTTCTGCTGCTTAGAGGTCTCCAGTAGGGCCTCTGGAGATGCGCTTTCGATAGGCCCGGCTGCCGCGATTTGATCAACAAGTCTCAACGCCTGTACTCGAGTGTCGCGGGAAGCATCGAGAACGGTCGATAGATTCGCATCTGTTACGATTTCGTCGATCGCCATCGTAGAGGGTAAGACAAGTTGTCTAAAGGCGAGACTTGGGCTCAACCTCAATTGCGATTCAGAACCTAAGATACAGCAGCTAATTACTGCTTAATGGCTGATATCGTGCTTTTGATGTTGACGTCTAGGGTATTGAGGTAGGTATTGAGGTCTTGAGGTCTTGACTCTAGGTAGTCTAGGCTATTGGAAAGTTGACCAATCAGGAATGGAATTTGTTTGTAGATCCAAGCCTTACTTAAACCCGGATATTTTAATTGCCGTCTGCCGGTCTTGGTATCCAAGTGACTTTGGTGGATTAGGTAACTTTGCATAAATGCGTCCCCACGGGTTGTAGTGATTGGAGATTACTACCTAGTGGAAATTAGGGTCAATATTGGATTTATGTCGGTCACAGGCGTTAGAAAGTCGGGGCTTACACACAGCTCTATCAGCTCGTACATGTACAACGAGCCTAATTTTATGATTACTTAAAAATTAATTGATACTATAACTTCAATTTTGAAAAGGATATAGACATTACTATGATACATACAAAAAAAGACAGATAGAATTATTGCACATATCTGCAAGTAGGTAATTGTATAAATCCAATGCCTTCTCTTCAAACTGACTAAACCTTTCTTGTATTCGGTACGTCCCAACCGACCTACGGGATTCCGATTGTGGGGAACCTTAATTTACCCTTGCATAAGGTACGTATTGACTTTAGATCTTATCTAAGCTAACTACTCCGTCTTGTCCGATAGTTTGCGCGCTCAGGTGGCGCCCCCTCCGTTAACCAATGACACCGACCATCTTCTACATGTGAAAGTTAACTTTCTTCCACTTCGCCTCCAACGCTTTTTACCATTGCACAGCTACACAACAAGTAACAACCTCGAGACCAATCTCCTTAAAGTATTCTGCATTCTTATACTTTGACTGGCCAGCTTCGCATCGTTTAAGTCGCAATATAGACTATCTCATGCAGGGACGTCTGACAGCTTAGACGTACCCCAAGCCTTTTTATTAGTTGGCACCAACAATAAACCCTTACGTTTGCTATAGTTTATCATACGCTCCTTTTCCTCATCATGTCTTGCACGTCTACCTTCGCTCTTGGTTCTCACCAAGAGCAATCTAATTCAAAAAGCTCGGGCACCGCCGACCCGGAAAACTTACCACGTCGGCGTAGACGGCACTCTTCTTTTATGCCTCGGAGAAGACATTCTCTAGTTCAGCAAATCATGGACGGAGAAGAAGGTTTACTTCTTAAAGTACACTTCCCAAACGATTTGATACTCTAGTAACAATTATACTAACTATATAATAAAGGTGGATTTGTTCCTCTCGGAATTAGAGAGGAGACTTGAATACCTTGAAGGCTATGGCGAATTTATCGATCTGGACTCGAGTATATCCAAAACATTTTCAACTTTACAAGCAGTGCGAGAACGCTGTTCGCAAGTTTCGGAAGAGGTCATTGGCGCCGGGCGCAGGCGATTGCAGGTTATGGTTGAGACTTTAGACACAAGATATCATGAGGCCTTAGTAGCCGCCGAGTCCATGAATGAGAAAGCGCGCGTTGGCGTTGAACTCCTCGACGGCATGCTTACCGACTTCGAAACTCGAGCCTTGAAATTCCGCGACCAAGGCTTTGCGAATGCCGCTGACGCTGCCGGAAGTTTGATGGACAAAGGCCAACGGGTCGTAGACGAAAGTATAGAACGCGCTCGCGGTGTTGTGGACGATGGTATTGAACGAGCCTGGCGTGCTGCAGAGACCGTCGAGGAGCACGTACAAAGAGCAATTACCCGCGCTAAGGAAAAAGGCCTTATTAAGTATGAGGAGCTTCCTGTGCCTTGGAGGGTCAATCCTCATATACTTAGCGGATATCGTTTCACCGAATCCAAGATTGGCTGCGTTCGTTCAATGTTCGGCATTTCAAACGAACTGGTCAACATCTGGTCTCACGCGCTTGGTTTGATACTAATTCTATCCATCGCTTTTTACTTTTATCCGACTTCGGCCAACTTCTCTCTTTACTCGAAAACGGATGTTTTTATTGCCGCCGTTTTCTTTTTCGCAGCTTGCAAATGCTTGGTCTGCAGTACCATTTGGCATACTATGAACTGTGTTGCGGACCAAACTTTACTGGAACGCTTCGCATGTATCGACTACACCGGTATCTCATTACTCATAGCAGCGTCGATTATGACGACTGAGTATACTGCATTTTATTGCGAACCCATCAGTCGGTGGACGTACATGACTACAACTGCTGTGCTAGGCATTGCTGGAACCATCCTCCCTTGGCATCCTAAGTTTAATGGACAGGATATGGCCTGGGTGAGGGTAGGCTTCTTTGTGGGATTGGGTGCCACTGGTTTTATGCCGGTTTTCCAGATAATTCTGACCCGAGGCCCTGCTTGGGCACTTGACTTCTATGCGGGTTCCAATCTACTTAAATCTCTCTTCGTTTATGTCCTTGGAGCTTGCGTCTACGCGAGCAAAGTCCCCGAGCGATGGTGTCCTGGCATGTTTGACTACTGTGGTAATGCGCACAACCTATGGCATGTAAGTATTAATCGGTACCCCTTTTCATTGCGTTGACACTAATTAAGGATGTAGCTTGCTGTACTTGGTGGGATTCTTTATCATTATGTCGCTATGCAAGAATTCTTCTCTGGCGCCTTTCAGAGAGCACAAGAGGGCTGCCCGACCTATTAAGCATGATCCTTCAACCGACACCAAGATGTGAGGTAGTTATCTACAATAGACCGCGCAACTTCTCGAATCCCCCCAACCACATGTCTTCATAGTTGCGCCCAGACGTCTAGATAATTACAATAGACATCAAGATTCCTTCTCATGAAAATACACTCTGCCCCAAAGCTACCTAGGGCCGATAACCAAATCCAGAAGAACAACAGCCAAAATACTCAGTAAACTAAGTAGTGCCACTAATCCCGTCGAAGTTTCAGCTTGTTTCACTGCCGAAGAGACTTGCACGGGCGGTGGGGCCGTTACGTTCGTGTGCGATATAAGGGTTGGTACAGGTATAGGCGTATTCAAGTTGGCGTGGGTAGCGAATGAACATGAGTTATTTTGAATGTGTACTATCGTTGGTGTCGGTGCTGGGGATTCTTTCAGGAAGGGAAGAATTGTTAACGTAGGACCGGAAACAGTTGTTGCATTGGCCATCGCATGGGGATCCGCAGACATATTCGAAGCGGAACTAGGAAGTGTAAAACCAGCATTACGGGCGCACGTCTCTAAATCCTCTCCCTACACGTTGTTAGCTAACGGGCCCTTAATCGATCAAGACCGTCAGCCTCATACCTCAAGACAGCAATAACCTGCGACAGGCGCGCAATACTTTCCCGAGTCGCAAAATCCGTTGTCTGCTGCGCAGCACGACTATTCTGAGTTAGCATTTGTTTTCCATGGACAATACACGAGTTCTTTTCTACCTGGCCGATTTTGGGGTTGAAGCAATAGGTGCTTCCGCCGCCGCCGCCGCACGGCTGCGAGCCTTCCCCATAGGTCTGTTCGCAGGTTCCCGTCTCCCTCTTGTGGTGCACGACGGAGGTACCAGCGTGTTTCTCTTGCGCCGAGGCCAGGAGGCCGCAGCAGAGTAATAGGAGCGAAAAAGTGAGCATGGTGGATTATTGTGAAGGTATATATAATGGGTTGATTATCGTATATAAGTTACGAGATACGTAAACGAGTTGGCGATAGATGGTGTAGAAGAGACTGGGGTCGATAGATGGTAGAGGTAGAGGTAGAGGTAGATGTAAAAGTGAGAGCATGAGGTTATTCCAAGATGTGGGATGAGCGGACCTAATACATGCATTATATATATATCATTATTCAGTACCCTGGGGCTCTCTTCGTGACCTTCTCGTCTATTGATATGAATTCTAGACTAACAGTATTCTAATGGAATCTGGCGCCGATATATCGTAGCACATGTCCATCCTCCCTATGTCTGTAGTTTTTCTTCATGAGCCCCTCGAGAGAAGGGCTGGGGTGAAAGTATGTAGGGAGATGTATACCTACCTACCTACCTATGCTAGGTGTCTAAGGGAGGAAGAAAGCAGCGTAGACTCAATACCACCCGCCGCCGCGCCAGCTACGAAAGGGAGCAAGCAAGCAAGCTTTCGACTTCGCTAGATAAAATCCCTTAACCATCCCTTATCATCATACTCACTCGAGAGCATGCAGACTCAATTAATTATCAAGTCCCAGATTCCAGACAACTCTTACTATAAAATATCTCTAACTATTATCACATCAAAGTCAACAACTACAACCCAAGACTCAAGACTTCAAGTTCAAATCCAACGCATCAAGGTACATTCATCCATTCATATCGCCGCAAATCAAACACCTGACCACTTATACATGCCTACTTATACTTAACGAACAAACGAACAAACATTCCGATCATAACTTTCATTTCCAAAGTTTTACAGCAGTGCACGACGGTGCGTCTGCCTATTACGGTATATAATATCCTCCTGTCCATCCTGCCATCCATCCATCCATCCATCCGTCTGTCCGTCATCGTTCATTTCCGCGTTAAGACCCAGAACCTCCCCCCCTCTTTACGGTATATATATGTATATATACCCAGGGATATAGCATAGTAGTATAGTAGTATAATAGTATAGTATAGTATAATATACCGTAATACCCGCCTTGCTACCCCCCATCCCTTGCCCCATACTCGTACAAAAACATGAAGGATTCGTTTCGTAAACATCATCTGCGTGATCGTGAGCTACCCAGCCCCCCTTGGCTTATTTTTTTCTGTATTCGCATCTTCCCCGGTCGTCCTGCATGTCGTCTAGTACCGTACAGAAGTAAAATGAAAAAGACGTAAAATCGGGGAAGAAAAAAAAAAGCTTTCCCTTTTGTATTACCCGTTGTAAAGAATATACCTCTTGTTTTGGAGAAATCTATATGTAAGGGCCGTCTTATAGTATAAGTGCCTCTTGACAAAAGGAACCCGATTTGCTAAAGATCTCGGCTTTCGGGGTGGTACCATTATGCCGAGATCTTGCAGTTAGTTGGCTTTGAAACGATTGTCGTCGGTTGGAGTTATTATTACAAAGATGTATGTATGACCCTATACTAAAACCTGGGTCATATGAGCGTAACTCGTAGAGAACCATATCGCGTCACCTTTTGAAAAGGGGTATGTCATAGAGCGTGTCGTATGATATCAGCATAGATATCGTCGGGTATCATCCTAATGATTGCTAGAGCTGTTCGCTTGATCATTTCTGCCCGTAAAGCCGGGAATGATCGAAGGAGTTTGTTAGGACTATTTACTTGTTAATATGATAACTCAATACCTCAATAGCTAGTAGTCATAGGTATGTGTACTTACTTTAAAGAGGTAAGGAGTTCATTGCGCATCATGATTAGCTGGGCGACAATACACACGATGTTCAACTGCGGCCCGTAGGCGAAGAGGAAATCCCAATGCTTCAGCACCTCCGGTAAAGGAGGAGTACATGCGCAGAGTGTAAGGACGGAAGGAAAAGCATAAATCTCTGCCGATAGACCCTTGGATGTTAAATAGAAACTCAGCTTAGGATCCACGATCGCTAATACTTTGTCAACGAGTGCTAGACCGCGATGAACTCCGTCCATTGCACCCCTAATATACCCAGGACACTCCTTGGTTAGGAGAGTATGGAAAGCAGCGAAAGCTTCCACCTCGCTACGAGCTGCGTATAAGAACGGAGCAGCAAGTACGTTCATGCCCTGTACGTAAGTCCCAGGTTCTGAGGTAGTAACATCAGAACCCTCCGTCGTAAGCGTAAGGGCGCGGGCACGATTCCTTGCAGATGGCGAAGAGGCATCGGTTTGCGAGATATCGCTGCGAGAGCTACCAGCGCTTTCGGTCGCGGCGAGAGACAATCTGCTACTTGTTGGGCGACGTTCTTCCTTCGCATCGTGAAGCTTCCAAGCGATGGCGTTAAGAAGACGAATCAAACTCGCCTCGCTAACGCGGCGACGGAAAAGGGGATCGGTAGTCAGGGTTCGAAAGGTGTCGTTTCGGATTTTGGAGTAAGCGGGAGAAGCCCCTCGATGTATGAGTCCGAGGTACTCGTCAGTATCAAGAATGGGCGCATCGATAAATATAAGCCAGAAGTAGATTCTAGTCCGCGACTAAGCATTCTTTTATTAGCACGGTCGATATCGGATCGGTATTCAAGAAATTCGCACCATTCCATCGCTGTCGCTCCTGATACCCTGATCTAGCACCTTAAGACGCGCACTCTCTAAAGCACCATTCACATCCCCATCAGGGGGTCCCTCCCTGATCAATCTGTCTAGAGACATAGCATCAGCTACTCTTGAAGCCTTACTTAGAGCGCTTCTCTTGTGGTTTAAGGATAGTAAAATATTGTTTGGAAATATAGAGGGCGTCGGGGGTGGCGGGGGTGTCGCGTCCGAGTTGGCTCTATTTCTCTGTGGAGATCGGTTGACATTGCGAGTCGGAGGTGGTACGCCCTCTTGGGGATGTCGAAGAACTTGTTGAGGTATCGACGAGTTTTGACTAAATATTCGAGCGGTGGCACCAAGGTTATGTGCAGATTGTAGTTTGCGCAATCTATGAGTGTGAGGTGACGGTGGGGTGTGTATTTGGTTAGGGAGTGTAGTGGTCGTGAATGTGTTGAAAGCTTGCGCGATGGGCGGGAATGACTCCTGCGTTGGGCTCGTCATTTTAACTAGCTGACAACAGTGACAGCTAAATAAATTTGCGGCAACACGCAAATTGAAGCTATCATTGATATCGAAGAAAAAGCATGCTTAACACGTTGTATAGTTTTAGTGCGACGACTAGGCGCAGTAAAATTAAAATGAAAAAAGGCAGGGCAGGGAAAGAGGTTGGAGTTGTTTAGAGAGAGAACTTAAGGTACTTGGGTACAACATACGTAGTGACCTAATAATAGTTAACCCCCCCTCATATTCACAAGATTTTAACGCGAGTAGAACGCGTCGGCTTAAAAAGGTTATTTATTTAGCTGAATATGTACATACATACCTATGTACTTGTTATGTAAATGTATTATTTATATAAGTATTATCTTTATAAATTCTTATTCTTCTTCAAAGACAACATAATTGCCTTACTCTTTTTTTTCTAATGCTGCAGTTCATTCATACATTATATTGTACAACATCCACCAATATTGGATCAGCATGTGAAAAGCTTACCATTGATTTCAACGCCTAAGGTAAGGCAGATAAGGTTACAGTAGCATAAGGTCGGCAACCTTTGACCGATCTACCGCTACTAGGATTGGTCAAGATTTCCCCGTAGATTATGGCCCGTGAAGCCTGCAGGTACGATCGTTCTGCATATTATTTGCATCCGGGGAAGCCGAAGCTCAGTTCAGGATTACCTCTCGGAGACTTACGATTTACATGGATATAGGCTTTTGCATGATTAAAAGATGGCCTCATTATGTTGCACTTCATGTATTCAAGATTGACCAATGGTACTGTATTCTAGCTACTCGCTCGTTATAATAGATTTTATGGTGGTTGCTTTATGCTTAAAACACGTCGCATTCGAAAGCTTAATAACTCCATGATGAACACTTGACTTAATATCATCAATACACAGCCGGCAGCTTCTTAGTTTATAGATATTTAAATATTATATATTAACTGCTGTTGTCAGTAAAGAGAGATTCAATACCGGCTAAGCATTCTCACAAGTCTAGACTCTGAAAGCAAGTTAAATAAATGATTTGATAAGAACACGATGCGTTCGTGGGTCGGTTTATAACCATTTTATAATAGTTCTTATAGAAACACTTACAGCGAAACCGGCACCGAATCAATACCTATTCAATCTATTATGACATAAGACATTAAAGATAAACTTCCCCATGTTCTCGATCAATATGGAGTTTCCCGTATTTATAATAATGGCATCAACCAAAGACAAAATTGCGCCATCGACGCTAAGACCATGCCTTTATATTTAAGCTTTGTGATTGGCTATTTTAGTTAGTTTTTCGCCGAATTGGGTACAATTATTTGGGTACTTGTTCCACTTGTTCCAATCGTTATTATCTCCAACCTCAATATTGTCTTATGTTAGTAAGTACTTCCAGACCATTCTTACCAATATCTAATATTTAACCTTTATTATAAGATCATATGTTGTAAATTTGTACCGTGTATAACTGCCGAATATGCTGCGCTCAAGGTTCCATTAGAAAATGGAGTTAGTACTACCGAATACTACGTCTATGTCGGCCTCATCTCTTTAGTCCGTTGCTTTCAAATTGAGAATGAAGACTGTATTGCGTACTTTACTGTTTCTAAATATCCCCGCTAGACTTTGAATGGTATAAAGCCGATTGCGCCATCGAATGATCGGCCAATCCGGGGCTACTGGCAAAACTTCAACATGGACTGTAAGCTAGCAACATCGTTATCCAATTACTTATTACCTCACTACCACGATTATTCTTTTACTGTGGCTCTTCGAAGCTCTTCTGCCTGAACAATAGTATTATGTTCTTGGAAATCTTAAAACTATTCATCTGCCAAGGCCACGCCCCGATCCACCAGTTCCCCTGCGGCGACAGTCTAAGATCTCGAGTATCCACTAAGACTACCTAGAAAAATACGTATTACAACTCAGCCAGTATCGAGCTCGTCCTACTTGAATAATAAACTTTCGCTTCTCTTTACACAGACTACACAAGCTACACAAACTCTTGTCTAACAACTAAAAACGCAGTCGACGTTGCAGCGAGATACCTCTGTGCAAGACAAACTGAGAATATCGCAGCCGAATCACTTATAGTTGTTCTCTTTACCGAAGCCTCGTGTCCCCTCGGTGTAACTTCTAAGAACAGATATCAACCCATTACTTTATTGTGGACTACCCATTTATCAAATCCACATTGTCGTTTAATCTAAAGATTCCTTGTTTATTAACTACCATCTGTGGCCTCTTTAACAATACTTAATATTCTCGAGTCGGTCTTGTCAACTACTTTATCAAACTTCACCCTAATGGCTATCGGTGCTTCTTCATAGCGATACTTTGGAGCCGGGTTTATTTAACCCACGCTCAAATTAGTGGTGTCAAACACACCCTCAGCGTTTAAGTTGAGCTGCCTTGCTGCTTAGCTACCCCTTGCAGATCTACAGGCGCAACTCTCGTCTCCTCGAATATAGTATCCATTCTACCTAGGAGCATTCCATACTTCATTTCAGTTACAAAGTTTATTATATATACTTTTAATTGCCGTTAACGCTTGTTGCCTTTTATTTATTAATTCTATCCTCACCTAATACCCACCACGATGTCTTCGTCGAAAGCTAGCCAAACTCTAGCAAAGGTCTTAGGGATCAAACTTGAAGACCCCGATGTAGACAATGTAACTCGAGGAGAATCAGTCTTCTCGACGCATACGGCAGACAGTTTCGTTGAGCAGCAACCCACAAGCGCAGAATGGCTCTCAGAAATTACGCCGTCGGGACGAGATATACTAAGCTATTTTAAGTCGTTGTTCCCCTTTCTATCTTGGATCGGGTTTTACAACTTACAATGGTTTGTGGGCGATCTTGTTGCAGGTATGTTCTATTGACTCGGCTATAACAGGTAGAATAAGTTTAACTAACTTCTTATAAGGAATAACTATTGGTGCAGTCGTTGTACCACAGGGAATGGCCTACGCCAAGCTGGCTAATCTACCAGTGCAATTCGGTTTATATTCATCATTTATGGGCGTTCTTATCTACTGGTTTTTTGCTACTTCCAAAGATATTACCATAGGAGTACGTCAAAGTAGAGCCCTTCGTTAAATTAGTCCTCTCGCTAACTTATTGAAGCCTGTTGCCGTCGTCTCTACCGTCACCGGCTCTGTCGTCGCTAAAGCTACCAAAGAGCTTCCTCAATACGAAGATGAGCCATGGGTCATCGCAAGCGCCCTTGCTCTCATATCCGGTGCAATCGTACTTTTTATCGGTTTAATCCGGTGTGGATGGATCGTCGAACTGATACCTTTAGTATCACTTGCTGCTTTCATGACCGGATCCGCTATCAACATTGCCGCAGGGCAGGTTCCTACGCTTATGGGCATCACTGGCTTCTCGACGAGAGATTCGACATATTTGGTCATCATCAACACCTTAAAGAACTTAGGCAAGACGGATTTAAATGCAGCCATGGGTTTAACGGCGCTCACAGTGCTTTACGGAATCCGGTTTTCATGTGCCTGGGCAGCAAAGAAGTTTCCGAACCATCACAAGTTGTTCTTCTTTCTCTCAACGCTAAGAGCAGTCTTCGTCATATTATTATATACTATGATTAGTTGGTTGGTTAATATGAATCGTCGCGACCACCCTGCCTTCGCCATTCTTAAGGACGTTCCTCGGGGTTTTCAGCATGCCGCCGTTCCAACTATTGACTCAGACATAATCAACTCGTTTATTGGCGAACTACCCGCAACAGTCATTGTTCTACTCATCGAACATATTGCTATTTCGAAATCATTCGGCCGCGTTAACAACTACACTATAAACCCGTCGCAAGAGATGGTTGCTATCGGTGTTACCAACGTCCTTGCACCCTTTCTCGGAGGATTCCCATCGACAGGATCTTTCAGTCGCACAGCTATCAAATCGAAGGCAGGTGTCCGGACCCCTTTTGCTGGTGTTATCACGGCCGCTGTGGTACTCCTAGCTATTTACGCACTTACGGCTGTTTTCTTTTACATACCATCCGCAGCTCTTGCTGCTGTTATCATCCACGCCGTCGGAGATCTTATAACGCCACCCGATACGCTTTACAAATTTTGGAGAATATCACCTCTCGAAGTCATCATCTTCTTCGTCGGAGTATTCGTTACTATATTTTCAACGATCGAGAACGGAATCTACGCCACGATATGTATCTCGTTCGCGATTTTTATATTCCGTGTCCTTAAATCCCGCGGTAGGTTCCTCGGCAGGATTCAAGTACACTCCGTGCTAGGCGACCACCTCATCGGCAATGACAGCAACGTGATGGGCGAGTATGGGACTTTTGATGCTTTGGACTCTAGTCTTTCACCGCCTACACGCAATGTTTTCCTGCCAATTGACCATGAGGACGGCTCAAACCCAGAAGTCGAAGTATCTAGTCCCTATCCTGGTATTTTTATTTATCGATTTTCCGAAGGGTTCAATTACCCAAGCGCAAGTCACACTCTAGACTACCTTACAAGCCACATATTCGCCAATACGCGTCGTACTAGAACAGACACGTTTGCCCGTATTGGCGACCGTCCGTGGAATGACCCGGGCCCGAAGAAGGGTCAAGAAGAGAACACGGGGTTACCGACGTTGAAGGCTATAATCTTTGACTTTAGCTCAGTCAATAACGTCGATGTAACTTCAGTACAGCAATTAATCGACGTGCGCAATCAATTAGACCGTTATACAGCACCAGACGTAGTAGACGTTCACTTCGCTTGCATCAACAACCGATGGACGAAGAGGGGACTCGTCTCCGCCGGCTTCGGCTACCCGACCCCGCGCCCGGACGGCCTACACTCGCGGTGGAAGTCTATCTTCAGCGTCGCCGAGATTGGCGGCTCAGATTCTGCTGCAGCCGCCGCGGAGCAGGAGGCCAATGAGAAGGAAACTCAAATACGACCGACTCTCAGCAAGTCGGAGTCAGTAGACCCATCGACCCAGGATACTCCCGGACCCAGCACTGCTTCTAGTATAACGCAGTCTGCGCTTCCGAAAAACAAAGCGCCTGATTTCACTAGGACTAACGAGACTAGAAAGGTCGCAGTACACGGGCTTAATCGCCCGCTATTCCACGTCGACTTGACGAGCGCGCTGCAGAGCGCTATTGCGAATGTACGCGCGAGAGATGAGGTCGAGGCCGCTGGAGGCCCTGATATTGGCGTCACGGTTTGAGGCTTATATTACCGGGTATGGCTGCGCGTAAGGACGCATATAATGAGTATTGGTTTCGGTAAACGCTGTGATCACGAATAAGAAAATTAGGGAGGCGTGGCATCGAGTCATCTGAAGCGACTGGCTTATAGAGATGGTAAAGGAATGAAAAGGAATAGACGAAATTCAGCATGATTGTCTACTTGGCCGGATTAGCCTATAACTTGGGATTTTTGGTGGGATTGGTACCTATTGTGGTCATGTTACGTCGAGTTGCGTTATACATATTACTTACATAGGTACTGACCTGTATATATGAAGCAGGTAGCGTTGGATATACCCCGAGAAATACCAGATGACAGTATAATACCGCACCGCACTTTTATCTACGTGAAACTACTTATTTTCGTGAATTATGTTTCTCTAGGTACCTACATACTTGTTTCGAGTGACGAGTCGTTTGATATTCCCCTCATTATGCAACGCTCCGGCGGCCTTGCGCGGGGACCTCGAGCGGGTAGTGAAGACTCGCCGTTTTCCTGTTACTTACTCTACTTCTTGAGCGCCCATATTCCCGTTGTCAGGTACCTACCTAGGTAGGTAGGAATATATATTATTCTAGACTGAGGATATTATATATCATCTTATATTAATTCAAGCACGGCTATACTTACTTACACATGTATACGAGCCCTAGTCTCCGGTCTGTGCTAACCAAATTATCTACCTAGGTACCTAGGTAAATTGCCAACGAAAGAAAACGGTTCGAGATAAGGCGAAATGATGAGGCGGCACGAAATGAAAAGTGTGGCGGAAAAGACAGACCGGAAATATCTAAGAGATGGAGGGAGTAATGCATGAATGCGTACATGCGTACATACATACATGCAGGTCGGGTACAGCGCGAAATTCGGAGGACGCCGGCCGGGTGGTAGGCCGGGCCGGGGCGGATTTGGGGTAGGGTAGGGTGGTGTAAGATGGGATGGGTGAAGCGCTAACGGGTCTGATACTGATAAGTGAGGACTAGGAAGGGGGGGGGTTATGATTTCGATGATTTGATTAAGTTATGTTGCGATGGTATATATCGTATCGTATATTGGGTTGGATTGGATGATATACTTACCTGTTTCCTACGGTAAGATACATGGATAGGTTAGATAACTAGTCGTTGTAATACGTAGGTAAGTGCCTAAGTTATTTAGGGGAAAGGAAAATCGAAATACGGATGAGATGAGAGAAGGAAGAAAAGGAGACGTTGTTACAAGAGAAACTAGGAGGGAGTTCTAGTAGGTTAGTCGTGTATTATATATATCATATATATCAAGACCTGAAATTCATCGTCAAAAGCTCAATTTATTCCGCTTTACAGTTTGTAAGCAAGTAACTAGTAGTAGTAATCTATACATATCTAACCACTTAACTAAGCTATCCGCCTAACTAAACATGAATCGCGAGAAACCCCCCCCACCTATCCAGTAGCAGTGGTAATAAATAGTCTTTAAAATCATAGCATACCTGTAGCCATAGCCCCCTTTAAACCCAGAACAAAACAAAATCAAATAAAAAAAAGGACAAAACAAGATATCCATCCCAGCGCAGCTCAAGATGAAAAGAAAGATTAGAAAATTAGAAACCCGCCCCTCCCCCTTTTCCTGAAAGGAGGGAAGGGGGTGGAGATTGGTCCGCACCAGATATCTTCTAGTTCACCATGTGTGCGTAGAGTAGGGTAGTTCCGGTGACGGGAAAGCCTGTTCCCGGGCTGGATACCTACTGTTTCCCCCAGTTCCACACCGAAAGAGAGCGAGAGCAAGAGTAAGAGATAGGGAGAGCTCGTGAAGTGATATAGCCAGCCAGCTCACCTCACCTCATCCTCTTCGCACTCCCACCCAGCCCCTGTCCCATCCCCATCCTCTTCGACCCCCCGCTCCCACTCCCACTCCCACCCCCAGCACTTCCAGCACTCCCCCTCAAAAACCCAACAAGCGACCCCAACCTCGCCGCATACGCACCCGGCGCACCCCTCTCCACAATCCTCCCCTGCAGCTCCGCCAGCTCGTCGACCCACGGCCCCAGCACCTCAGGCGGGATCGAAGCCAGGATATCCACGACGAAGTTGCGGTCCTGGGCCCCGACCAGCCGGAAGAACAAGTTGCGCTCCGCATGGGGGATGCTCGCCGGGCCCACGTCCCGGTCCCCCCAGTCCACGACGACCCGGTCGAGGATGTGCACGGCGGAACGCGCGGCCGCGCGGAGCTCCCATCGCGACAGCGGGCGCTCCGTGTTGTGGATTATGCTGTGGATCTGCCGCGTTATGCGCGTCAGGTGTGCGGCGCACCACTTGACGTCTTTAGGACGCGCGGTGGTGGGTGTAGTAGTAATAGTAGTATCCGCGTACTGCTGGAGGCCAGCGAGCGCGGCGTCGGCGCGGAGCTGCAGAGAGAGGAACTGGTTCGAGTGCAGTTCGTCGGCGCGCATGGAAGAGAGGAAGTACTGGAAGAAGTCGTCGTTGCGGAGCAGCATGCGGAAGATGGTCTGCTCGAGGTCGCCTCTCTTGACGACGCGCCGGCCTTTGCGCGGGTTGTTGAAGAGATCCGGCCGGTACGAGTCGGTGGGGACCTCGTTGAGCGAGGCGAGTATCTCCCGCGTCTCCCGGACCCGTCTGGGGTTGGGATCGGGGGACTGCCCGACGACGTCGCAGTGCAGGCTGTCGGCCAGCATGTCCAGATGGAAATCCGATATCTCATCGTAAGGGTTGCCAAGCTCTGTCGGATACCCGTACTTTGTTAACGAAAAGGGGCTCCTCTGGACGCCCAGGACCTGGTTAGTAATCTGGTCTAACAGCCAGAGGATATGTCGACAGGGGGATTCGCCGCGCTCGCCATTCTGACAAGTACAGCTTGGAATGCCGTAGCCACTCTGTTCCGAACCGGTCCGAACGGTATATTCGACCGGCTCCGTTATCAGAAAGAGACAGCGCTCGTCCCCAGCCTGGCAGCCACGTAATGTGAACTGCGGGGGCACCTCTATAGCTTTATTGACGTTATCCCGCGTCTCTTCGTCAAGAAGATCTAGCGAGTACCTGAGATTAGATGGAGAGATCATAAAGCCGTCATCGTCGATATCGAAATCCCGTTCGGTATCCGACTCGGAGCTCGAGTCTTCCACCTCGGCTCTCTGTTTCCGGCTCTGAAGACGAGTTACGGGTGGCATGCTTCCGAGTGAAAGCGTCCTGAAACGCTCGGTTGGGGGGGACATAGGTAAGTTACAAGAAGGAAGCTTGTTGAGATGAAACAGGCGATGCCGAAGGATTCATTGTACGCATATTAAAAATGACGAAGAGACGGTTGGTTATATAACATACATAGCCAGCCCTAGGAAACAGGCAGACAGATTTAGGTCAAGTCCCAAAAAGACTGACATGACGACAAAAGTGACCCAATATTGAGACCGCTTGGTCTACGTTGGTTCAAGGTACAGTCATAATTTACCTATTCGGTGTGAGTTGAGAGCAAACTGACAAACCGGGAGTAAGGGGAGATGAGGCGTGGGGGAAGAACCAGAATCTTCAGCCACTGGTCGAAATGGGCAAATGAACAACTCAAAAGGGACGTTGCAGCTGAAACGATATTGTATGATGTGCAGTTAATATCTAGATCGAGTAATCACTGAACCCGAGGGAACGGATAGGACTGGCGATGCCGAATCTTACCTCGTGATATGAGATATTGCTGACGACAGAGAAAAGAAACCTATACCATACCACATACATACCTAGGTTAGGTTAGGTAGTTAGTAGTATCTGAACAAGAGTTACTATAGTGATATTACCCTGTACAATAGAATAAATGGCGTTCATCAGCCATCAGCCACATAGAACAACCAGGGTCATGATTGGTAAAGAAGCCGAACGGAGTCATCGGGAGCGGTATTTTACCCATCATTTTCTGCCTTGGAGGAGAAAAAAAGGTAGTACGGGATCCGTAGTTGTGAGCTAGCATATAAAGCACGGCCGGGGCCTTGAATGCGACCACCGTACACCGTTCATATGAGAGGTCCGTCGTGTAATTTGGGTCGCGATTTGGGCCGCGAAGCCTCGGTGCTAGGCCGCCTCTTGGCGCGACCACACTTATAAAACTCATAAAAACTCATAAAAGTCTCTAGTGAAGGTCGACCCATTAGGCGGCCAACGAGGCTTCTTGCAACACACTCCCTTTTTCAAACGAGGCCTTTAGTTTCAATTTATTCCTCAAAAGAGAAAAAATTGAGGACTCCGGTACCAAATTATCGTGTTTTTTGACCGGCCGAGGTCGTCTCGAATTGTTGAAATTCTACATAGTAATCGCCCTTGCGCATTGGGTCGAAATCGAGCCATCCGATTTAGGATTTCCCCGAGCTACCCCAGATGCCTGTATTTCCTATTCCGGTATGGAATTTCGAGCCGGGATAACATCCGGCGCACCTGTGGATATTCGGAACGCTACTTAACTTCTAATGACATAACTCGGTCCGACAAACTTCATATATGGCTTGCTTCGCTGTATAGCCTCACAGCGAATACCGGCTTCATTGCAGTAATGCATGAACATGGAGTACTGCTGCAGACGAGTAGCTAAGCGTCAAGGTGATGATGATGCCAACACCTGATTATCATCTCGGCGGAATGGACATACGAGGCTCTGCCTCCCCCAAAGTCTTCCATCTTAGATCCCATTGGATATTTCCAAAAGGGCCTTATGATCGTTAGGTGGTGAGGTTGTGGGACAATGCTACTGCAATCATGGACCGCTGCGCCGCTTCTATTTGCTCCCCTTTTCTCTCAACAGTTTGCCACTTTGGCCAGTTGTTAATAGGGGTAGTCGTGGCTGCATGGTTGAGGAGCTGCTAGTAGAGTTAGGGTTAGGACTTTGGACTATGGAAATTACTTCCTATGTCCTTCTATCAGGGTAGTGGATGGCCGGGGGTAGCCAACCCTTCCTCTATCGAAGTGTTGGCGTCCCAGTTCCAGAGTCCTTCTAGACTTCTTTCTAGACACAAGACCTTGATTTCACTATCCATAACATCCCTTACCCCACGCCGAACCCCTTGAACCCCTTCCGAGGCGAAGTATCGAGCCAGCGTTCCTCTAGCCTCGGTATAGCACTCGAGGAGGCTCGAGATATACCGGTTGCGCTTGGTGGGAACCAATTGGTTACCGGGCTACTGGCGCAAATTTGGCCATGACTATTCGAACAGGTCACAAGCAATGATAGGCATCTATGATACAGGGGTTGGCATAGGATTTACCTGTTTCTTCCTTGGGGAGTCTGCCTAGCCGGTAAGTCGGGAAGGGACGAGGATCATACACCGGTCGAATGGCTTACGATTATTCGGCATAGCCTTATAACTACAAACGAGTATAGTATAGGCTAGGTCATTTAACAGTAGCGTTGTTGGTGATGAGTTGGACTAGAGGTTAGGATTCTTCTTAAGATAAGCGGTAAGGAGGTAAGTAATCTGTAAAAACTTAGTGCAAAATGGAGAGCAATTGCTCGACCTGGCAGCGTTTGCTTTGAAATCTCGAAGCCTAAAAGGGGGTTCTTGGGTGACTCAACAGGTTCGAAGACCTAATCATGATCATATGATCAAATAAGCGGAGGTGGAGATATTTCAGCTATTCAGCTAGCTAAGGTTTGTCTATCAAGTTAAGTTCTATGCTCACTTTTGGCAGTGGCCTCTCAAGTACGCTATACTATGGCATGGTCCCTAATACTTTCGTTGGGTGTTTTCCCTCTAGATAAGTCAGTAGAGACTCTTTCACGACGACATGCTCAAAGTATGCTAAAAGTTATTTGGAAGCATATCATGTATTGATGCTGGGTTTTAGCAAAAGGAATGTAAGTGAAATGCTCATCTCAAAATGATGACCAGGTTCTTTAGCTCCCCCTCGTATGGCTGCATAGCCTCAAGCGACTTCGTTCTGGAACGCCAGTAGGTCTTCCAAGACTTGGGCCAAGGTTGGGCGCTCGAAGTAGTTATCGTTCCATTCCCCTTTGCGACGTTGGGAACTTCTAACTTCCAGATACTTTTCCGCTACTTCGATTTCGGCCGACCAAAATTGCTTCGCAGTCTGCTTAACTTCGTCGGCAGTCTGTTCACTGGGAGGTTTAGTGGTTAGAAGAAGCTGACTGTTTCGCCTTATAATGATGTTGCCAAGCGCCTCTCGCCTACCCCTTGTACATTTGTCTATTAGAATTCTCATTGCGGGAGGGGTCTTTCTGTATTCGGGAAACTCAAGCTCGGGCTCCCATCTATACGACTGCCACACGGCTGCTTTCTGAGGACCACTGACCCCTTCAAAGATGCACCACAACACTCTTCCAAGCATGTATACTTCAGCGGCTTCTTGCTCTGTCTCGCTGAGGGCAATCCACGATATGTTGAATCCATATTCTGGGTTAGTATATTTCTCGCCTTCCAACTCTTCGAATTCTGGGACTAATTCCTGCATGATCTTCCGATATTTCTCACCAACAGGTTCGGGTACGCACTCGTCGGTTGCAATTAGACGGATGTATTCGATAGCGTTAACCTCCGGGGCCGCAAACTCGCACCAGACTCCTCTCTGTTCAAAATCGACCATGATGACGTCGGACTTTTCTGATAGTACAATATTGTCTAGACGTAAATCGGGGTAGTAAGTCTTAGAACGGGTTTTTAAATGTTCAAGAGCCCTAGTTAACTGTATCGACCACTTCAACTGATCGACACGGTGCAATTGACCATGAGCTTGTAAACTAGGTAGGACATCTCGAAGAGTACCTTTAGCGTGATAAAACGTAGTAAAACCAGCAACAGCCTTCTTGAACCCGAAATTGCACCTCTTCATGACAACATGCATTGGCCGTCTGATGACGTTCTCATGGGGTTCAATCGTGCAGAGTGTCTTCAATTCGTGATAGAGGTATTTGGCCCCGCTGGTCAACGCCTTGAAAATAAATAGCTGCTCGTGAATTCGGACGAGACAAACACTATCGTGTAGAACCCTGACTACGTGAAGATCAAAGAAGTCAACGACTGGAGGGAAGGGGAATGCTGAGCCCCAGAGGTCAGCCAACCTTGAAAGCGGGAGCAACTTATGCTCCAGGTTATGGTTAAGGCCGACTTTAACTCGAACTTGGTGCGCGTCAAGTGACATATTCTCTAGGATTAGACGTGATCCGAAAGGCACACCTTTGTAGAATTTTTCGAAAGATGACAAATCATGGAAATCGGTCGTAGTCCAACGCTGGAGGATTCGGACAATGTGTCTTGCTATAGCGAGCCTAGGTAGCCGAGCGGAGTCCTTGGTGTGGAAGGCCTTGTCAAGTTCGAGCTGGTCACGGATAAGATGCGGTTGTGAATTAGAAACGAAGACATCCATGCGTATAGGGGGAACCTGTTCGATGAAAAGCGGAACCACATAGTATTGGCTGCCTAAGCCAGCACAGCCGTCGACACGCCATAGGGGATTTGGGGGCAGGTCGAGGCTGTCTATACGGTTTTTAGGATTAAGGAGAGAATCCGCCCAAGTGAGCTCAGTATAGGAGTTAACGACATCGGGAGGATCTGGCTGTTCCTGAATCTCCAGGGGAGGACGGTAATAAGCCGCAGTAGGATGAATGACTTCTCCTATGGCTGTCGGAGATAGTTCCATCTTGAAGCTGATATTTCTTTCTGAAAATTAGCAGATAACCGTAGTAATGTCGATACCGGGCTGATGATGGATCAAGAGGTAGTGATTTTTTTTCAAAATAGCATTATGGGAAGGCTGAAGTGAAAGTGGATCTGGTGACTTCTATGAAGCCGTGTCAGAAAAATTTTAATTTTTGAGTTGAATCTAGTTGGTATTCGAGGAAGGACGGAAGGACCACTTGATGCCCCGGGGGTGTTAACAGCCACAGCAGGAGCCATCTCTTAAGATCTCCCTCCGTTTGGGGCTTCCTCAAATAAAGGAACTTGCGTCTGAAGGTCTGAGGGTATCTATGAAAGTACTTCAACGTTCAACGTGGTTACTTCTCTGCCTGTCCAACTGAAATAACCTACGTACTACCTTTTAAGGTCGGATGTCGTAAGTATGCATATTAGGCGCCCAATATGTCGTGTTAGATTTTCTGTACAATAAATAAATGTATAAGGAACGAAGTCGATCTTTGGAAATATTGGAAATATTGGGAATAACTCGTCGGTGCCCTGTATCAAGAAGCGGCTAACGGCAGCTGTAAATTATCTTTTCTTTTCTTTTTGTTGGAGAACCTCCTCTCTTCATCCATCCGATGTTTCCTTGGCTGCCTTGAGAGATTACCTTAATCTGTATATTCTCCCAAGTGATATCCAATGAAGACTGCTTCGTTATCCGTAAGGTTGGACTGCGTAATGACTGCGTATGAATGATTGAAGTGGTTGAGAAAGACGCGAGTTTTCCCAACTCCGATAGTCACGAGAGCGTTCACGACCCTTTTCCCCTTTCAAACCCACAACGGGCGCGTTTGGGGTCTGTCTTTGGTTCGTTCCAAATCTTGACTATCTACCTAGATTATTTAGTTGCGCCAAGTCCGGCGGATCCAGAAAACACGGCTTGGGCAAAAAATCAAATGAATGGCAAGCATGAATAACGACTTCAACTCTCAGCCATTGAAAAAAAAGGAGTGCGCTGACCGAGTATCTGACCGGTTGCAAGCCATTGATTCTCCATTCTCCATTCTCCATTCTCCTTATCCTTAGCGGTAGTCGGCCCTAAACCTGAAAAAAGAAAAGCAAATAGGGGAACAACGGGTCACATATCTGTCGGTATCATGATTGGTTGAGAGACGTTGGCTCCGCATGACTTATAGGAAATTTCCTACCTAATACTGTAAGTTTGCAACCCAAGATTTCTACCTACCTTACAACCTTATGCTAGGCATCTTAGCTAACACAGCGTCAGTTATACGCAAGGCCATTTTAAGTGGTTAATCCAGTGTATGCCCAAATAGGGATTCCGCATCTCCTAATTTTCATAGCGGCGTCCATCCCCTCCTTAGCATTGATATTAGGTAACCGGCTTTGCGAGTTTTCTTCGACACATTGACCCTCAACTCAATTCCATAATATTACCAGCCAATGGTCGGTCTTGGTCGTGTATGGAGAAGTTGATCATGGATCGGCAAAGGCTTTATTTTCCACGGTTGAGATAAGCCTATTCGAACTACCAGCAGTTAAGAGACCGGTCTGCATCTTCGCCAGGATCTCCCGGAAGTATGAGGCGGGCATAGCAATGTTTCGAAGCCCTGTATTATCGGGGTTTGATAATCTAGAATGCGACATCGGGGAGTGCTGCGACCTTTTATATATCGTCAAGTGAACGTAATAACCACTTGTCGAGTAGGTAGTGTATCTGCGTAATCGTGATTAGTTAAAGATGTGGATTCTTCATAGGGCTGAGATATACGATGTAAAGGCTTGGCATTTCCAATATCTACACTGGATCCTCATCGCCAAGAAGCCCCAGGGGCCACTTTCTAGTTCAAAGAATAACTTAAAAACAAAACGATGGGAATTCCAGGTACTCGGACCACATTTCCATGTTATTATGCTGCCACAGATTGCTTAACCTTGGTAAAATCGGCGTGATATGGAACAAAAGGCGTATCTATTGTTAACTAACATAAACCTTCTTTAGGGAATGACTATGGTGTCACGCAGAAGATTGTACTCAAACTGTCGAAAGTCAAGTATGGAAAGAGTTCAGGTTATAATGTAGTGGTAAGACGAAAGCTGCGCGTTATGGTGGTTCATGTAAACACACAACTTCATTTGAAGTAAAACATAAGAATATGAGCTTCAACTAAGCAGCTACGTTTGAGTTAAGGGAACCGTTGGTAATATACATATTGGTCTATCTATTATACGTAGCTGACAAAGTTACCTAATACTGAACACCATCATGACTTTTGATGGGTTTCAATCACTTATCATCTGCATATTTTTTGATCTTTTGAAGCTCGATTGGAGCTGACGGGCAGGTTAGGTAAATATACAGAAAGCCCGGGCCGATGATCAGATAGATAATATTTAAAGTGAGCCGTGAAATTCCACGTGGCGAGCTAAATTTTTGGGTTTTTAAAAATAACACGAAAACCTGAAGGTGGGAGACTTTCAAGGGTGGTGGGAACTCCAAATTCGGCTGATCGTCCCTAGCCGATGATGTCACTCGGATAAATTGGAAAAAGGGGTTAGTTTAGGTAGGTAGGTATAAAAGTTAGGTTTCGTGTAACAAAATGACGATAATATGAAGAATACTAGAGCTTCAAATATTAATGGATGGAGAATAGTTGGGGTATTCGGCTGATGCTAATACTGATGTTTGAGAAAATTGATGTGGCACCGCTAAATGACCTTAGATAGCGCCGAGCTCATCATCTCCGGTAGAACTGGCAAAGCCGACTATTGTGGTCATTTCTTCCGCTTCGGTAAGCTTCCATTTAATTTTTCCCTTTTTACCAAGACGGACGCATAAATCCCGCGACGAGGAAGTGCATCCATAGACTACTAACAAGGCTATCCAAAACATGTGTGAATGATCTCGAGGTGGTAATAGAATCGCACATTGCTCAACTTCGAGTTGCAATGCGTTCTTGAAATCGTACATGGAGAAAAAAACAACTGCAACTAGGTAATCACTTGTTAGATCACTTGTTGATTGATACGTCGATCTTACAAGATGCATTTATGCTTTTCCCTCTATGGTTCGTATAAGCGGGACCATAGAAACGTGAAGTCGGTAATCGCATGACCCTCTTCGCGTCGGGCGCATGAGGCCTTGTGACTATGACTGTACTTCCGGTCCGAGAATATACTGCCGTGCTATATCTTGGCTAGACTCGGCGGGATTTTCGTAAGTGTCATATTTTCTAACTCATCGGGCGTCTCGGTCAGGTCGTTTTCGATACCGCGTCGCTTGGGCATCAGTAATTAACTCTCACCGGTCAATGAGTCCTTGCCACTTCATGAAGAATGAAACCTAAAAGAGGTGCATACTTGGGTCTAAAAAGAGTTGGAGGGTGATGAGGTAAACATGGAGAGGTATGAATGGACGAAGTTCGCTGCGATGATCACGGTAGCATAAGCAGCATAATCAGCACTTAAGACTAGGCACTGTATCCAACATACTGTAATAATTTCATATACAAGTAAGCTGTATGTGCCTTATCTTTAGTAGTAGTGAAGTTGGGCATATGTTTAATTCGTAATTGCCGAATGGAATGTGATATAACAGCACGTCAAGAATCATGAAAAGGCATAAACATAAACATAAATATAAACATGATATGATATGATATAATATATGAAGCGGGAAAGTTAAGAAATGCTAGTGATTAGATTCGTGTATTTATAAGAGCCAACATATATATATATGAAGCACTATAACTTACATAGGTATATATATACATTTATATACGTAGCTGTGAGGCGTAAATGTTGGTTAGCTGTCAAGGTTGACACATGCCAGACATGCGTAGGTAGGTAGCCTTATCGACTGTTAATCACCCCAGCCCAGTCTCGAACTGTGTAGTGTATAATCGGGCCAGTAGCCGAATTAGCGAAGTGCTCACCGCTTAAAAAAGTTGGTTGGAAGGATTGACTGCTACCCTCTGCTCTCTATAGCATGTAGGTAGGGTAAAGTAGGTTACAGGACGCTATTGAAAAATAAACCCGTATGCCTAATCTGGCAGGTATCACATCAAGCACACGTGGGCTGATAGGCTTGATGCGTGGGGACGAGCTTGTACTGTGGTAAGAATCTCCCGTCACCACCCCTATTCTCTCGTAGCGTTTCACGTGAGCTTATGACAGACCCGTAGATCCCTGCTCCCACGGGACACTACGGTAGGTGGGTGTTGAGGCTGTAAGTGGATGTACGCGATTACCTGCCGATTATTAAGATCCGCCGTAGCGGGTCCAACGGGATGAAGAGAACTGTGTCTGCTGTGTGCTGTTGGTTAGCCAAGTCTGTGTATCCCACGAAATGCGATCTGATGTGGATGAATTTGCTGTCAATAAGGGTCAGTTGACACGGACGGTATAGAGGTCCCCGTTCCTGATTTGCCTGCCCTTGAGCAACAAACTCCACAACCCCCCCTTAGCATTGGTTTTTGGGTCGCCTTAATTTACATATTAGAAACTTTCTCCATATGGGGGACATATGGGGTATGTACTTACGCACATACGCATCCAAACGACGCTGCCTTTACTTACTTATTCTCAGCCTTCTTGGGCTTCGATTGGGTTAGAGTTGAACACGCGGATGATTTTATAATTATGATGAATTAATCACGATCAACTTGCGCGAGGGAATTTCCCAATTTGAATGATTTTGGAGGAAGTAAGTAAATAAGTAAAGAGGGGGGGTGATAGGTTAGAGAAGATAAGAGGAAAAGAAAATGAAGGGAAAAAATGATTAGGAAGTACTGTGTAGATAGTGTACCTTTTGCGGCTTTGTTTTGGCTGGTTGGCATGACATGATGACATCTATGTCGAAAAGCTAACATCGATTTCCATTGAACATTGATTTAACGTAGCACGTTAGAGTAACACCAGATCCCACAGTCATCCGAAATTTCCTTATCGATACAACTTTCTACTATGGTACCCCCAAATCACCCCCAAATCCCCGGCCAAATTAGCTCCAATCGGCCCCAACTCTATTGCCCCAGTTGACCTGTTTATGGAGTTCACAGGGCTGTCCTTTAAAGCTGATATTCCTTACAAGCTTACGTATATTATGTATATGCATTAAGTACCTAGACCTATCTAATCTACTTAATCTACCTATACCTAAACCATCCATGTACCTACTGTACGTGAAGTTTTAATAGATACTAACCTCATATGTACCTATATTATAGTACTTATTATAATAGTACTAGGTAAAAATGAGAAATGAGGTAAATAAGCAGGATAAGGTAAAATAACACTAAAAAGACAAATGAGGCAGAATCTCGGAGGCGGCTTGCTTTAAGCGCGGGCTAGGTATGGCTTAAGTGCTACATTAACTGCTACATTACCAATTTACCAATTATAATACTCTCCAATACTGCATCATGCTAATAACTGAACCAGACATAATTGCGGTCCTATCCGTGTTATCCCTGCTTATCCCTACATAACATCCCGAGGTCCCCCTTTCGTCCTATCAGAACCCTATCAAACCAGGTCAAAACCAATACCTCCCAGTCCCTCCCCCCTTGATCAGCACGGATCCGGATTGCCTCATTTGCATCCACTCGCAAATTCGAACGGTCACACAAGGCCTAAGTCTGATTAATTTCCCCCCTCTTTAAACCGGTGAAGCCGCCGGTTCAACGGCCGCCCTGGCATCTTTCTTCACCGAGTTGTTTTCATGACCAGTGCCGTCTCCTCATTCTTCCAATCATCATCTCTCCCGTCCGGCTCAAATCAAGTCGGGGCGGCAGCATACTGCCGTTCTTCTGCTCTCAATCTTCCCGTCGGACTTCCTCCATTCTTTCCTAGCTCATGCTCTCCACTTGCTGACTGCTCATTCACTAATTCAGCCCCCTTTCCCTATCTCAAATTACCTTGATAGGTCTCTAAGGTGTCTCAACGCAGGGCGGCGGCTCGTCCTCGTATACTGGCATACTAGCATACCAGCATACAAGCATACCAGCATATCAGCATACTAGCAAGCATACTAGCATTACCCAGCCAGCATTGTACAGCACCAAGGCACCAAGGCACTCAAAGCACTAAAGCACTAAAATCACCAAAAGCACCAAAGCACCAAGCACAACACGACACAACACAACACAGCACAGCATAAACATAACATAATACAACGCGGCAACGAAACACGGTCGCATTAGCTCTCTGATGATCCTGGCAGTCTTATTAGCGGCAATGACGTCCGTGAGACCTTGACGTACGCCGTCTCAACAAACCCCACTGCCCGTCTGACGCCCCGGTGAGGCGCAAAAAAAAAAAAAAAAAAAAAAGGATACGCGCAGCTCTTGACTGCTCTCGTATGTGCGCACAGCAAAAAGACTGACGCCCTAGCACACACGGCACACACCCTGTTTTGTGGTGCTAGCTAGACTCTTGTCTAACACACCTCCGTCTCCATACGCCATACGCTCGCGCTCATCGAACGTACAATGGTAAGATTTTCTTACTATACCCCTTTACCCTAGTTCACCTCTAGATAGCCAAGTAGTCTATACCTTGTCTGTGTCTGTATTCCCAGCGTGCAGTCTGTTGATTTGCATATAGAATAATCCTAATATCAGAAAGCGCCGGCCTTATGGCCATGGGGATTCCCCGGTGGTGCCTATACCCCAGGATTCCTCTTACCGGTACTCGCTTTCTGCCTCTACCCTTTCATCACACCCGGAGCAATTCTCCGCTCACGATCTACAAATACTCCAGCAGGCGGCATCCATCTTAAATCGCTCCGTCCCTGACTTGCTGGGCCTTGATAATAGAGCTCCTCATTCTCAGCAGTATCCGCTCCCTTCTGCCCCATATTCCGTTTCAAACAAGAGGCCACGTCTTAGCGCAGATATGACATTGGCATCCCCTCAGGAGAAGTCTTCGCCGCCTACGCCATCCGCCCAAGACGGCTCTGAGCGGCAGCATGCTCCTGAATTATCCAACAGTGGATTCTCCATAGGCATAGACCGTTCTCGTCTCACGCAGTACTTCACTAACTTCTCTCTCTGCTCACCGTGCACAACTTGCGAACCCCAAGGTTTGCTTCCTGTTCTAGTTCTTTTTATGTAAGCATACTAAATGTGACTTAGTCTACGGTTCAATTCCAGCCAGTTCCCCCTACACTTACGCTTCGGGGCGTCAGTATTTTGATGAAAGGCCGGCATCTCCCGGCTCGGTGCCTGGGACTATGTCGCCAGAACAGCCAAACGTCTTTGTTTCTAATACCCCCTCCACAGCCCCACCGATGATGCCTAATTACCCTATTCTACAGCCAAATCGGCCTATGACTATACAGCCTTCTACTAGCGGTGAGGGTATGGTGTATCCCGAGGCTGTGTCTGGCCAGCAGTATTTTAATCAATCAGATTTCCACCATGACGTATCAAGCTCAATGGCAAACAACACAATGGAAGCTCAATCATATAGTCCGCCATTGTTGGGGCATAATAGTACTACTGAGAATGTCTCACCTCAAGAAGTAGATAGAATTAGGATTGGTAACAAATCCGGTGAATTGGACATTGTACAACCAAATCAACGACCTTCTGCTGCAAGGAGGGGCCCATTCAAAACGAACGACGAACGAGAGAAGACGGCCGAGACGAGGCGAATTGGTTCTTGCATTAGGTGCCGGATGCAGCGGATTCGCGTAAGAAACCTCACTGCTGTTTTACTGTTTAATTCTTAGGTAGCGCCCTGCGATTCGTCAGCTAATTCACGGCTCTAGTGTGAGATTAACCCTACAGATAAACTCGGCACGTGCTTGACATGTCTTAGAATAAACAATACGAAGATTTGGCGGATGCCTTGTCTTCGCTATAAGATCACCGACGTGAAGCTATTCAAGCCTGGGAACGTGAAGGGGTACGAATGGACTCGGAGGTGGGTAGAGGGGATCCCTGACGATATATCACAGTGGGCATCGTCAGAAACGAAAATAGTCAAAGTTACCGAAGGGTACACCGAACAGGCGGTCGAGCTCCGAGTGCGCCAATTTGTTCCGCAGGATGGAGACAAACTCGAGCGTAGTTGGGTTCACGAGGGAAATAGGAGAAAAGTCAAAATCCCCCCGTATGCTATCGTGAATCTCGAGGAAGCGAAAAGTACCTATACCAATTATATCAGGCAATGGTTGCCTGAATGTTGCAAAAAGGTTGTCGGCAAGGAGAAGTTTTTACTCGCAACGTACGGCGCTGCGATCAGAGCTTCTCGGGACCAGACTATTGACCCCAAGGAGAGTGCGCTTCTGAGGAAGGCGTTACAGTTGTGGATGGCTGTTCGCTTGACCACCAAATCAACCATTATTGTTGGTGACGAAACGCTAGGGATGTCTAAAGATATCATGGATGAGACGAGCCCACTTCGAGGATGTGTTCCTCTCCCACCCGTGATGGGCGCACAAATTGAGCTTGTCCTTATCCATCAAATACAATCCAGTCTTCGGCGGGAAATGTTGGAAAACTTACAAGCTATGACACAGGCCAACAAGCAGAAGACCTGGTTCACGACATACCTAATCACATTCATCCTACTCCACAATGTAGCTCTCCTCTGCCAACACGACGCCGGATATGCTCGAAAGCATGGTATCAAGGTGTGTATCAAATGACTGCCGGACGACCACGATGACATTGCGCTCACTTTTTAAGTTGCAGAGCCGGTTTGCGAGAGAAGAGATGGTGAGAGAGTATCAAACGGGTAAGCCCTAGCATCCTCTTGAACGAGACTGGTTCTTCAACATTAGTTCTCTTGAAGCTGGGACATCCTAACATACAGCCTTTTCAAACAGGAGCGAACATTCTGTTGGCATATTTTCATTACTGCAATAGAGGTGAGAAATTCCGAGTTTCACATGTATCATAGAACCAAATATGCTAACGGTAGACAGGCGTATATCCGTTCTCTTTGGAGTGCAAGGAGCAAGACATGTCGACATTGGTCGACAAAGATGAGACCAAGATAAAGCTCATCCAGTACACAAGAGCGCAAGCCGAAAAATACAGTAAGCCACACGTCTCTCAATCTTGTGTTGGGATTCTCTATACATACCTACATAACAGTGCCCAAAACGGGTAGATCGCTAACCAGTCGATCTCGCAGAAAAACACTGGGCGAAGTTGCGGCAGAGTGGCGATTACGAGAATGATTTTTATTATATAAGTCAATTGTACGAGGAAAACTGGATGCCACAGTCCACAATTTGAGAGACAATATGAGCTGATCTGCGTGGCGGGAGCTCGGCGCGAAAGGGGGAAAAACCCCCCCCCTTTGGGCAAGATCCAGTTGCAACATCTAAACCAAGAATCAAGCATTGGCGACGATTAATGTTGTATTTACGCGTAGAACTTGCAGGTCCGGTACAGGTACCTACCTACCTGACCTACTCTGCGTCATGCATGAGGTACGACACCGGATGCAGTAAATAGGTACCATCCTAGGCAGTTATATGCAGGCTCCCCCTACCTACCTAGCCTACAATAACGGAGAAACGAAGACAGAGTAAGTGTTGCCCAGACTAACATTGAAACATTGAAGCTACCAACAGCAATTTATAAACGCTGGACTTGCCTATAAAGACTCCTGCCATTCCTGTCATTCCTGCCATAAGAACATAGTTTTGAGAGTTCTAAAAGCATATCGCTAGTGTGTTTAGGATATAGTTCTCAACTGACATCAGAGTAGACATACGTATGACCATTCTGCAAAACGATCCTGCCGTACTATCCTTCAGCGCTATACTGCAACGGCCCGGGTCCTTCTTGCTCGAGAAAAACAACATGCACTTGTCTCAAGATACCTTATGTTATGTACCTTATGTAGGTTACCTATGATGTAGGTACGACAGTTATTAGTCGGTGCATACCTAGGAATACATGTATAGAAAGACATCGAAAAGCATTATCGGAACATGCCGCCTACATATGTACTCTTCGACCACTCGGGTTGTTCGAGGACGCATACGAATAGCTGAGTGTTGTAATGCTACTTCAGGTTGCTTTTCTGAAACGCCAATGACCAAATTGTGATGGCGTATAAGATTTAGGTACATTAGGTACTGTGGTCATTCCTGCCCATAGGTGTCCTTCTTGGACAATACATGTACGTATTCATTACATCAATACAATTTCCTCGTGGACCTTAGCCGTACAAAGCAACATTACATAAGGAAATAGCAATAGAACAGCTTACATGTAGGTACCCTATCACAACATTAAACCTTGGCAGCGGTGAAGCATTGAAGCGGATCCCAGCCTTTCCGAAAATTACCCCTGGTCCTTCCTCCCCTTGTACAGCTAGCGGATATATATATTAATACCATGCGGCTCCTTCTACCCCCCTGGCCATGGTACCCTGCATCGCTACCTACCTAGGTTATTCAGACATGCATTTCCCACCTACCCGGTTAACAGGTCGAGATCCGTGTTTCCTGCAGCGACCCATACATGTACCTGGTGGCTTGCATTGCAGCTGCATGATTCAAAAAGAAAAACGAAAAGCATGAAGAGGTAGCTTCGATGCTATGCTACATAGTACATACTTATGCGGCGGCAGGAGTAGATGTTTTGCATATGTACCTACGTGCTCTGAGGCTTGCCCTACCTTACATGTATGTGCCTGAGTATGCAGGCCCTGGCGAATATACGGTCTGGTAGCCTATAGGCGTGGACTTCATTCGTTTACGCCACGTCGTTACGGGTGTTGTACCTATCCTAGGGTTTCTCTATACACACCCTAACTTCTAGCTTGGAGATTTCTATACTAGTATTTTTTCATCTCACATCTCGATCAGCTTCAAGATACTCGTATATGCTTCTTATACAGCATACCTAATGTAATTTAATTTCAGATCGGATAATGACGTCCACCTGCTGTACAAGGAGCACTTCCCGTGTTTTGTAAGTACCTCCTTCTGCAGAGGTGTGCTTTCCAGTTAGCAGCAAAAATACGTGGAAGTCGGTAAGGACATAGAGTTTTGATGGTAGTTATAAGGTTTAGGTATGTTCCCATTGTATGAAAGTGCATTCTCCTTTCCTTCCCTACATGGTGTTCTTAGATGCTTAATATCTAGCCTGGTTGTCAGATCAGAAATTTTCAACTTTTCTTCAACCATTCTCGTTTTTCATTCTTCACAGCACATCACATCTCATCTCATCTCAGCAACTGTAGATCTATCAACCCAGCCACTAGACTCTTTTATTCGTTTCATTGTACTGAAACACCTTTCAGGAACTCAACCACTATAGGTTCGTTGATGGTATGACCTGCTATTGGATGCAACTAACACGTTACAAGACGATATGGAGTCCAACAACGGTCCAGTCCTGTTTTCCTCAGGAAACGCATTGCTCCATGCGGAGCATCTCTCACATGCTAACCCTGCCTCGGAGGGATTGTCTGGTCTCCCCATGGGCTTTCCCGCTCACTTGGGTCAGGCGTTTTCCTGGACAGGAAACCAAGTCAATGATCATGAGCCCCGCTTCGTCTATCATTTGACTGAGGAGAACCTGGTAGAGGTCCGTTCCGCAAAGGACCACTTCAAATGTATGTCTTCCCCAAAGCTTCCTTTGGATCTTCTCCTTGACTAACCTTTGATGTCCAGCGTTGGAACTGGATGGTGATCTAGTCAACCGGGACAATTTTCCCCTTCCCACACTTGGTCCCAAACTAGATGAGCTTAGTCATGATATTCACAATGGCAGCGGCCTCTGCGTTATTCGTGGAGTCAACCCGGAGGAATACTCCGTTGAAGACTTGACCATCGTATGGCTTGGTATTCAAGCATACATCGCTGACCAGCGAGGATGCCAAGACCATCGAGGCAACATGCTTGGTTAGTATACGGGCACATGACCTGGATATCATATCTAACTGACATATTTTTTAGTCCACATCGTGGCAGACAGCTCCTCTCAGCTGAAGTTAGGCCACCACCGTCATTCTACCTCTGCTATTGTAAGTTGGATTGGACAATTGCATCTTTCTTCACATGCTTACAATATATACAGTCGTTCCACAACGAGGAGGCTGGCGACGTGGTTGCTTGGTTGACTCGTAGCACAGCAGCAGCCGGAGGCAAGTGCATCGTTGCGTCGGCTTATACCATCTACAACATCCTGGCGGCCCATCGTCCCGACATTATTCGCACCCTTGCGAAGTCGGACTGGCCATTTGCTTTGTAAGCTCATTCTATATTCAACATTATTTGTAGACGACACTGACATTTCCGATTCAAGTCCGCGCTTCCAATGCCGACCCATTTTATTCCACCACAACTCGAGACTGGTGATGAACTTTGGTCGTACGCCCCTATTGGGAAATGCCATCCACCCACGCCCAGAGAACCTCCCAAAGCTCAACGATCGCCAGCGCGAGGCTCTTGACGTGGTGGAAGCGATTGCCCAAGCGGTCCAGCTCGAGATCAAGACCCAAGCTGGCGATATGCATTTCATCAACAACCTTGCTGTTCTCCACAGACGCGAGGGATTCGTCGATGGCGACTCTCCTCAGCGCAAGCGACACTTAGTTCGCATGAGACTACGCAGCTCACAGCAAGGGTGGGACATACCGGACGAACTGAAGCGGGAATGGCATGATGCATTCGACGCGGACACCTACCAGACGTGGCACCTGGAACCGATGCCTGGCGACGTGTTCCCTCTTCGTAAGTACACTAACTAAATCATATGGCCCACGATACCTACCTAGGAGGGCGGGTACTCATGCACTGCATCTCACGGGGAACGGTTGGGATTGGGAAAATTACCAATGGGGTTCCGGCTCACGGAGGTTAATACGGGGATTAAAAGGGGTTTCATCAATGGTTTCTTCTCGGAATGTGTTAACTTGTGGCTTTCTTTGCTCTAGCTCTGGTTGAGCTACCTAATAATTCGTCGACGATGCTGGGGATTGGGAGGAGTGTGTCCGATCCCTATAACGAAGCACGATCCTTTGGAACAGAACTGTCTACTAGGAGTATACGATATGTCCGCCAGTTTTGAAACTGACCTAACTTAAAATCATCACTATCCCTAGGTACCTAAGTACAATAGATACAGAATTACTTAACCTTTGCAGAAGGGAGAAAAACTTTTTTTTCCCGATGTTGTTGTAGTCTAGGCCGCTTTCCTCCCCGATCTCCACAGTGACCAAACGATTGGCCATTTTGGAATGTTTGACTTGGCAGCTTGAATTTTTTTTCTTTAATTCTCTTTCAATACTACGACGTGCCGTCCCAAATCAAAGTCGCACTATGGATGCAGCACCAACCGGGGATTAAAACAGAATTGCGCGGGCAATACTAATGGCTGCAGTGGTAGCGCGTCTAGTTCTCTCGGGAACTAGGAACGACAACGAACAGCATTGGTCCAGAATGATAAAAATAACTGGGATAATATTTGAATTCCTAAAATTCTGTGGTAACAACGATACAGTAGCAGTTGTCAAGCTGGGTCTCGACTCTTCTTTTTCCTTTCCCCCTTTTCCCCATTTTCTTTTGGAATATTCCTAAGCCATTATTAGAGGTATAATGGTAAACCAACAAGCATATCAAGACGAGATGGTTGTCTACATGCCCCATTCCCCATGCGGAGCTATATACTAGTAATCTATAAAAAGCCGTGTTAAGATTTCTTGGATTGAAACCTTTTAGTAGTAACCAAAGTAGGCCTAGACACGGCTCTTAACCCCATGCACCCATTCCCATTGATACCCTCCCAACTCCTTGGTTTCGTTCGGACGACCGTCGAGATCGGAGATCAGAGGCGGAACTCACATGTGTGTATATATTATGTATGTAACCTATGTGCCACGTACGGCTAAGGGTGTTGGCGTATGTATGCCTCTTGTCTCGCACTCGCCCCTGAATAGCGGATATACATACCTATGTAGGTATGTATGCAGAGTAGTTCGGGTGAAACGGTCTCAGTTCTAAAACTTAGGTCTTCTCGAGATGCAGCTTGTCAAGACCATTTTGATCGAAGTGCATGCAGCCGGTGACCGCCGGTAATGATTATACTCGTATATTTCTAAGGTGATTGTGGAGGAGAGTGTATGGACTTGTAATGCATTTGCAACCCATTGAACTCGTTATAGTGGAGTAAGAGATATGCTATGAAGAGTCTTCTGCTAGCGTTGCTACAGTAGTTTTTGCCGTAGACTACTCTCGTACATGCGTACATAGGTAGAGGATAGAGAAGCGTACTATGTAATAAGCGCATAAGTGGCTTTTCTTCGTTGCGCTTGACCCCTTGTAGTCCTTCATGCTCGCTTACTCCACTGCAGGATGGTATTTCTATTACATAGTGCATTTTAGCTTGTCCGGATGCTATTATTCGTATTAGACTTGCAGCATGCGTTGTAATGTGTCGTGATGTGGTTCCAGGGAGTAAAGCAGGTACATGATATGTAATGTCCGTATGTACGGAATTCGACATCGCCGTAGCGGCGGTGGGCTTGATAGCCGGTTCAACTTTGCCACTCCGGCTCCCACCCGGCTCAGCAGGAAAAAAAAAAAAAAAAAAAAAGTCCATGGCGCATGGGCGCATTACACTAGGTTAGACATTATCCACATTATCCACAATAGAGCAGGATGCAGACGCGTAGGATGTATAGGATGTATAGGATGTAGGGATAGGATGCAGAAGAGTGTAACTTATAAGAATCCGGCTGAGGGCTTAGATCTGCGGAAAAGTAGCATCTACAAAGTAGCAGCCGTTGTAGTACAAAGCAGTTACATCAAATATGCAGCGTTCCGCCGCATATGCAAATAAGAGGCGGCTACTTATTGTTTAAAAGGTAGGTAGAGATTTGAATAGAGATGGTCATATTCGACTTTCTACTCGTCACATACCGTTATACGTTATACGTTATATATGATATATTTCGTTAGTTATATGATAAAAATATGACTTATATGACTTATATGATAACTTATATGATTTATATGATTTATACTGGGTATGTACCTATGATATAATATTTCGTGCGACGTCAAAGAACCACACCCGCAAAGCCACCTTCTGCCGCCTTCTAAAGTTCTGCCACCGGCTGCTTGGTTTCATTATCCGCGGGATGCCAAGACGCTTCAGCCACAGTACTTAATTAACAACCTGGTTCTCATCATAGTTATATTGCATTACGACTAACTCACGTGGTTTAGTGGCCGCCATTATTCCTACATTCGATGTTGCTTCTACATTTTTAAGTACCTAACACCGTACACTTTACTTAGACTTCGAGGCTTAAGAGGCGTGCTTGAAAGAACATTTGTTGTTTTCCCCCATACACATATATCAATCAACCAACGAACGTGCGGATAGAAAGCCACCTCGTCAGTCTAAGACTCTTAAGATTTTTTATATCGATACTTTACCGACTGTCCGCTGTTTCTCAAAGAGGCGGTCGGGATTTGAGATTGGGGGTTGTTTCTAAGGCCTGGACCGTAATGATGATCAGCGAAAAAGAAAGCATGCAAACAGAAGGGTAAGGTCTGGACTCAAATCTATCACTTACTATGTGTGACCCACGCACGTTATACCCACGTCAGGATGTTGTCAGCTCACCCACAAAGGTCAAGCCTCCGGCTGTAGACGTTGACCATAGCGTCCGGGGAGCACGATCACTGGATCGGGGCAGACGGAAATGGCGGCCGGCACCTCATTTGGTGCCATTAATTCGCCTCAGCACTAAAAGGGGCACTATCATATCTCATAAAACACTTAGAAATCGTTGAGGAAAAAGTTGGAGGGGTAGTGGAATTAGTAAAAGAAAAAAAAAGAAGACCGCTCTAGTCGGGTTCAGTTAAACTCGAGGATGATAAGTTCGTCTTCGCGGATGCGGAGTTCCAGCTATAGCTTGCTATACAGTTTGCCGCTTCTACAGTACCGTATTATAGCTGTTTATCTGAGAATCTCAGATCTCTTCAACGTACGATGGGCCACCTACGCAACGCCTATGGCACCCGAATTCCCAATGCTCTGAACACGGTGTTTTCGGATAGCTACGCCTTGGCCAGCATATCCAAATGTACAGGCATGGTACAAGATGGAGTATAAGTACATCTAGCACCGGTGTAGTAACGCCGGACGCCTCCGCGGGTACTGTAATGTGCCGCCGCTAGCAAGTACCTGGTTGCAGCAGACAAGCCAAGCACACCTCCAACATCTCTGCTAGGCATGTGCTTGCATCCGCCCTTCAGATCTGAGGCATGGGGTTAAGGCTAGCTGGGGCCAGGGCCAAGGAAGTGGGTATGGGTATGGGTACTTTTCTGCAAGGCCTTCTTGCATGGGGATTGGACGCTGCGACGGTCACCGGTACAGGGCTGCTAGCTTGCTGCAGAGGACGTACTGCTCTTCATGCACGAGTTAATCACTGTAACCTGTCGGGATGCAGAGTTTCCAATGTCTACCTACCGCCTACTGCATAGGCGAGGACAGCGGCAACCTGACGCCCTGCTGGCTGCTAGACACACCCACGTAACCCATAGACGAGCCAAGGATTGTTGTATCTCGTCGTCGGGGGCCACGACGCAAAGCCAACGAAAATGCACAATGAGGAGACGATAGGAAAATCGACACCTAAGCCCTGTTACAACACGACCGGTCAACGAAAAGACGACGATCTCAGCGGATTCGAAACGTGTCGATGAACACATGTGTTTTCCCGTATCCGATAAGAAAAAGGGCCTGGCCCGTTCGAAAAAAAGAAAAAAAAAAAAAGGGAGTGATCGAGATCAACACGATGCTTCTATCCAACCCTTTTTACTTTCTAGACGGTCCTCGACATAATTTAGGGTGGTGTGACACGAACTCGTGAACTGTGCGCAGTACTTGCAGTCGGGATTCCGGGTCATGCTACGGACGTATTAGAGACTGACTTAGAATTGTCGATCCTAGAAAAATCATGTTCTCGGAATGCGAGACGCGAGAGGCGCGGTTGGGTACAAAAAGTGACTAATGAGACCGCACCACGGGCCATTACCGTCGCGTGACTCGTTGAGAGTTGACGTAGAATGGTCCCATTTCGTGGGAACCAATTTTATTTCATTTTATTTTCGGCAATTTCTGCGTCGTGTCGAATCAAGTCAGTTAATCCTTCACATCCGCCGATGAGGTCTGATATAGGAAATGGAAAATGGTCAATAAAAGTAAAAGTTAGGTACCTACATATGTATGTAGGTACTATGTAAGAAGACAGGGGGGGACAGGGTTAAAGGAAGGGTAAGACTGCTTATTCGGCCTTACTGCCCAACCCATTTCCCATGTGGATGTCGATACACACACACGCATCTAGAACAGCCAAGAAGAACTTTTGAAGGGCGAGAGCACTTGGCTCAGAAGTACTACTCTTACACGGTCCTATACGAACAACTCGGAGTAGGATGCGTCCTAAAAGTCTTCGGCTAATGCTATCGGATAAACATGTGGTCAGTAAGTAGCCATATGTAACGATAGGTAGACGCCTTGTATGTCTGAACATACCTCATGTACGAACCCTGAAGGTATCTACATGATGTATGTAGGTAGGTGCCAGGTAAGTAGTAAGTTGACCTAAGGGAGGGTAGTACCCATTACCTGACATCTCTGATGTCGAATCGGTGGATTTTCTTTCTCATCCCGTTCTCCTATTGTCTGTCAACCCATGGTATTCGGCCTCTTCTTGACAGAACTAGATAGAACTCT